GAAATCAAGACCTTTAGGCCTAGGAAAGCATGCAGTTTCCTTTGCTTGCACACTCAAAACCAAGTCTTAGTTACTAGGCTGCATGACAGTTGCAGAATTTGCAGAGATGTATGGCAGGTGCAGATATTTCTTAGCTCAAATTCTCACCTATGTGCAAAATCTTCCCTGTGAGGGTGGTGAGGCCCTGGCACAGGTTGCTCAGAGATGCTGTGGCTGCTGCATCCCTGGCAGTGCTCAAGGCTAGGCTGGATGGGGCTTTGAGCAACCTGATCTAGTTGAAGTTGTCCCTGCCTATGGAAGGGGTGTTGGAACTGGAGGATCTTTAAGGTCCCTTCCAACCCAAACCATTCTAGCATTCTATGATTCAATCAACGTTGCCAACTTAAATGCCACACAGATTCAGTACTCAGCTCCTTACCCCAGATACTTTTAACACTTGCAAACCCACTGAGACTCCCTAAATTGGGAGAATGCCCCCTTAGCTATTTCAGTCCTGCTACTGATTGGTACCTTTGCACCTGACTTCATCATCAAGTCCGCTTGGGATCCATAAGCCAGGTATAGTCAAGCCTGTACAGGGTCTGAATATGATAAATGTTGGTTTTTTTTTAAATACAAGGTAATGGTCTGCTACAGTGTTCATGCAGGCATTAAACTGTGCTGGCATTGGTAGCACACATACTTGTGCCTTGATGTGATTACCACAGTTTGTAATAGGTGATGGTTCATCTCTACCTGCTTAGGAAGACACAATAAATACTGGATAACAACAAGCCCTTGCAAGAACAGCACAGTGAGGGAAAACCCTTACCTAACTCCCCTTTTCACTCCCTTTTTCATTATTAGTGGAGTTTTTATGACTCACATTTTCTACACCTGTTTCTCGTCATTTGGATCCCTGGAGTGCAAATACAAATATAGCTTGTGCGCCTCCTGACAGAGGCTGGTAAGAGCTTATCTAACAAGAAATACTTTATTTTTAGGGCTCTGAAGCTTGTGTTGTGCTCTTCAGTTAAAACTTTCCTCCCAGACTAAACAGCTTTCATGTTTAAGGCTTCTTGGTTGTTACCGCTTTTTTCTGTCTTGCAGGTTGTATATATACATTGTACATTTCACACCTTATAGTCTACAGTGCATTTTTAGATTTCTGATGGAGACTGCACTCTAAAGGGAAGTTTTGGACACACAATTAACTTCAGTGAGAGCCTCATTAATGCTCAAAAAAATACAAGATTGTTTTCTAATTTCTTATTTTCTTTTCCTGTGCAAAATCTTGTAGGCAGAAAGGAAATGGCAAAAACAATGAGATGTAACTTACTAATGGGAGCTAAAAAATGACACAATGACACAAATATGTATGAAAATGCCTTTTTTCAATTATACAATGCTTGTTAAGTGCGGGTGATCTATGATTACCTCAGGAGGTTAAATATAGTACCCATGGTGTCAGGAAGCTTATTCACCCAAAGGGCAAGACACAGAGAAGCCTGTGTAATTTTCAGTAAAACAGAGGCAAGGATGGATAAAAGTCTCTTGAATCTTGAAGTTGTCTTCAAGAGGTAATTGGAGGCTTGCAGTTCAGTGATATGTACTAGCTGGGTTTCATGATGTGGGATGTGGCCTTGGCTTATTAAAATTCTTCTAAATTCTACCTTGGGATCTAGAGAGGGATGCACTATAAAAGAAATGTAAGGGAAATAGTGACCAAGCCAATACACAAATGTCACTAGCTAGCAGGGAGGGTGGGGAAAGCTAGAATTTCTGTCTTTTGGGACAACTGGGTTACAGAGTGGCTGTCCAATGGTCCTTGCTCCTCTACTGATCAGGCTCAAGGATTAGTTTATGTATTTTTCATAGCTGAAAGACTCCTTCCCTAAACAAGCCAAAGGCAGTTCTAGAAAAACAACCAAAACAAAACCACATGAGTTTTTGTATGTGAATGCTGTGTGGGTTGGGAGAATGAGTATTTGTAGGCTGTTATTTTGTAGTTCTAGTATTATATACCTTCTAAACAAATCTAGAGAAGGTCATGCGTTATTTCCTTCCTTTCCCCCTGGCCCAAGTGGTTACTCTTTGGTAGAGTAGGACTGAGCATATTTAATATTTTAAAAAGTTAAGTACAGAAAAATATTTTCTCCTTTAAAATTTTGGGCCATTTGGATGCAAAACAACATCTTCCTCTACCTTAGTCACCTCGCAGCATTCTGTCTTTTTAGTTCAAAACCAGTGAGTGCATGCATATTTATGTATTGCGGATAAAACAGTCTGGTCTGGTGTGCTAACCTGTACCAGAACCAGGCTGTCGCCTACAGCAGAATTTTCCTAATGCCTTTAAAACATTTGTCTCCCAGAAAATCGAATTGGTATTCCTAGAGTATTCCATCAGAGTGACTTGAAATGCAAGTCACAGACACGAATTTTCATAATAAAGCAATTTTAAAAGATATGAAGGGAATATTAACCACTAGTACTCCATTCCTCATGCATATTCTACTTCAGCATGCAATACTTGCTGATTTTTTTATGAATATGTAACACTGACATCTTAATTGTCCAGATAAAGTGAATGATATGAAATGAGACAATGAGCATAATAGTTTATTTCCACAGTGAAGACCAGTGTATGTCTATACATATGTAAAGACTGGTGTGCATGTGTTTAGGTATTATATATAAATATACAAGTAACATATGTAGACAGCTGTGGTAAGGGTCCATTTATTGGTATGTGTTGCATGTATACAAAAGCACTTAAGGAGGTGAACACCAAAGTTTCACCAATAAAAATCAATTGTGGACTTGAGTAGAAATCACAGTATATGTAGTGGATTGTTTTGGTTTTGGGGGGTTTCTTTTTCAGTTTTAAACAAAACTGAAACTAGCAGTGGTAGTTTTGTGAGAGTTGCTCTCAGAGATTTGGAGCTGAAAGAGCATATGTAAGAACTGAAAGATTTGCTAGCAGCTGTAGGTGACCTAAGAGCACTCTCCTACCTTCTTCATGTTCTGATGTCAGGGCATAAATCTTATGTTTGTCCAACCTTTCATTTAGGCAATAATACCTTTGGTTCTTAAACCCCTTCTGTAATTTTGATGGTTTATTCCATGCTTCATTTCCAGCCCTGAACTGCAGCCCTGGCTGCTGCTAAAGATCTGCCATGTTTCACACCAAAGACATCTGCATTTCAATAGCAGAAAAAATGGTATTTGCATTTTGCATGTAATTTTGGCCTTCTTTAGTATCTTTCTAAATAAGATGTACCAAATGGCACTATAAAAGAGTCTAAAGGGGATGCTATAGTAACCTAGAAGTTGCGGAGTGTATCAGTAAGGGAGCGATTATTTTCAGAAACTTGCAAGAAAAACTTGTAGAGAAAATTGCATCCTGTTTGAAAATGCTTGCTGGTTTTGCCAGAATAACCATCAGGAGAGAGGAATACAAGCTTCTGTTGATAGAGTAATTTAAATCAGGTAGTTGGAATGAGGCATAACAACATTCAATACTGTAGCACTAACCATGGGGGAATGCCACTTATAGGAAGAGCAATGTAAAGTACAACTGTTGAGTCTGAAAAAGAGGCCATGAACCCAGAATCAAGGGGGATAGTGAGTCACTGGCCATGGCACTAACTTTGGCATTAACTGATATTTGAGCTGGAAATTATAATAATGAATTGCATTTTTAATAAAAAAAATGTGGCCATTCACTACATAAAGGTTTGTCATCACTTATGTAGATGTCACATTATGCATCTAATCAATTGAAAGCAGTACTTGGAGAAAAAATGACTTTGTTATTACTGGAATGCACACACATGAGATCTGGATCACAGAGCAGAAGGTTAAGCTGGCATTGCTCTTGTAAGACTCCATTAATATGCTATATTCACTTCTGAACATCTTCAGAAGAAGGTGCTACGAAACTGAAGGACTTTTAAATAAACAGAAATAAGTTTAAAAGGGAACGATTGCCTAGTGAAGCAAAATGTTAAGTAATTGCAAGCATATAGATTGCCTGAAAAGAAAAAGGGAAGGATCTACAGCTCTGTGTCTGTGCAAAGTATAAAATTCTTGGCAGTAGTGAATGAGATATGATATTTCATCTGGATATAAATATTAACTTGTAGAAAGTGTTTGGGAACAAGAAGATGTCTCTCAAGGTCTCCTCACAGTCATTTACTGAATTATGTGACATAGTACATGAAAAGAGATTATTGTTGATACTGGCTTTTAAATGGACCTTCTTGAAGAACTAAAGCCAATCCTATAATGTGAGACAACTAGATGGCCTAAGAGGTCACTTCTGTTATCATTACTGTGATTCTACTCCATCCATGATATAATTCTTGACCTTCTGAAATACTTTGTGCATTGGAGTTCCTCCCTTGTTACTTACTCTGTTTATCATGTATTCTTAGTCTTTCTTCACCAGGCATATTGAATGTTAATGGCGTTCCTTGAAAGTTTTTTCTTTGCAAGTAGTCAGTTTTCACATGTTCCTGCGTCCATGTGTTCAGCGATGTAACATTTCATAAGAAGCGATAACACTATTGACACACGATTTCAACTTCACTTCTAGTTAAGTTGATAAAGCACTTCAGGTATACTTAAGGGATGAAATTAAGGACAGACTGATACTAAAAATTTCATTTGAAGTCTAGACTCCTCTCTCTCTGAAGTTCAGAGATTCTTGAATTCAGGTATTTTTGATTCAGGTGCAATATATGAATGAAATTATCTCTGTTAATTCAAATTAATTATTATTATCAATGCTGAAAGAAGAAAATGTGCATGGTTTTCCATTACAGTGCTCCCTTGGATTTGCCTAGGGATCCATTTCAGAGGAGATGTGGGGAAGTGCAGTCAAGCTCTGGTGTGTTTTGGGTTTCCTCGGGAGCACAGAAGTGCCCAGCTCCTTTTTCCTTCATGTTGCTGAGAACAGGTGGCCTCCTCTGGGGTCACCAAGTATATTTAGGGCTGAAACTTGAGCAGACTGGAGCCAGATTGGCTGTGCTATTCACATACGTAATTAGGAGCTGATGCTCTATCAGGCTTGCTCTTGCCCAGTGCTGCTCAGGAGGGAGGACTGGAGAGGCTTTGCTCCTAAGGATATTTACTAGATGTTGCTGGTAAGAACATTTTAATCACACTTCACTTGTTTTCCTTAGAACAGGATCTTGAGCTGTTTACCAGTTCTGTAGTTTTTTGGGTATAGTCGTCGTGCCATGCCCATAGAAGTCAGATTTTCTGTCTGGATGTCTAGTAGCAAATTGCAGTAAGAGGAAAGGACCCAAAACTGTGTTTTGGAAGTATAACTGGAGGTTACAGTAGTGACTGTATAGATTGTATCCTTATATGCAATTCTGCTTCTTGGGTTTATTCATAAACTTTGGCCTACTTGTTCATACAACATACCACTTTCTGAGTTATTCTTCATGTATTTTAATAGTTAAGAATCTGGTTTAACTATTTTTTTTTTTTTGTTGGTAATTTTTCTCAACACATTGAAACTAAAAAGGGACAGTATTTTAGGTTCCTATATTTAACCTGATTACTAGACTTCACTTGCCCCAGAAGGAATTGCAGTTTAGCCAGCTAAACAAAACCACCCTGTCATTTGGTAGTATTAGCTTACACGGCAAATATCTTTGGACTCAGGAACAGCTGTTCCAAAGCCTCATCCCCTACCAGCATTAGAAACAGATCTGTACTCTCTGGTGGAAAATTGTAGCTTTGACTCACAGCAAAATCGCTGTGTTAATTAATTTGTTTAAAGGTTTTGACAGTCATCTGTACTTTGTAGTTTAGCCAACTGTATGGATTTCCACATTTTCCAGGTCTGAAGAAACAGAGAGAAAAAAGTCACAAGAGCTAAACAAAAGAATAACCCAGACCATCTATGTAGGATAATGCTGGGAAGACAAAAAATGTCTCATTAACCTATGGTCCCCTAAAATATTTACAAACTTTTTCCATATTATGCTTTTACTTATGAATTAATATAGTAGAATATATAGATAAAGCTCCCATTCAAACAGGAGCTTGAATAATGTCATGAAATAGTATAAAATAGTCACAGGAAAATTCTTCAAATAATCTTACTGTAATAAACCCAAACCAGACTTCAAGAATTCTCTTCCTCTGTTTTTTAATTTCTTTTATGGTTTAACTGAATTCCAATATTGGTGTTACAACTATTAGAATAAAGTATTTGTCCAAAAATTGTAACATATTAGTATATTTGCAATTTAATCCAATGCTTTCCCACAACAGTCAAAGTAATGCCAGATCTCAACTTTATCTCTGTTGTTCAAGTTCTTTCACTAAGTAGCCAACAACATTGTAATAATCTGACTAGTTCCTAACCATGACCTCAGGCATTTTATGAACTTTGCTAGTTCATCATATTTTCAGTCTTGGGCTAATGCTGTTTTCATACTTTCATTTGCTGCATGACTAGTGAGTGGGGGAGAGACAGAAGAATACCCTCAAAATGGAGGAAGAAGAATATGAGGAAGTTGTGGAGGTAAGAAGAAAATCTGAGAGTAGAAATATTTGTTTTCTGCCTTGTGAATGAATATATTAATCACTTTAATGAGACACTGCTCTGAGCATAGATGGTTGCTTGCTGTTTGCTCTCTGAAGAATAGGGTATGATTAGATATCTATTAAATGATTTAATAAGTAAACAACAACAGCAACAACAAAGTTGCTCTCAGTGGAGCAAAGTCTCCCTGGTTCCTGTCATAGCTGTTCTGTTTAAATAAGGATTGTGACCAACCCACACCTACATTGCAAGCTTTTGTAATTACTCTTCTATGTAATTATAGATGCAGTGGGCCATCTCTTTTCCCTTCTAGCTTGCCCTCTGTCAACCAATCCATGCTATAGAGGATGACTTTGGAAGCCACTTTCTAGCCTCACCTCTGCGCCCACTGAAATGAAGAAATGCAGCAGTTTTATGCCACCATTAACCAATATAACCTTGGAAGCCACAGAGATGGAGCTAGATTTAAACCTGTAGATGTCTGTGGAGTTGCATCAGGGACTGATTTGCCAATAGGGCATTTAAACTAACAGTTTCATGTATATAATGGACTGTTAATTTCAGGCCATGTGACAGCGTTGAGTCCTGACTGCAGATTTTGTACATTTCACGTACTGAATGCAGTCAAGTCAAATGGTTTACCAGTTAAATTAGTTTAATGTGTTTTGGAAAATAAGCATTACTCTTCATAAAGTCCATTTTAAAGACCTAGCTACAAAGATACCAGTCCTTCATTAAGTTTCCTATTACCATGTTACTTGCAATTGCCTTTATGCTTCCCGTGTTTATTTGTTGCTGCTGGAATTATGGTATGTTGGGCTTTTTGTCTACACAGCTCTGTTTCATTCTTTGGTTTTACTTTTTAATCACCACCTTCCTGTAACCACATCCCTAGGGCACACTGAGATAGTACTGCTTTAGTAGCTTCCCTTGAGATAGTCATAGCGAAAAGTTATGGAAAACAGAACAATAGCATCTGGTACAATTTTAAGGCAGCGTCAGCCTTCCCAAAGTTTTCTTAGCTAGAATTACACTTCTGTATGAACCGCCTATTTTAAACCAGTAGGTGTACTATCAGAAATTAATCTTCCAAAAGAGTAGAAAATTGTTGCTGAATAATTAGTGGCTGAGAAAACGTTGAGACTTTAAAGACACTACTTTCCATCTCTCTGGAGTTATTAGGCTGCACTGAACACTGTAGGTATATGTGGTGTGCAACGCCCCACAGTGAATGACACAAACCTTTGCGGCTGAGTTACTCGAGGCTTTGTGAAAAGTGGGTCAAACACGGTGTAGGGCCAGCGAACAGTAATTGCCTCAAAACAACCCTTGAAAGGTTGAAACCAAGCTTGAAAAGTATCGACTACTTACGTGATCCTAACGTCGAGGTACAGTTAATGTGATTTTTTGTTTTAGGGCTTAATTCAAAGGGGGTTTTGTTCCCCCAGTTTTGGTATGTGACCCTGAGCAAACCACTGTTGAGTAGATCGTCAAAGATAAAATCTCCATTTTACGCTTTCTCCTTTCTGGAAGCCAGCGGCAAGACAAGCACCTTCCGACTAAACCAGCTGCTGCTTACGAGAGCGGCCGCCGCAAGTGGATTCCTGTTCATTAGGCAGCGAGGGGCGCCGCGGCTCCCCTCAGCGGCGGGACGACGCCATCGTGAGGCCGCCATGTGCTGTGTGGCCGCGGCTTGCGGCGAGCGGGGCGGCAGCGAGTGCCGTGATTGCGCCGCTGCTGCTCTCCGAGCTGACTCTGGCTCCTTCGGCTCCCGGTCGCTGCGGGGCACGGCAAGCTGCCAGCGGGGAGCGAACCCCACAGAGGAACAAGACACAGCCCTTGTTGCCGCTCCGGGGAAGATGTGTTCTGGTCGGGTCAGCTGCACTGCCGGTCCCAGGAGGAAGGGGTGAGCGTGCTTGCACCGAAATGGAAGTGAGGAAGAGTTTGTTGGTAGCACTTTCATGAAAAGCAAGAGGCAGAGCCACACGTGGCAAGGACGGAGTGCCAGTTGGAGACGGTGGTTAAATGGGTGATGGATGGTGGCCATCAGAATGGACAAAGCAGGAAGCTCATGTTTTGTGGCAACAGGAGGAAGGTTCGTGCTCCACGTGAAGATCTGCCACTTCAGAGTAGATGTAGCACCCTGGGAACTTCTTTAGGCAGCTGGAGAAAGGCTCATAGGCACAGCTCTTGTGTTTAAGGGTGGCTTTAACCACTGCAGGTTCCCCTGGAAGGGCCTGTGGCTGGGCATGAGCAACCTAGAGGATTCTGGGAAAGTACTGTGAAGATGAATTCCTTAGTGCAGTTGATTAATGAACTAGGAGAGATGCTCTGCTGGACATGCTGTTCACAAACAGGGAAGAACTGGTGGAAGATGCAAAGGTCAAGGGCAGCCAAGGCCACAGCGACCATGAGACTGTGCAGTTGAAGATTCAGAGAGTGAGCAAGATAAACAGAATTACAAGGAACAGACAAAATGCTGAGGTACTTGAAGCCTGTTTTGCCTCAGGTTTGATAAGGCTTGTCCTATGGTCTTCCACGTCTTTGACCTTCCTAGCAGAGATATGGGAATGAAGTAGTAGCCACAGCAGAGGAAGACAGTTAGGGCTGACAACATGGGGATGTACACAGCTCAATGGGACCAGAGGACATGAATCCATGGGTGCTGAAGGAATGGGCTGGTGACATTGCAAGGCTGCTATCATCTTTGAAAGCTCTTAGTCATGCAAGAATGTCTCTGCTGACTGGAAAAAGATGTCATACCCATCTTCAAGAAAGTCAAGAAAGAAGATCCAGGGGATTACAGGCTGGTCAACCTCACATCAGACCTTGGGAAGGCTATGGAGCAAATACTTTTAGAAGCTATTTCTAAACACATGAAAGACATGAAGGTCATGGGGAGCAGTGAACATTGATTTATCAAAGGCACATCATGGGTGACCAAACTCATTGCTTTTTATAATGAGTTCACTGCTGTTACGGAGAAGGGGAGACCAGTGGATGTTGCACAATTTGACTACTTTAGGAGGTTTCCTGAAACAGTCTCCTGTAGTCTTCTTATCACCAAATTTCTGAGATGTGGAATGGGCAAGTGATCAATAAATTGGGTGGAAAATTGGCTGAGCTGCTGAGCTCAGAATTGTGATCAGTACTACAAAGTCTAGCTAGTAGTACAAAGTCCAGCAGCCACTAATTACTGGTGTTCTTCAAGGATCTGTAGGCAGGAAAAACTCTGAGGACAGCATTAGAGAGATAAACCTACCACAGTCCTCTCAGTGTATTACAAAGGACTTGGAAACTCCTGGGGTTTTGCATGCTAATTGTTTCTTTTAATGCAGTCATCATTGTCTTCCCTCTTGTAGTTAAAATAGTGATCCTTTATTAATTACTTGGAAGGAATGTATGGAAAAAATCCAATCATTAATGAAAAAAAAAACAACAAACAGATGTTCAGAATTACCAGCGATGCAAATGTGACCACATAGGTACCTATGAACTACAGTCCTGTTTCCCCAGAAGTGTGTTTTTAAAACAGCTTAACAGAAGCTACAATTTGCTATTCTGATCATCTGACCTAACAATGATTTTTTTTTCCCCCTCTTTTTAATAGTATTACATTGAAGAGACAACTATTGAAGAGGGTGAGCCATATGAGGTAAAGGTTCCTGTAATGTTGGATGTGGTTTATATATGCATGAAATTACAAAGTAATGCTAAATTTTGCATTCCATGGACTAATTTTTCATATTAAATACACAAATATCAGTGAACAGTTGCTTCTTAAAACTTTATTTCCCTTTCAAGACTGTTGTGGGATGATCTGGAGGACTCCTAGCTCGTTGAGTATCCTATCTGCCACTCATTGGTTTCCGTTAGCGGGAGCTGTGGCTATGTCCATCAGAAAAGGACTGTCCTGATTTCTGTCCCACCCTGTGTCTTCCATTTGCTTCTGCCCAGTTTGCAGAAGAGCTAACAAAATGAAGCAACAGATTGTGTTAATAATAGGAAACACAGGCAGCTAGGTTATTTGGGTAACATATTGACAAAATCCAATCTTTAATGTTAAAAAAGAACAGAATTATCAAGGGCAGAGTTAATTTTCTTCCTGGTAGCTGGTACAGTGCTGTGTTTTGGCTTTAGTCTGAGAACAATGCTGATAACACACCAATGCTTCAGTTGTTGCTAAGTAGCATTTACCCTGTTCAAAGACTTTCCAGTCTCTCATGTTCTGCCAGTGAGGAGGGGCACAAGAAGCTGGGAGGAAGCAGAGACAGGACACCTGGCCCAAACTAGCCAAAGGCGTATTGCATACCACAGCATGTAATGCCCAGTATAGAAACTGGGGGGAGTTACCTGGAAGGGACTGATTGCTGCTCGGGTCAGGCTGGGTATCGGTCAGTGGGTGGTGAGCGATTGTGTTGTGCATCACTGGTGTTTAGTGGGAGTTTTTGTTGGTTTTCTCTGTTGTTTTGTTGTTGTTGCTGTTGGTTTTGTTTTTTCTTTGCAGTGTTTTTTTTTTTCTTTTGTTTTATCTCCCTTTCTGTTATTCCCATCATTAGTATTAGTATTATATTGTACTTGATTTTAGGTATTAAACTGTTCTCATCTCAACCTGTGGGTTTTACATTCTTCCAGTCATCCTCCCCGTCCTACCTGGGGAGGGAAGAAGCTGGGGAGTGAGCGAGCGGCTGCATGGAACTGAGTTACTGGCAGTGTGTAAACTATGACAGATACTTAGAAATATATTACAGCTTTTTATAACACATAGCTTCACGTTTTGTTATGTGTATAGAACAAAGGCAGCAGGAGCCCCACTCTTCCGGTGCCTCTGGAGAATTACATGAATTTGATACAGAGACCAGTCAGTCAGTTAATTCCTTGTGTTTTTTTTTAGGTTGGGTGATGTGTAGTCAGCATACTTTGCCCAACAGGAAAAGTGTCTCTGATTTTCTGTCTTGCAGGTGGTTCCTGGAGCATCCTGAGAACTGAGCATCCTTTTACTAGCTAGGGGAGATGAAAAATGCTTTTCTTATTAAACTTTTATAGCTGTAAAGCAAGTAATTGTGTTTTTCTTTATTCCCAGGTGGTCACTGAGATCACTGAGACTGTTAGTACAGACTTCACAGGTCCTAAAACTACTACCTATACTGTTGAACGTGAAAAATCTGTTGAACATGACAAATCTGTTGAACATGAAAAATCTGTTGAAGATGCAGCACCTCCAGTCAGAAAGAAGACAATACGGACAAAAGTGGACCCATCTAAGTTTTTGACACCTTACCTGCAACACAGTAATAAAATGAAGGACCTGTTCAGTGAAGTAAGTTGTCCCATGTCTTTTATTTTTGAGGAACACCAACTTTAAAAATATTTAATGGGGATTATTGCAAACCTTCATGATACTATTTTGTCTCCTGTACTTTGTTTCATCATGTGTATAAATGTTACTTGCCTGAAGTGGGAAATTTCCTTCTCTGAGTTAGCCCATCTTGCCTGTTTCCTGCTTAAGTGCATTAGGTAATCATTAAGCACAAGAAATGGCTAAAGATTGGCAGAGATGTCAGTTAATAGGACTCCTGCACTCTCTGACTTGGATATTTGAGTGAATGATGATAACAATGACTAGTGTCTATTGAACAGCAAACCTCATTGAATATACTACTCAATGTATATTCTCAATATATAGAGAAATATACTATTATATACTATACTATAAATATATGATTATATATGTACTATTTGATACTATATTTCTCTATCCCTCTACCTATATCCAAGAAAAATCCTTGTGCACAGTATATAGGAATGATAACAAGCCTAAATTTCTGGTACAGGATACCAAAGTCCAGTTGACTAATACTGTATGATGTCTTTACAATGTTGTGAAGAGTGGAAAACGACTACTGTGGGCTGATGTAGATGGTGTCAGATCCCTTTTCCTAAATTTTAATGTATGTTACCTACCATCGTTTGCTGTTAAAGGATTATGTGAGATCATAGATCTAGGACTTCTACCTTCACCCACATATTTTCTGTATCTTTGGTCACTGAACCAAATAACTGTAAATTTATCAATACTAAGCTCCCGAGGAGAATATAATCAGAGGTGATCTAAACCATTTCTAAATTTAGAAATTGATATTTTGCTGTTGTGGATGTAAGATGAAAGAAAGTCAGTTGGCTAAAATAAGCATAACTCTGCAAATGTGATTGTGTAATGCTAATTGGTATTATTAAATAATCTGCCCCAAATTCCTATACTAACCAGGTAAATAAGTCAGTAATTGCTGCACACATTTCTTCCAGGGCTTCAGGATATGTCTTAGTTACATTTGTCAATATTTTCTTTCAGAACAAGTATAAAGAAAAATTCAGAAAAGAAAGAGGAAAGCCATATGCTTCCACAGTTGATACTCCAGAAATTCGGAGAATAAAGAAAGTGCAAGACCAGCTCAGTGAGGTAGGTAACAATTGTGTAAGAAAAAATGTTAGTGAGTATTAAAGAAGCAAATTAAGTCACAATTTTAAATGTTAGATAAGAAGCGATACATTTTTGTTGACATTGCAATAAGGCAGTCTGAATGTTTAGCAGAAACTTTATCAGATTTCAAGAGCAAGGAATACAGAGTATATGACAAGTTTGAGTTCTGTGATGTGGGTTGGAATTTAGGCCTTTCAGGAAGGGAGATGTGATGTTTCATTTCTAGCTGAATAATAACCCTGCTCCATTGTGCCTAAAGGGGTTTAAAATTTTCTGTTTGGAAGTTACAGGCATGGGAGATGATGGGAATGTCTGTATCACAGAATTTGAAGATTCCACACCCAATGTCCTGCAGTAATCATGAATGATGTGCCTGGTGAATTTTTGTTGAGGTTAAGTTGTGCGCTGGGTAAATAACCCTAGAATTTTGTTTTGAAAACATGTAAATGTTTTTTCATAAAGCAACTGAAAGTCACTTCCCTAAACCGATACTGAAAAATGCAGCAGCTCTAGTTTACCTTTCAACAATACACCTTGCAGCCTGGGAAACTGAAATCCACCTACAGAGGCTTCTTTCTTTGTACAGTAAATGGGGGGAGCTGAGTCCCTGGGAATGGGAACTCCTAAAGCTGAGAGGGTAGTCACCTAACCCAGTCAGTCTTCAGAAGAGTATGAATTAAATTCTACTCCACTCCTGACTTAGGATATATTGAGGAATGTGATGCAGCATTCCAGATGCTAACGCTGCAGAGCCTGCTGTCAAGCCGAAGTGATATAACTGCATTAGGGTGATTTTGTGCCCAAGTTGCTGGTTTGGCATGGTAATGTGGCTGTGTTGGTTTTGGCACTGTAGCTAGTGTTTACATAGTAATGGACTTTGAAATTGAGATATACTGCATAGCATGGGGATGTCTGTATTTCATTATACAGGGTGGAAGTACTCTTAGAACAAACTCTGTGATTACAGAAGGGCACTACCTCTAACTTGGTTTCACATCTCTTGAAACTTTCTCAATGTTGCATTTCTTTGTCAGTCAATTCACAAAATCCATTTGTTTCCGTGAGCTTAATTTTGAAGAAACAACTAGTTCTAAATGCTTTCCTGAATTCATGTTTTGGGTTTTTACAATAGTAAGTGTCAAAATGTTAATATTCTGCTTTTTTTTTTAAAAAGTGTCAGTTTTTGCTTTAAGAATAAATGCATTTGGTTGTGCATTAACCTAGGTTAAATACCGCATGGCTGGTGAAGTTGCTAAAACTATTTGCCATGTTGATGAAAAGGCCATGGATATAGAACATGCAAAGAAGGTGTCACAGCAAGTGAGCAAGGTAAGCGAGTTCTGATTTCTGATTTTCTGAAAGGGTGTGAACCTTAGTGGATTGTGAGGTTACTGATATGAATAAAGTTTTGAGCTCAGGGCACTAAAGAAATGTTTATAGAACAATTTAGAAGCACAGGGAGAGATAGCAGAGAAGCTGATAATGCAAGTATAGATATAATATTAAATGTTTCCAGTTGATGTCTTCAGGCATCACTGGTTTGAAACTTTCACTTTGAAAAAAAGATGTTTAGAGCAGGTAGTTTATTCACTAAAGTAAATATTTTTTCCTAATGATAGAATAACCGATGTGCTGATCTTTCTTTCCAGGTATTATACAAACAGAACTGGGAGGAGAATAAGGACAAGTACCTGCTTCCCCCTGATGCTCCAGAACTTGTGAATGCAATAAAAAACACAGCAATGTTCAGCAAGGTAAGTAAAAAATATGCCAGGCCTAGGCAGCTGAAGGGCAAGAAGCATTCCCAGTCAGAGATTAGTTCATAATAAGTATTCTGGCATTTTTCTGGTTTTTAGAAACTCTATACTGAAGACTGGGAAGGAGACAAAACATTATTCTATCCATACAATGACAGTCCAGAGCTCAGGAGGGTGGCTCAGGCTCAGAAGACTCTGAGTGATGTACGTATTAAAGCCTGGTTGACACTTGGGTGACTGCTACGGCGTAACTTGGTAGACTTGGTGGGTGACTTGGGCTAAATATAAACTTCATAATGGAACAGAAAACAAAAATGTGTAGGTGTGCACTGATAGTTCTGATAGCAGTGCTATTTCAATAGAAAAATATGTATTCTATATTAGAGTATAAATCTGTTGGCAATTTGGTGTTGGATTATGAATTAATGGAATAATTAATCATTGAAGATTTTCTGAGGTAATCCATAAGAAGACTTTTGAGTATCTTTCAAAAGTGTGGACAAACTCTCAGGTTTGGCTGTGAGCCCAGTTCATTGTTATGGGTCTACAAATCTGTCTCTGTCAAGAAAAGTCAGGAATTCATGAGTCTATGTGATTTGCTGATGCTTGGATACATAGAACTCTTTAACCGAGGATCTCGGGTCTCAAAGATTTTGGTGAATTTTGCAGATGTTTGCAAGTTCACTATTCCGTGTTTATCAGAAACAGAGTAATATACCTGAAAACTTTTCCAGGGAACCGATTCTTTTCCATTGTCCCTTCTCAAAAGGCTTCTCAATAGTCTTCCAGAATACACTGATTGAAAGAGCTTGTGCTGCAGTGGCTGTGGACAGAAGTGCTTTCGTTAATGGTGGTGTTAGCGAAGTCAAGAGTATATGTCCTGATGCTTAGTTACTGTTTACTTCTTTCATATTTTCAGATTGTCTACAAAAAAGGGCATGATGAACGAAAATCTAAATATACTCCTCTGCCAGATCCACCTGATGTTGAACAAGCCAAGAAAGTGACAAGGCAGCTGAGTGATGTGAGTAGAATGCAGTGCTCTTCTTTCTCACTTTTGGAATTAGAGAGGCAAAAAGGTACCTAGAGACAGGGAAAGCAAAAGAAAAGACCAGAGCTCACGTGCGAAGACCCCACTAAGTTGCATAATCTTGTAAATAGGATTTTAACTCAGTTCAGAATTCAGCTATTATGAAGAAGCCATGCATGATTTTATTGCTGTATGTTGAAAGTGATTTGCTGTTTAAGATTAGAGAGTTAAAGTATTCACTTATGGTTTCAAAACCACTAAGAAAATATTGTAGTGAACCCATCTGGAAGGTGAAGAAATTTCATTTAGAAAAAATTTCTTTAGTCTTATTCTTCCATAGCTTAAAAGCTAAATTGTCATCAAAAAAATTTCTAGAAGTGTGAAAAGCAAGATCATTATTGTAATTCTTTGAAATGAATAAAATAGTAAGCTATATAGGTATCTCCAAAATAATAAAATGTAGAATTTTTAAAGGTTATTTTTGGCATATATGGTCTTTATCAATGTGGTAACAATCAAAAAGGCACTGGAGAAATTGTATTTTTTATGATAAGCAGCTGTGGCTGAAAATGTGTTTGGAAAACTGAGTCAAAACAGGAGCTGTCTGTAAACAGTTGCTGCTTGATTTCCGTCTGTTTGAATCTAGTCTAATAGAAATCACATACATCAGGCAATTCGTATGTTAAAGAGTTTGCTTACAACAAGTTTCAGCAGCAGTAACAATGAATTCTGGTTTAACCATGGGCAATACTATGCCCCAGTGTTATGTGACCAATGAGAAAACTGAACTAAGTGACTATATTAGTGATATCTCATAGAGAGATTTTCTATTAATAACTGTCCTCTATAAGAGGGGACTTATTTCACCTATTTATCCTTTTTTTTGGTCAGGCAAGGTACTAAGTGAAATAACTGAATATTGAAGTGAATAGGCCAGATCATATTTAAGGTGCTTTTAACAATAACTGATAAAGTGATTGTAAGGCAGATATAAAATGTGAAGCAACTTTAAAAAGAAGACTTTTAAAAACAAATCTGTCAAGTGAAAATTGAACTGTATCTTAGGCATTAATTTTTATTTTTTTTGGTGGTAGATTATTTACCATGAGGACTATAAAAACAAGATCAAAGGCAAATGGACTCAAACTCCATGCTATGATGTTGCAATTGCAAAAATGAACGCAGAAAATCTAAGCATGGTAAGTGAATTCTTCAGAAAATCTTGACGTGAACAGCTTTATCCGCTGTTTATGTTAACCTAGAAAATACTCATGACTTTTGCCTGCTCCATTCATAGCATTTCTCTTTTCCTAAATAAGCAACTTCATGGATGTCTGATTTATAATGTAAGTGCATTGTTATCTGCTCATCTCTGTTCCTAACAGAGAAAATACCAAGAAGACTTTGAAAACATGAAAGACCAAATCTACTTTATGCAGACTGAAACTCCAGAATACGAAGCTAATAAGCGAGTTTCAAACAACGTCAGTAAGGTATGTCATCTGTTTAGCTTGAGCGTAAAGCTGAAGTCAGGCCAGTTTGTGCTGAAACTGTTTTGTCAGTGTCAGAAAGTATTTTCTTACAAGCAAAACAGGTATTCTTGTGTGCTTTCCCTCAGGAAGCTCCTAGGCATGCTTAAGGTCTTCCACAATAGTACCCATGAAATAGAATTTTCTTCCAGTGAAGTAGAATTTGCTTCATTATTTGTTCTAATGATGTTATGTGCCTAACTTTTAGCTGGAACAAATTCATACTGTTAACCAAGACCAACTTAAGCTAGCTGAATTTGGCTCAGAATTTTAATATTTATTCATCCTTGCTCAGTGTATTTCAGTGACATTGTGCTTTATTCAAAGTACAAAATTTGGCTTCTGCATTTTTTGCAATAGTATATGCATCAGCAAAGACAATCTTATGTCATTACTTGTAAAAATATGACTATTCTGAGATGTCAGCTGATATTTGAAAAATTACAATGTCTGGAGAGGTGCTTAGAGGTGGGGACATCTACTGAATAGCTTTCACTTATGTTGTGACCCTGCCTCACATCTTATCATCCATGCCCTCCTGTGATCTGAGTACCTTTCATGGTCCTTTGCCATCATGAATCATATGTCAAAAACCAGGGGAAATTTTCCTGAAAACTTCAACATAGTACAGGTTTGTGAGCATTTGGCTTTTATTACTGATTTTTAAAACCTCACCCTTTTTACTTTTTAAAGGTAAAATACAGAGCAGACTATGAAAAGAACAAAGCTATTGCAGATTATAACGTGCTTCCTGCTACAGAGAACCCATTGCTGAAGCAATTAAAAGCTGCAGGAAATGCGCTGAGTGATGTAAGTATTATCAAAGTACAGCTGGATGATTTTTAGTCATGTACAATAAGTCTTCATTTCTTCACAAGGCTTCTCCTTTAGATCTCTTGGTATTTCTAGTTTTCTACATCAATATTTATCATGAAATCCCACCCAAAAGGGCAGTATAGGTAAGGAGTAATTTCTTCGAAGCAGAATGGAACAATAGCTGTAACATGTTTTGGGGATAGCTAATTATTGAATAGTTCACTTAGATCTCTATGGAAAACAAATCACTAAATGACAGCTCTTCCCTTACTGTTTTAAGGAGCTTCAACTGATGGCAATAATGATAAAATATCTGGTACCTATCTATAATATTGTATTCTGGTTACTCACTGTAATGGCCTTCTCTGTCTCTTCCTGCCGTTTGCATCTGTGTGGAAGTAGACTGCTTATTTCTAAGTGTCAGAAGTTCAAAACCCCTTACTTAGTCAGGCCTTTCTGTCTTCTATTACAGGCCTAATAGTAATCAAAAAAAGGTGTTTTAAAAAATCATTGGGAAAAAGTGCCATCTGTTTTTTAGTTTTCTGGGAAAGCTTTTCTTTGCAATAATTTCACTCTTTTGTAATTTTTAATGTGTTGTGAGTGAGTTGCAGTGAAATATACTTCACTATCTGACATTGTTTTCTTCTGCAGAAATTATACAAAGAAGCCTATGAACAATCAAAAGGAACCAGCATTAATTACTGTGACACACCAAAGTTCCAGACTGATAGTGTTCTGAAGAATTTTAGTGACGTAAGCATTTGATTTATGTTGTGTTGTTCAGTACTGGCACTCCTGATATTACTTTTGTTTATCAGCTCTTGACTATTCTGTGATTCTATGATTTTTCCAGGTAAAATACAAAGATGCATATCAAAAAAATATTTTAGGACACTATGTGGGCAGCTTTGAGGACCCACATCAGATACACTGCATGAAAGTTGAAGCTATGAAGAGCGATGTAAGTGTGGCTGTCATTCTGTTTTCACCACCATGTTGTCATGTCAGAGAAAGCTCATGACATACAGAAGTAAGTGGCTTCTTACTGAATGTTGATTTTATTCCTAGAAAAATTACAAAGCAGAGTATGAAGAGGAAAAGACAAGATGCTACTTCCCTCAGACCATAACTCAGGAGTATGAAGCAATTAAGAAGTTAGAGCAGTGTAAGGATGTAAGTACGGCATAGTAGTGGTTATCAAGTAGCCAACTACATGCAGAGTATCTGTGCCTCGGGCACTCAGAAACTTACAGAGCGATTCTTCTTAATTTTGATGATTTTTAATTTAGTCTTATTAGCACATATGACTTGTAAAAACCATGTTCAGCTGTATTTTAGAGCCTTTTCTGACATCTAGTGATCAAGACAGATACAGCATAATCTTTTTTTTTCTAACAAGTAAAACCATAAAATTGGAGTAGTACCAAACTGAATTAGTGATCCTCAGGATTTACCTGCTGAAGTCAATGTATTTTTCCATTAATACATTAAAGGTACTTTATTAATACCAATTTTATTTACTTTGTCAATACTTGGAAAATGCTTTATATATTTGTATATAATATACTAAAATGAATAGGCTATAATATTTATAATGTATTATCATTTATGCCATACATTATAATATTTATATAGCTATTGAAATATTTTATATTAATACTTTAAAAAATTATTTGCTCTTTGATCATGTTAAAAAGTAACATGAGAACCATTGTGCAGGACAGTGCTTATCTGCATGCATGCCACAACTATCCTAAGTAATGCAAGATTGGTATGTCTTATAAGATAGTTTTGCTTATTTGCATTTTCTGTAAATATGTTTATTATATTCCTTCAGCACACCTACAAAAAGCATCCTGATCAAACCAAGTTTACTCAAGTGACTGACTCTCCAGTACAGAAGCAGGCAGAGATCAATAGCAAACAGCTGAGTGATGTAAGTAATCTTAGGAAATATGTTGCTGCACTCTGACATTATCAGTTTCTGCACTCTTGACTACCTTTACTTTATCATCCAGTTTTAAGAGAACTCCTGAAATGAATGCGTAGGTGAATGTGTGCACATACACACACACGCACAAGCACAAAAACGTTCATGGGTAGTTGCAGTTATGTTCCAGTGGGAGATCAGCTGGAAATCAGGTTTTTTTTCAGTTTTTCAGTTGGCTGTTCATGTCAGTTTTTAGTATGTATGTCTGTAACTTCGTGTCTGTCATTCTCAATGTGTTCACACCAGTTAAGTCAGTGGGGTTTATACCACTTGGCAAGGACTAGGATTTCATCTGTGTGTCTTTGTGAGTGAGTAACATGAGATCCTAGAATCATAGAATCATAGAACAGTTCTTTAAGCTGTATCACTCTGCATTATTAAGCATTTGCAATCTCTAAATATTGTGTTGCTGAATTTCTGTCATTGTTTTTCTTTGTAGATAATATATAAATCCAAAGGTGAAGAAATTATTCATAAGTACCACCTCCCTCCAGATGTGCCCCAGTTTATACAGGCTAAAGTTAATGCCTACAATATTAGTGATGTGAGTATATTTTGAATCTAAAGTTATTAATTCGATTTACAAGATATAGTTTCTGTTAGCTAGTAGCTGCTTATTAAAAATTCACCTTTTCTCCTAGAACTATTACAAAATGGGATTGGAAGAATTAAAATCAAAGGGATATGATCTAAAAAGTGATGCTATTCCTATCCAAGCTGCCAAGGCTGCTAGGCAGGCTGTCAGTGATGTAAGTATATCCTTCCTGAAGGAACTGCTTAACTCACAAGAGTTTATACTTAAACAGAATTTGCAATTCTGTTTATTAAGGACACATAGGATAACTTCTTTATTGCTTTTTTTGGGCCTGTTATTGGATGTATTTAACACAGTAATATTTTCATGGTGTTTCGTTGTTTCAATACATATTTGTATAATTACATTTAGAAAAGGCTTTTACATTATCTAATTCTCGTGAATAAGTAGGCTTTTGCGCTCCAGTATGGTTAAGGTAAATCATGACAAGTAGGTCAGTAATGACAGCTCTATGAGCAATGGACCCCTGAATTCTCCCTGTCATGAACTATAGGCTGAATCATAAATTAGATGGAAGACTCTAGGTCATCACTGGATTTTTGGTAGATTTTTGGGGATGGTCTTGCAGAGGTCCCTTAGTGTTTTAGACTTCTCTCTCTTATAATCAGTACAAGTGAGACAGTACTACTTTGAAAGCTAGCTGATTTGTTTGTCACTGAATTTTAAAGAGATACATGCCTGGATTTATTAAGATGTGTGGTATACTCTTTGTAGAAAACAAAGGGTAGCCTTTGCTTTTAATTACTTATTGCTAAGTTACTTAGATGATATTTTCCTTGTTCTGTTATATTCTAACAGGTTAACTATAAAAAAGCCTATGAACTTACCAAGGGTAAACTTGTTGGCTTCAGGAGCATCCAAGATGACCCCAAACTCGTTCATTCTATGAAGGTAGCCAAGATGCAGTCTGAGCGAGAGTACAAGAAGGATTATGAGAAGACAAAAACTAAGTACAACATTCCATTGGATATGGTCAATGTTGTTGGTGCCAAGAAGGCTCAAGAGATTGCCAGCAACACTAATTACAAGAACCTCTTCCACCATTATACTTACTTACCAGATGCAATGAATGTGGAGCTTTCCAAGAATATGATGGAGATTCAGAGTGATGTAAGTAAAGCCTCATGTGAACAGAATTTTTTTGAGATGCCTTAAGCAAAAACTGTGAAGACTCAGGAGAGGTCCCTGAATTGTTTTTCATACTTCCTAACTTTTAAAACATTGTTTTCACTCCTTTATTAGAATGTGTACAAAGCTGATTATAATAACTGGATGAAAGGCATTGGTTGGGTCCCCATTGGATCACTAGAAGTAGAAAAAGCTAAAAAAGCTGGAGATGCCTTGAATGAAAAGAAATACCGCCAGCATCCGGACACCATTAAATTTACAAGTGTGGTGGACTCTCCAGTAATGGTCCAAGCCAAACAGAATTCAGTTCAACTCAATGATGTAAGTAGAGAAAGAAATGGGTGTTAAGGTAAAGATATTGTAAAGATGTATCTACTGAAAAGCTGGGAATTGTCTGTAAAATATTTTAAAGTATTGTTAGCCTGAAAGTGTTGCCCTGTGTTGTCATTGTTTTGTGCTCTGATTTGCCTGGGAATAAGGTCTGTATAGGTCTGTAAATCTCTCTGAAATCATGTGGCTTTTTAAGTTCACATGGGTTGATTCCGCCCATTTGTATTCTAAGTACATTTGAAATACATTTTATTTAAGAAATGTGAAATTTCCAGGTTGTTTATTCATGTTTTACCACCTGCAATAATAAATTAACTACATAATGTTCGACAAATCATAGTATGTCAATCACTATAACCAGGAAGCTTTGTTTTGTGTTACTCTTTATTATCCTGTTCTTTCATAAATGTGGCTTTATGTCCATTAAAGGCCTTAATTTTATTGAGTAAAGACTGCATGAAGCTTTTAGGATGCATTCCTCAGTAAGATTAACAACTCTGTGTGAAAAGTGCAGGCTCAATCTTTATGAAATAGGTGGCAATGTACATCTATTTGCAAAATTAAACATAAACCCTCAGTTAATTTACAGTAACCTAAACAAGGAAAGGATTTATTTCTGTATCATATATTTTACAGAAACTATATAGATCTTCTGGAGAGGAAGTTAAACATAAATATACTCTAAGCCCGGATATTCCACAGTTTATCCAAGCTAGATACAATGCAGCTAATATCAGTGATGTAAGTGACTTCTTTACAACATTTTTTACGCATCATTAATGAATTTTTGAGTAATATGTTAGAGATTGCAGGTTCCTTTCACAGATAAGCAGTTCTGTATAGTCAACTTCTATCAGTGTAATTTTTCATTCTTTGTGTTACTTGGATTTCCAACCAGATATCATTTAATTAATGTAATTAATAGATAAATCTGTTCTTATAAATGAGGACCAAGGGTTGTATATGATCCCCACCGCACCTGCTTCCAAAGAATTACCTGGAGTAGCTTAGGAATAGCTTTGACTTGCATATAGGTCATGTGATTGCTAAATTCTCTGGAATAATACGGATTTTCTTTTTTAGGCTTATTATAAACAAGGCTACCATGATCTAATAGCTAAAGGGAACAAGGTTTCTCTTGATGCTATTCCAATTACTCTAGCCAAGGCTTCGAGAAACATTGCTAGTGATGTAAGTATCTACTCCAGGTATGCTATCCTACATTTAGTAGAACGTTGCCCCTTCCAGGCTGTCTGGTAGACCTCATGTGTTGCACAAGTCTCAACTAGAGTCAGCATTATGAGAAGGCGATTCTTAGTCTTTCCCAAAGGCCTAGTTTGCACAGAACTTATTTTATGCTCATCTTGTTTGCTTTAGATAGGCAAATGCTTTTATACTGTGTTTCTTAACCTGCTTGACACAGGAGAAATTAAATCGGTAGTTCTTGCAATCATTCTATGACAAATTTCCAGAAACACACTGCGTTGGCACCTATTTACAGACAACAACATGTGTTCAGGGTGCTTTTGGTTGTACAGTGGAGCATGGCTTATGCATGAATTGGAGGGCCATGTAGTACAAATTGTGTAAGGTGGGATATGTACTATTGGTTTTGTATAACTAGAGGCAGCTCTCCAGTCATATGCCATTTGTTTGCTTTTGCTTTCAAATGACTGAGAAGGATTGTCTCAATTATTCTGATATTTTTCATACACCTTTCTGCACAGGAATGCTTAGGAAATGTTTTCCCTTACTTAAAAGAAAAGCTAATACTGAATGATCTTATAGTGGTGCACATAACCTGTAGTGTACAGGCTTAGATGGTGCAGCAAGAAAAGCTCGTGTTTGTGCCAATTAGGAGAGTTTATCCTTCTGAGCTGCTTGCAGCTGCTTTTTCCAATAAGAGCTTTTCTTTTGCGTTAGCATGGACATAAGTAGCCATACAACTCTCTTTCCTCTGTTTCTAGTATAAATATAAAGAATCATATGAGAAGGCTAAAGGAAAACAGGTTGGTTTCAGAAGCCTGCAAGATGACCCTAAGCTTGTTCACTACATGAATGTAGCAAAGATTCAGTCTGAACGCGAGTACAAGAAAGACTATGAGAAGACCAAGACTAACTATCATGCAACTCCTGACATGTACAGTATCCAGGCGGCTAAACAGTCTCAGGACGTAGCTTCTAATGCTCATTACAAAAAACTGATCCATCACTACACTTACCTGCCAGATGCCATGGATGTTGAGCTTGCGAAGAACATGATGCAAATTCAGAGTGATGTAAGTATTTCATTGATAGCAATTTCATGGATGTTTTCCTGCATACTGTGAAGATAAAATATGAGTTTATATTCCATTGAAATTGCCATTACTGTATTGGAATGGTCTGTTTTTCTTATGTCTTGGAGAAGATGTAAGTTTTATCAGCTGGTGGCATTTAGAAATAACCAAATTGCAGGTGTGTTGTTCTTATCAACAGGGTTTTGATGTTGGCATATCAGTATAGAGCTGAATTCTGGAATGCTGAATTCAAGCTAACTCCCCCCCCCCCCCCCCCCCCCCCGAAACTTTATTTTGCAACTAACTAATGTAATTTTGTTTTATTCCTTAAGACTTCTTTTAAGTTGTCTTGCTTTTTTATTACAGGAGATAGATAGGGTAGTGTAGGGGGTCTATTGTTAATCACTTAAGATGAAGGAGTGGACAAAATGGAGCTATTGATATTGTTGGAAATACGTGCTGGAGATCTCTAGTATAGGAGATACCTCTTAGGAGCTTCTTGGTCCTCGCAGATAGTTTCAGATGGTTGACTGGGCATACGTAGTTGCACTCCGCACCTCCGTATATACTGCAGAATTTGACTCTGTGGATCTCTGTGGAGGACCACTCATTTTAGAGTTAGAACATGGAATAGTCTTAAGAAAAGAGTGTACACAATAGCCTTGCATTCAGAACTTTGTCTGAATGTTTATATGGGATAACCTTCTGCATATTTTGTAGCCATGATAAATTTTTCACTTGCAGTCTGTGGACTCTCCATAATTTACTGTAGGAGGAACTATAAGAAAAAAACCAAAAATTGAGACTGTGGAATCTCTGTACAAGGCCAGGTCTCATAGAGTCTGCTGAAACACAGAACAAATTAAACAGTCACTATATCGTAGTTTAGAAGTTACTAAGAATTGAAGGTTGGTGAAATTTTTCACATAGGTAAAAGAAAAGGATGGTTAGTAAATACTGGGTTCATGAATCATGAATCAAAAATACACTTGTTTTTCTTCTTTATAAAATTAGAGAAGCATAAAAAGAGCGTGCTGTTCCCTTCAGGAATTTATAAATATTTCCTGCTCATGTAGAATATGCTAGCTGGGCTATGTGATTATTGCTTTAAACAGAATTATTACAGTTCTGTGGGAAAATCTTGATCCATGTTGGTTTTTTCTCCTTCAGAATGCGTACAAACAAGATTATAACAGCTGGTTCAAGGGTATTGGCTGGAGTCCTCTTGGTTCTCTGGATGTTGAAAAAGCTAAAAAGGCTGGGGAGGCATTAAATGAAAAGAAATACCGTCAGCACCCAGACACCATCAAATTTACAAGTATACCAGATTCAATGCCAATGGTTTTAGCTCAGCACAACACGAAGCAGCTGAGTGATGTAAGGAATTTTTCGTTATTAATGCAATATAGTGATTTTAATTTTTGCCATATTTATGATTTCTGTGTTACTGTTTGACATTCCATCCAAAAAAAAGAAGTTAAATTTTAAAAATGGTAAAAATAGTAAGATTGCCATTTGTTGGTAAGAATGAAGCATTGTTACCTTGTCTCTATTTGTTAACACTAATATTACCTGCTTTCCAAGAAGTATTTGTTTATTTTTCCTTGCAGGTAACATACAAACAAGAAGGTGAAAAACTGAAACACAAATATACACTGGATCCTGATGTTCCTCAGTTTATTCAAGCCAGAGTTAATGCCTACAATTTGAGTGATGTAAGCATACAGCCAATAATCTGATCAATAATATATTGATTTGTAATTTACTTAATAGAAGAAATAACTTTGTGATACGATACTGAATATAGAAATGCACAATCTCTGAATTCAGCTAAACTCTTATTTCTAGAAGACAGTGAGTTTTGTGCTGGTAAAGTAAATTTTGAAACTGACTGAGCATTCATGAACATAAACACATTGTAACGTTTTATTGCCAAAATACTTGGGTAGACTGAATGAGAAAATTACTCAGATTCCTGTAGGTTTGGAGATTTATGTAATCTACTTTTGTATGAAATACACCACAGAGGCAAGCAGTGCAAGTTCTCTTTATGTTGCTACCTCCTTCTGAGCTTTCAAAGGAAATTAACTCATCCTGTGTCAAGATAATAATGCCTTTTTTCTGCTGTTCAGCTACTAATCTGTCTCCTTTTCATCACTTCTTCCATCCATCCAACACCACAGGGATCTCCATTATTAGTATCAAATTTATTCCCTTTGTGATATTAAGTGTTATGGTGACATTATCAGGCCTCCAAGAACCTGGTAAAATCTCCTTTAATAGCCTTGAAATACTAATAGTCTGTCCAGATATTAACTGCTAACAAAAAACCAGACAGACTGCTTTCTTCAGTTTGTTAAGATCACAAGGCCTGATTTTTAAGCTAACAGGAAAAAAATTCTGAAGGTTTAGTCAAATAAGAAAGGGTTTGCTTTCAAAGCAAGGGCAAAAATGCCTTACAATAGGGTTATTCAGCATAAAAATTGCAGGAAACGCTTACAGAGTTAGTGGTTTGTCTACGTGTGTTAAACTGATTGTCTTGAAGGACTCTCCCGTCTTTGTATCAATGCATTTATCAGAATATAGCTGTAGTTTCTGTGCAGGTCAACATTTTTCCTTACAATTGCACAGACTAAACTGAGTATTTTGATTCCCATAACTATAATAAAAATATGGGCTTAAACAGCTGTGTTAAAATTGTTACTTGTACCTTTGCGAACTCATACTGTTTTTTCCCCATAAGGCTAACTACAAAGCAGACTGGAAAAAGACCATAGCAAAAGGATATGATCTGAAACCAGATGCCATTCCTATCATTGCTGCTAAGGCTTCTCGGAATATTGCAAGTGATGTAAGTATAATTCACATGAAGTGAAATAAATGCATCTACTGTGTTACAGCTTTCTGTAACATAGCATGCTATAGAATATATGCTGTATATGTATAATGGTATAGAGACAGTTAACCCTGAGAACTGGAACTCTTATGATACTTCAAAATAAGAAGTAAATTCAGATGTTTACATGAATGTCTGAAAAAACCTCTTGCTTTGGAAATGCATCATAATGTGTGTGAGTGCTGGTGAGGTGGGGCTGGTTGTTTTATGTGCTTCATGTATTCACCAGCTTATTTGGAATTTCCTTTGTTATAATTTACCTGAGCTGTATTCTTAATTGCTGGAGACCTGTATTTCTACTTGACTGGCATTCATGAGTAGTACAGAAATGTGGCTGTGTTCATGCAGCTACATTAATTGGCAATAGTAAAACTTGGTGTGCCATCCGACACAAGCTGTGAAAGGGGATTTGGAACACAGAAATAAATTTACTAACTTTAAAATGGCTAGAATGACTTCCATTTCCCATTTAAAAACTACCTCCCTCCAGTAGCTGAATATAGGGACATCTAATTGTCTGGTAGTCTTAGGCTTTTTAATCATGAAAAGATGAACATTCCTGGGAGTTAGAAGTGTATGGCAGTAAAATATAATGTGGCGGAGGCAATGTCGAGGGAGGGCATGTAACTGCATATCTAGGTTTAGGTCTGTACCAGCAGTCAAAAAAGCAGAAAAATCTAGCAATCCTGTTCTATTTTTTTCCTGAAAAAGTTTATTAAGAATGAATGGCAATTGTTAAAATGCTGAGTATCACAGTATTAAAATTATCAAAAGCATGTTTTGTCTTTCTGAAGTGGGTGAAGGCTTTCTTTTCTTTTGTCTCTAGTACAAGTACAAGGAATCATATGAGAAAGGTAAAGGCAAACAGGTTGGATACCGTAGCCTGCAGGATGATCCTAAACTTGTTCATTACATGAATGTGGCCAAAATGCAATCAGATCGTGAATATAAAAAGGATTATGAAGTCACCAAGACCAAATATCATACTCCATTGGATATGTTCAGTGTGACGGCTGCCAAGAAAGCCCAGGAAGTGATTACAAATACTGGCTATAAGCAGCCAATTCACAATTATACACTCTTGCCTGATTCTGTGAATCTGGAGCTATCAAGAAATGTGATGCAGATTCAGAGTGATGTATGTAATAATTAATCTCATTTTTTTTTCTTCTCGTAATGACTGTGTTATACTGTTGATGTTTTAAGGGTAAAAATTTAACTGTATTGGATTAACAGTAGACTGAGATGTAAATATCTGGTCTGGAACCCTGTGTTTTCAAAAATTACCAGAATTATGTATAGCTGATAAGGGACTTCACTAGCAAGTAACAACTTCCTGTGTTATATCTCTACATATTTGACTAATGAACGTGTTTTTCTAATTAATGTTTTTTGTAGTTGAATTTGAATTTGTTGTTACTGTGATTATTATTTGTGTTGTCTGATTGTACGTTATATATAGTCTAAATTCTGACTATATTTTATTCAAGTTTTCAAAAAATGTGCATTATGTACATTTGTATTATATCTCGGGATTTGAGATTATTTTATTTTGTTCACTTTTCCTTTCTGCTTTTGTCCTCCCACAGATGCATATGCCACTTACGATAAAGATTCCTAAAATAGCTTTGTAGTTTCCATAGTTTCCATTAAGTTCTGTGACTCATTTCCTGTTTTTTTTTTTTCTTTTTCCCTGTAGTGTAACTTCAGGCACTGCTTCTTTACCCAGAAATATTTAGTTTAATCTGCTTTATTTAACAGTCCTCTGACAAATTTAAAGTTCTTCAAAATGTTAGTAATCTGATTGGAAGTGTTCTTCAGATTCTAAGTATTGTTTGGAGAGGATCATGTGCATGTTCCCATTGACCAACAGACAGAGGATCCAAGCTTTAGACACTGTTCTTTTCGAATACAGAAATTTGCATCTCAATTTTTTTATTTCCCCGTTGTATTTTTACCTGACCTTACTGTGTTGGCTGAGCTTGCTTGGCTGTCTCAGATGTTTGCAAGCAGAGAAGTGTATTATATGAGGACAAATTTTGCCCTGTATACACATGCTGTGAAAGTATGTAGTCTTTCTCTCAGACTCTGATACTCTCCTTGTTAATCCTAACTCTGCAGTTCAGGTACAGGTTTTTGTTGCAGTATTTTTGTACCTTTATCTGTTCTGAAGTATGATTAAGTAGGAATGGTGTCTACTCAAGATTGTGCAGAACAAGGCAATTAAGAGAAGTTGTTGAAACAATTTCTCTAAATCAATTCTACTATTCACCAACAAACAAGAGTGTCAGTTAAGAAAAATATTTTATTTTTGATAGAATTTTGTATTTATGACTCAAAATTTGTTTTAAGGTCTGTGCATTTGGTTTGTAGTGAGAGTTCTACACGCTGGTTTAGTGAAAAGAATTTCTGTGCATAGTTGTTAATGTATGCTAAGAATATGGAAACCAGTAACAGTTATAACAGGCTTGTCTAAATTTTCCTGAAAAAATGAATAACCAGGAGAAGTTTTAAGGCCTTACCTGTGTTTATTTATGTAGGCATTCTAATTTTCCTTGTCTCACTGTGGTCTTCTTTGTCTATTTTTTAAAAGAATGTTTACAAATCAGACTTTAATAACTGGTTGAGAGGAGTTGGCTGGGTACCAATTCAGTCACTGGATGTAGAAAAGGCCAAAAAAGCTACAGAGATTCTCAGTGAGAAGAAGTACCGCCAGCACCCAGACAAGCTGAAGTACTCCATTACAATGGATGCCATGGAGCAAGTGCTAGCTAAGCAAAATGCCAAGACCATGAATAAGGTGAGAATTTGTGCAGGTGATCATGAGTCGGAGGTTGGGTCGTTGTCTTGCAAAATTGTGGAGCTGGTGCATTCCCACAGAAGTCACTAGATTTCAATGAGTACAATGATTTGCTTCATTAAGACTGGCCACTAAGAGATGCTGGAAGCCTCAGACTATTCGTAATTAAGGGGTTTTATTTTCTGTTTAAAAAGATTAAAAAATTCTCTTCTGTGTATGTGAGTAAAGATGTCTTCTCCAGATTTATAGTGCTTTGGTAGCCTTCATTCTTTTTCTGCAGGAAGTAGTATTCAGAATCAGTGAGTTGAAAAACCTCTGGAATTCTTTTAGTTATGTACAACTTGCCTTGAAAAGTGGAGTTCTTTAAATTTACCCCACGTTGCCTGTGACACCACTGATCCCACATTCCATGTTTGCTGTGGAAAGGGGGTGTGTAGAAAAAAAACAAAATTATGCTTTGCATTAAAGCGGGGAAAATGCAGACAGAAATATTCCATTTAAATATTTAACAGTTCTGAAAACATACTTTGCAAATTTCTCAAATAGAGTACTAACCGAAGAGGAGGAATATAATATTGCCACTCAGCTGTTGTATTTGTGAAGATTATTTATAGTGCTTATGACACTAAAATGTTATTTATTGCAAATGAACATAACAACAGAAAGCTCTTATTTTATGAGTGCAATGCTTTTTCAGTGCTAAATATTACTTTTTAATTGCAGAGACTCTACACTGATAAATGGAATCAAGAGAAGACCAGCATTCATGTTATGCCAGATACTCCAGAAATTCTGCAGTCTAGGGTGAACCAGATCACAATGAGTAATGTGAGTTGCCATGCTCACATGGGCTTTCAGTGTCTCTTGCAAAAATTCGTGTCATTTTTATGTGTTTTAAGTTTATGTCTAAGCTTCAGTACTTCTGCCTTCATAATAGAGAACATATTTTCCTTTACTTTTTAAATTAGAAACTTTACAAAGCTGGGTGGGAGGAAGACAAGAAGAAAGGTTATGACTTGCAGCCAGATGCCATTCCAATAAAAGCAGCCAAAGCCTCCAGAGACATTGCAAGTGATGTAAGTTTGATTGCATGATACTCCTCAGAGTAACTACAAAGACAGTAAGAGAGCATTTTCAAGGTGTTCTGTTATGCACAAATGATTTTTTTCAAACATCTTGAGTTGTTTATATTTCAGCTGTATGCCTGATGGTATAAATGTTTGCAGTATTTGCTCTCCAGTGGAAAAATGTTGCATTGTGCTTTTTTGCTCTTTGTTCAGCAAGCTGCTGAGCTCCATGTGCCTGTGCCATGGGCTGTTACGTAAGGCTATGTTTAAATGACAAAACCTGAGATCTTGTCATGACCCCCCCCCCAGATACTTTCTTGTTTTCAGGGATATGATTGAGCTTAATAGCACATTTTTAAAGATTTAATTTTTTGCTGTTCTTCCTCTTTCCTGCTGTCAGTATAAATACAAACTAGCCTATGAAAAAGCAAAAGGAAAGCATATTGGATTCCGCAGCCTTGAAGACGACCCCAAGTTGGTGCACTTCATGCAGGTCGCTAAGATGCAGTCTGATCGTGAATACAAAAAAGACTATGAGAAAGCAAAGACTAATTTCCATACTCCAGTTGACATGTTCAGTGTTGTGGCAGCCAAAAAAGCACAGGAAGTGGCTACAAATGTAAACTACAAAAACTTGATTCATACCTACAGTGTTCTGCCTGATGCTATGAGTCTTGAATTAGCCAAAACCATGATGCAGATACAGAGTGATGTAAGTGAGAGATTCTTCACCCTTTGCATTATGAATACAATAATGCATGGTTTATGAAAGCATATTGTAAGATAAATAGTACTATTTTCCTAGTGAAATTAGTTATGTACTAAAATGTAGCAAATGGAACAAAACCTTCAGCAGTGATAGCCATTGTATTTTTGTAAGACTTGAAGTATTAAATTACACCTATTGCTAAAGAATTTGGGCGCAGAAACAAATAATTTTATGTATTAAGTGAAATGGATATTTATTGCTTACATGTCCTGTTGGATCTCCAGGAGCAATATTTGTGTGCAGGCCAAGACAGAAAAAGCTTCTTTTTTTGTTAACAGTTTTATACTGTACTTCCAATAAGATCTTTTCAGAAGAAGGGGAAACCACCTAAATAGCCATATTCTCAGATTTTTCTGGGATTTTCAACCTCTATAGAGGAGGGCGTTTTTTCTTGGTAGAGTGGTTCAAGATGATCTCCTTCTTCAATGGGACTTGAGTATGTAATCTCATGTGAGCAATCTATATACATCATAAGGAGGATCTGCACATTGTATAAAAGGCAGAGTAGTAAAATACAGACACCACTAACAAATGTGTTTCTGAATAAACCTTGAATACACCTTGATACTGTGCTTCTTTTTAGAATAAGTGCATTAAAAATCTAACATTCATTAAACACAGAAATAAGTGTCATGATTTGCAAACTTTTTTGTAAATCTGATTCTTTTCTTTTTCTGCCTCCAGAACCAATACCGAGCAGAATATGATGAAAGTATGAAGGGTGTTGGATGGGTACCACTGGGCTCCCTGGAAGCTGAAAAGAATAAGAAAGCAATGGAAATTCTTAGTGAAAAGAAGTATCGCCAGCATCCAGACAAGCTGAAGTATTCTGTTCCTCTAGATTCCATGAACATGGCCTTAGCTTTAAATAATGCTAAAATTATGAATGAGGTAAGAAAGCATTAATAGAAATTCATTTAAGTTTGCAGAAGTAAGAAACAAACTATACCTGATGTAATAGTCAATCCTACTATGTGCACCCCTTCAGTAATTGTCAATTTTGGCAGCTAATGAATATGCTTGACTGTAATTGTATTTCATCTTAATAGACCTTTGATATACCTGAAATCAAAGTGTGACCCTAGTATTTCTAAGAAATACATGCAAAGACAGAGCAGGGTGTGTGTGTGTGTGTGTCATTTTATTAATGAAGTTTGCCCAAGATAACTGATTTTAGCCTTTTCTTGGGGTTAAAAATACTGGAGTGAGCCCTTTCAGAAACAAGGTTTAAGCTTTTGAACGTATAGTCCATTTCATCTGATGCCTGTTACATTAATATGAAATTACTACATGATATGAATGCTGTTATAATGGGATATTTATTTTCTAGCTCTCCTGCTGAACTGATGTAATCTGCTGGTGTTCCTTAGAAATATCTAGGCTTCACGTGTGTTGTAGTTACAGAGACCATCAGAATCTTATGTGTACTTTCGTTAGCTCTGTTTCCTCTAAGAAAAGCTTTATTGCCTCTCTCAACTAACACTTACTTTCTTGGAGATAAACTAGTAATCTTCCACCTGTAACTTATTTTTTTTCTTATACCTTCTGGCTTGGCTTTTAGCCATGGGTTGACCCCGGTAGGCAGCTAAGCACCACGTAGCCACTTGCTCACTTCCTCCCTTAGAGCGGGATGGGAAAAAGGAAGGGCAGAGTAAAAGTAAAAAAAAACCCTTGTGGGTCAAGGTAATAATTGTTTAATAAGCAAAGGAGAAGTGGAAGAAGATAGAAAACAAGTGATGCAAAAGCAGCCGCTTGCCACCTCCCACAGGAAGGCTGATGTCCAGCCAGTTCCCAAGCAAAACCCTCTCTGCCCCTTTTTATTTGCTGAGCATAACATTATGTGGCGTGGCATGCCTCTTTGGTTAGCTGGGTTCATCTACCTGGTTATATCCCCTCCCAACCTCTTGCACATCCCCAGTGTGTTCACTGTGGGGGCACAGAGGAGCAGTGAAGGCCTTGATACTATGCACACACTGTTCAGCAAAAGCTGAAACATTGGTGTGTTACCAGCGTTATTTTAGTTGCAAATCTAAAATAAAGCATGGTTAGAGCTGCTGTGAAGAGGATTAACTCCATTCCATCCAGACCCAGTATGTTCTGAAACCTGTTGTTTTCTGCTGTTCAATGTGCTTGAATACACTGCTGGACAAAAGAGAAGCAATAAAATAATCTAGCAAAACTGAAAATTGAAATGAATTATTTGAATAAAAACTGAAATAAAAATTCTTTTATTTCAGCCTCACACAATGAACTTCGTAAGAGCTATTCCTGATATACACTGCTTTTAATTGCTAAAATAAAAAGACAAATGCTCCTACAATGTTAGTAGTTGCATCATTGTAAAGAGAGATTTTATTTCAAATAGGAAATATTCTTTTAAACTGTTTCATGTAGTTTTTATATGTTGACATTTTAAATTTTTTTTTTTATTCTTCCAGCACAAGTACAAACAAGCATGGGAAGAAGACAAAAGGAAAGTTCACATCACACCAGATGTTCCACAGATTGCTTTGGCAAAAGTTAATGCATTTAATCTAAGTGATGTGAGTACTGTTCTTTATTTTTAAAATTTTTTTTTAATAAGGAATAAGTGAGAAGACAGCATACGACAGTATCCCTCATTCTCACTTTGAAAACTTGTAGTAATTTCACAAAGGGTGATTCATTTTCCTTTTCCCACTTTCCCCCAAATTAAATACTGAAATTTAACCCATAGTATATGTAGTTAGGTTATGAAGTGTTTAGGTAGGTCATTAAAATAGAATAGTTACTGACAAAATAGTAAGAGTAGAATTTGAGTACTGTCCGTGTTTGTTACTGTAGTTATTGTATTATTTCCCTGTGCCCAATGTTCTGTACAGGATTCAAAATTCTTACAAATTGAACCTATTCTTTCAGTCATAGATGGTATTTGAGAATTTTTTGGTAGCCAGTTGTTAAGGCTGTGTATGCTAAATAGAATAGTGTTTGTAATTGTGCACATCTTCAGTGTGCATAGAAATAGACATATTTATGTTGTTTTTTTAAAGGTGGCATCCTTATATGTGTAAACTATTCACCAATATCTTCACACATGGAAAACTAATGCAATTTCTTGCTCTTTTATTATATGGTATTGCCACTGATTATAGTTCAGTCCATCTGCATTGACGTATGAATACTAGGTTTGGTGTTAATTTTGAGTGGATATTTGTAGCTCTGTCCCTTGAGTGCCTTAAAGAACTGTTCAAGGAATGTTAAATATAGGAATAGTCTGTGTTTCATGTTATTGTATTAAATTACTAGAGCTTTATTTAAGTGATTGTGGTATGTTTTGCCATTTTAAAGGATGTTTCTTTTCTTTTTTTCCACAGAAAATGTACAGACTTTCTTTTGAAGAATCTAGGAAAAAAGGATATGACCTTAGAGCTGATGCTATCCCTATTAAAGCTGCCAAAGCTTCTAGGGATATTGCTAGTGATGTAAGTTCTTGAAAGAAAACTCTCATCCATTTCAGATGTTGTAAAGCATTCATTTCTTGACACAATTCAATTTTATATGCCAAATATATGAAATGTTTTTATTTTTTTGCTTGTAAATAGTTCTGAAATATACAATATACATTCTAATACATTTTCTAGAAGGGTTAAAGAACAATTTCTTAATTAGAAAGGTAAGGAGATGTATGAGGTATTTCCAGGGAAAAACAATAAGGCAGTTTATTCCTCAGTGTGATGGTTCTTGAATAGTATATAAATGTATGTCTTGTAGTTTAGACAGAATGATCAAAGTTTGTTCTTAGAAATACTCAAAAAGAACAGATACAGACTAAAATTATGTTTACTGCTGTGGTACAGTTATCTTTATTCCTTTGGTGAAAGTCTCATAACATTTCTTGGTGCAGAGAATACCAGTTTCTGGAATCCTTTGTGTATTCCTTTGTGTGTCCTTTGTGTACTACTTTGTGTATCCTTTGTGTATTCCTTTGTGTATCAGTGATGAGGGGCTTGCTGTGGCAGGACAAATCCAGCCTGAGAGGAGCGTGAAGACATTTTATTTAGCCCACCATTTTTATTTTTTTTTTTACAACCAAGCCAACACCTCTGTCTGCTTTGTGACGGTTTTTTAATAATGTAAAAATTAATCTAAGTTTTGGGGATTTTTCATCACATGGTAGATATTGTGTATTAAACAAGCAAAGTAGAATTAAAGTCTCTGTCTCTGTTCTCTTTACAGTACAAATACAAATTAGGTTATGAGCAAGACAAGGGAAAACTTGTAGGCTTCCGCAGCCTTCAGGACGATCCCAAACTTGTCCATTACATGCAAGTAGCTAAGATGCAGTCGGATCGCGAGTACAAGAAAGGTTATGAGGCGAGCAAGACACATTACCATACGCCTTCTGATACGCTCAGCATTGTAGCAGCTAAGGAGGCACAAGATCGCATAACCAATACTAACTACAAACGACTGATTCACAAATATATGCTGCTACCAGATGCAATGAGTTTAGAACTGTACAGAAACATGAATCAGATACAAAGTGATGTAAGTTTCTCCTTTGTCTTTCTTTCGTTCATGGTTGTGACCTTTTTTCCCTGCTTTTTTCATTACGGCTGTGTTTTTAAAGCAACAGATTATTTTATATGAGCCATTTGTATATTGTAAACTTTCCTTTTATATTCTGTTTGGCAGAACGAGTACAAGCAGGAATATAATGAGTACTTCAAGGGTATTGGTTGGAGTCCTGCTGGCTCCCTCGATGTGGAGAAATCTAAGAAAGCCATGGAAATTGCAAGTGATCAGAAATACCGCCAGCATCCCAGCATGTTCCACTTTACAAAACAGAACGATTCCATGGACATGGTCCTTGCAAAGCAGAATGCAAATATAATGAACAAAGTGAGTATCTAAGGGGAAAATTAGGCAGACATTCACATCTAATCCATTTCAAGAAACAGTTGTCTCTGTTACAGCCTTTATGTAGCAGTGTTTCCCTGGGCTGGGAAAAGCAACTGTCACAGGTTCCCTTCTTTTTTTTTTTTTTTGCTTTCCCTTGATAAATTACTCAGTTACTGATAGATAACATTGGTTAAATAAATCTTCCCTCATTTTTCTCATTGCTACCTCTCCAACCTCTGTTCTTCTCATTCCCGTATTACTGGCCCTGAAAATCTTGATAGCTGGACTTAATTAGAAGCAAGGCTGGATCCTAATCCAGGTGATCCTGGATTGGGTCATTATGTACTAAAATAAATCTGAGTCATTACCTTCATCTTTTTACCCATCCATATCCAAAGTGCACAGATGGAAAGGTGAAAACCCCAAAGGAGCCATGCTTTGTCATGTATTTTGACATACCTGATGTTACTTTTTTCAATAGCATGCTTATACTGAAGCGTGGGAGAAGGATAAAATTCAGGTTCATGTGATGCCAGATACGCCAGATATTCTACAGGCAAAACAGAACAAAGCGAACTACAGTCAGGTAGGGGTTTTCGATACTTCCTATTACATTTTTAATTAATATCTACTTTATTCAAATTTAAAGGTGTCTCCCATTTCAAAATAAGTAATTAATTTGTGTTAAATTAGAAAAAATGGAGTGGATGATTTAGGACAGAGGCAAGAATTTTTACATGAGTAGTATTTTCAGAGTAGCAATAATACCATCTTCAGCCTAGCAAAGTAGCAGCCTAAATTACATTTTATTGTATGGAAAAGATAAATTCCTATTTTGAAATCTGGATATGAATGATCCATACTCTATGCTTGCCATAGAAATCAATTATGTTAAAAATTTCTTACTAAAAAATGAGAATTTTATTGTGTATATGTTTAACACCTTGGAAAAAGGAATACATGCAGTGATTCTAACTTTTCTGTCAGCTTTCAAATATAAGAAAGTAACAATTGTGCTGGTATAAAATACTTAGATTTTGCTTTGCATGATTGCATAGAGGCAAAATTTTGACTTGCAACTGCTGGTACTTAAAAACAACCACGCACAAACTTATCTGACTATTAAATGGCTATATTACAGCCTTATTAGTTACAATTTTGTTCAGCCAGCTGAAAAGTTTTCAGTTATCCTGGATGTATATATTTCAAATTCCCCGCATATGTTTCAAATCTTCTGGATAAGACATAGTAGGAAGCTGCTGTAGTAAAGAAAAAACTATTTAGTCACTAGCCTAAGACTTGGAAGACTTGCATTCCTTGCTTATTCTCAGTTTCTGTTCTGCAGCCTAAGAGGTGATCAGAATTCAGTATTATGGCTCATTAGCGGATCTAAATAGAAGGTGACTTACATATTAATGAGGCTTTTAAATTAATACTGGTTTAAATTTTAGAAACTCTACAGGCTTGGCTGGGAGCAGATGATAAAGAAAGGCTATGACCTCACACCTGAAGCCATTTCAGTGAAAACTGCCAAAGCTTCAAGGGACATTGCAAGTGATGTAAGCAGTATTTCTAATTTAATATGACAGACACTTTATCTAGTTGCTTAACCTACAGAGTTGCACTAGATTGAGATACACCTCTTTGCTAAGGTGTGGCCTGGAGTAAAAAGCAAAATTGCTGGCAAAACTCTTTCCTGATCTGTTCTTGTCAGTGGAAAAAATTTAAGAAGGGTTGCTCTGGCATCTTGACAATACCAAAGATTGTGGTCTACCCATGGAGTGGCTAGTCATACAAGGTTAGCAGTTGTCTGCTCTTCTGGGTGTTGCATTCTGAAAGCAGCAGCAAATTTAGTCCAGTTAGCTGATCTCAGTGCCTATACTGAGAAATCCCTTTTAAAACTCTGAAATAGATGTGGTGACACACATTGCTGTTACATAACTTGGTATGAATATAAGTCCTGCATTTATGGAAGAGATTTTATCAATCATTAGGAAATGTTTCCAGTGATTAAGCATCTGCAGTTTTCATTGCTGATTATTGTATTCATCAGAATAGTTCAATATGTTGGCCTTTGGGAGTTCTGAAGAGTATGACTATATGAATTAAATGGCACAGGAGACCATTCTTGTAGCCATGCACTCTTCCTCTCCAGGGACTGTCTTCCTTCCAAGGGACAGTGTTCACTGACACCAAACGATGCACATTAATCAAGGGACTACTAAAAATTTACATGAGAAGCCATAACAGGTTGCTCATTTCATTTCTAATGAGAAACATTGAACTGAGATAATATATTTATGTTTTGCTTATATATTTTACCATTGTCTGTTTCTTACTGTAATTTCAATAATGCAATCTTTGTCATTTTAGTACAAGTACAAAGAAGGTTACCGCAAGCAGCAGGGACATCACATTGGATTCCGCAGCTTACAGGATGATCCTAAGATGCTGTGGTCTATGCAAGTTGCTAAGATGCAGAGTGAGAGGGAATACAAGAAAGATTTTGAAAAGTGGAAGACAAAGTTTAATATGCCCGTGGATATGCTCGGCTTCCTTCTGGCTAAGAAATGTCAGGAATTGGTTAGTGATGTAGACTACAAAAGAGTGCTACACCGCTGGACTTGTCTGCCAGACCAGATTGATGTCGAGCAGGCAAAGAGGGTCTATGAACTACAGAGTGATGTAAGCTTCCTCTGAATTAAATTAATTTTTTTATAGGATATGTACTACTTATTGAAAAATATTTTTAATAACTAGTTAGTGATGCCCATGTAGATCAGATTGCAGCTAAAATGCCAGTTTCACCGCTTAGCACGTTTTGCACAGTACAAACCACACTGCCACAGGGACCCCTACCACTAGACCGGGATGCTCAAAGCACCATCCAACCTGACCTCAAACACTTCCAGGCACAGGTAATCCAGTACCTGTACCCGTGCCTCCCCACCCTCACAGGGAAGAATTTCTTCCTAATATGTAATCTAAATTTCTCCTCTCTCAGCTTAAAGACATTCTCCCTGTAAACTGTTGAAAAGAAATAAACAACTGGCTGTAGTTGTGTATGGCAGGGGGAAAGCAACAGAATCAAATATATTCCTCTGAAGGGCCATCAGTGGTCAAAGGCATGCCAGGTGTGCAGAGGCAAATGGTACGAAGAGTGTTAGGTGATGAGGTGTAAGGCTTCCCTGATGGCTCTGCCAGCTGGAGATGGCCAAGTGTGGCAGTTGGTTCCCAGGGAGATGAGGAGGATGGAGGTGGAAGGTATGTGGATGGCTTGGCACTAGCTCTTGCTGCTGTAGGTGTGGGAAGGCAGGCTGTGTGGATCTCAGCTTAATGGGAGTCCCTTTTCTGGTGGCAAGTGGTTTACCCGGGGAATGTGTTTTGGTCGGCAGAGCTTCCCTTGGCAGGAGGAGTGGTTGCATGGTGTAAGGAGGATGCTGAGCAGCTTTGTTGTCCTTGCCTGTCCTTTCAGAATGTGTACAAGTCTGACCTTACATGGCTGAGGGGCATTGGCTGGTCCCCGATTGGTTCGCTGGACGAGGAGAAGAATAAGAGGGCGAGCCTCATCCTGAGTGACAAGAAGTATCGGCAACACCCAGACACCATCAAATTCACGAGTCTTCCCGACTCAATGCCCATGGTTCTGGCAAAGCACAACTCTGAAATCATGAACCAGGTGAGCTTTGCTTGTGTTTTCAGCCTGAGGGGAGTAGGTGCATGGCCCAAGATGCTGTGTTCTCTCCTTCCGAGGCCTGGGTTTCTTAATGGGGATATTGCCTCTTCTTGCATGGGGTCTTTGTTTTTGTTGTTTGTGATCAAAATCTCTTATGTGTTATTGGGCGCAGGGTAAAAAAGAAAAAGGGTGTATTTTTAGAACGTTTTGGGACAAGAAGAGGTGTTCCTGAGGCATTGCAAAGTGGAGTATCCTGGCTTCAGTTCCTTGATCCAGTTTGCTGTTTGCGTTTGTTGCCTTGTGCTAGCTTGGCCTTCTTTCACGTTGGACTTGTTCTTTTCAGCGTGCGTACACGTCAGCCTGGGAGAAAGATAAAACCAGCATTCACATTATGCCGGATACACCTGGTATTTTGCTGGCCCAGCAGAACAAAGTGAACTACAGTGAGGTAGGTGGCTGAGCTGGGGTTAAGCGTCCATCCCTGGACGCTGCTGTGGCCTGGGAAGCAGTGTTGTTTGAGGGGAGTGGTTGTTTCTGTTCCAGAAACTGTACCGACTTGCGATGGAGGAAGATAAGAAAAAGGGCTATGACATGCGGGCAGATGCCATTCCTATCACATCTGCTAAAGCTTCCAGAGACATTGCAAGTGATGTAAGTACAGCGGAGCCCCTGTCGGCCCCCCCTTTCAGAGAGTTTCCGGGTGCTCGTAATTGAATGCAGGGCTTCTGACCTGAGCCAAATATGGCCAAAACAGCTCTTACGTGTCATAACCAGTCAGCCAGTCCATAAGTACTTTGATTCTGGAGGGTCCGCATGTAGCTGGCCCTGCATGTTGTCGGTGTGCAGTGTCGTTAGGGAATTTGCAGATGGTGTGGGGAGAGTATGTGTGCGATCTGTGCGATGGACGTAATCCAAAGCAATGTCCCTGCGGGGCTTGTGGCAGCATCACCTTGAGCATTCGGGCTGGACTTGTGACATGTGTTTCTGCCGCCAGTATGGCGGGTCTGTATGCCCTGACATTACAGCAATGCAGTTGAGATGGACAACTGGATCGAAAAATCAAGCCAGATTTTGTGTAATGACTGGGCAGTTATCTTTTCTGTCCAGGGGTGGGTGGAGTCACTGGAGGCCAGTCATTGCAGTGCCAGAGATTATCTTTTCAGGTCTCAGCTCTGCAAGATCCGAATTTAATCTCTCATGTGATATTCAGTAGTTAAAGGCTCCTTTGTTGACTGGAAGGAAATGAGTTTGATCTCTTCAGAGTCTTCCGTGAGATTTCACTGAGAGGCAAGGGAAAGAGTGTTTTGTCACTTGTTACTTTCTTGTCACTTCCCACTCAGTGGCTGTAAACCTGCACCTCAGTGCACACACTGGGCTGGGAGGATAAGACTCCTGAGCACTGGGCAGGAGAGCCTGGAGCAGTGCAGTATGCCAGCTGCTATGGGCTGTTCTGGGTGAGTACCAGTAGGACTGTGCAGATGGAGGCCCAGGTTGCCTGCTGGAGCAGTCTAGTGGTTTTCCCTGACTTTTGCATCCCAGCTGCTGAGCAGGCCTCTCAGTGGCCTGACTGGGGATGTTTTAGCTTGTGTGCAGAGCCTGTCTTTTGGTATGCAGACCTCCTGGTTCCCGAGCTAGCTGTGTTGCAGTTCTTGTCTGGGCTCCATGCACCTCCTGTGTCCCAGTGTAGACATGGCACGGGATGGAAGTGTGTAGGACACAGTCAGGCTATGAGGCACTTAGTCGCCTCTTCAGGTGGTGATCTTACCAGACACCATTAGAAAAGTGCATGCTCAGAGGTGCTGCTACAGAACAGTGTCAGAAGGGAGAAGAGCTGTCCTAAAACTGACTGAGCTTCTTCAATCCTGCAGTACAAGTACAAGGAAGGCTATCGCAAGCAGCTTGGCCACCATATTGGAGCCCGTAACATAGAGGATGATCCAAAGATGATGTGGTCGATGCACGTAGCCAAGATCCAGAGCGACAGGGAGTACAAGAAAGCCTTTGAGAAGACAAAGACACACTTCAGTAGCCCAGTGGATATGCTGGGAATCGTATTGGCCAAGAAATGTCAGGAGCTGGTCAGTGATGTTGATTACAAGCACCCTCTGCATCGGTGGACCTGTCTGCCGGACCAGAATGACGTTGTGCAAGCCAGGAAAGTGTACGACCTCCAGAGTGATGTAAGTTGTTCCTTGCTGTCCATGTGAAAACCAGGAAACAACTTTGGTCAGTAGTATTCCTTTGTTAGAGTAGGTCCAGATGGAGAGCGTAAGTGTATGCTTCTTCTGTGGGACTGAGCCTGTGTGGTGTAGGTAAATTCTTGCTGAGTCCTAGAATGGTTTGGGGTTGGAAGGGACCTCAATGATCTCCACTTCCCACGACTTCTACAGTACGAACCGGTCTTCCACTAGACCCGGTTGCTTAAAGCCCTGAATACTTGCAGGCACTGGGCATCCAGATGTTCTCCTGGCACCCTGTGGCAGTGCTCACCACCCTCACAAGGAAGAACTTCTTCCTAATACCTAATCTTAGTCTCTCCTCCGACAGTTTAGTGCCATTCCCCCTGTATTTCTATTGAAAAGAAACGTACAGTTTCAGCCTTTCTCTTCCGGGTCTCATTAGTTTCTGATTTGACAGTTCAGGAGAGATCGCAGCAGTCGAGCTTTATTTTTGCTGAGATTTGTCAGGAATGGCCAGTGCTGGTGTTAGTGTGTGGTCATACGTGATGGTCACAGAAGAGCCCTGTCTTGCCTTGAGCATTCTGGGGGAGGGTTGTTGCAGGTGTCTGTAGTTGTGTATGGCAGGGGGAGGGCAACAGAGTCAAATGTTTTCCTCTGCAGGACTCTCAGTGGTCAAAGGCATGCCAGGTGTGCAGAGGCAAATGGTACGAAGAGTGTTAGGTGATGAGGTGTAAGGCTTCTCTGATGGCTCTGCCAGCTGGAGATGGCCAAGTGTGGCAGTTGGTTCCCAGGGAGATGAGGAGGATGGAGGTGGAAGGTATGTGGATGGCTTGGCACTAGCTCTTGCTGCTGTAGGTGTGGGAAGGCAGGCTGTGTGGATCTCAGCTTAATGGGAGTCCCTTTTCTGGTGGCAAGTGGTTTACCCGGGGAATGTGTTTTGGTCGGCAGAGCTTCCCATGGCAGGAGGAGTGGTTGCATGGCGTAAGGAGGATGCTGAGCAGCTTTGTTGTCCTTGCCTGTCCTTTCAGAATGTGTACAAGTCTGACCTTACATGGCTGAGGGGCATTGGCTGGTCCCCGATTGGTTCGCTGGACGAGGAGAAGAATAAGAGGGCGAGCCTCATCCTGAGTGACAAGAAGTATCGGCAACACCCAGACACCATCAAATTCACGAGCCTTCCCGACTCAATGCCCATGGTTCTGGCAAAGCACAACTCTGAAATCATGAACCAGGTGAGCTTTGCTTGTGTTTTCAGCCTGAGGGGAGTAGGTGCATGGCCCAAGATGCTGTGTTCTCTCCTTCCGAGGCCTGGGTTTCTTAATGGGGATATTGCCTCTTCTTGCATGGGGTCTTTGTTTTTGTTGTTTGTGATCAAAATCTCTTATGTGTTATTGGGCGCAGGGTAAAAAAGAAAAAGGGTGTATTTTTAGAACGTTTTGGGACAAGAAGAGGTGTTCCTGAGGCATTGCAAAGTGGAGTATCCTGGCTTCAGTTCCTTGATCCAGTTTGCTGTTTGAGTTTGTTGCCCTGTGCTAGCTTGGCCTTCTTTCACGTTGGACTTGTTCTTTTCAGCGTGCGTACACGTCAGCCTGGGAGAAAGATAAAACCAGCATTCACATTATGCCGGATACACCTGGTATTTTGCTGGCCCAGCAGAACAAAGTGAACTACAGTGAGGTAGGTGGCTGAGCTGGGGTTAAGCATCCATCCCTGGACGCTGCTGTGGCCTGGGAAGCAGTGTTGTTTGAGGGGAGTGGTTGTTTCTGTTCCAGAAACTGTACCGACTTGCGATGGAGGAAGATAAGAAAAAGGGCTATGACATGCGGGCAGATGCCATTCCTATCACATCTGCTAAAGCTTCCAGAGACATTGCAAGTGATGTAAGTACAGCGGAGCCTCTGTTGGCCCCGCTTTCAAAGAGTTTCCGGGTGCTTGTAATTGAATGCAGGGCTTCTAACCTGAGCCAAATGGACCCAACTTACATGTCATAACCAGTCAGCCAGTCCATAAGTATTTTGATTCTGGAGGGTCCGCATGTAGATGGCCCTGCATGTTGTCGGTGTGCAGTGTCGTTAGGGTATTTGCAGATGGTGTGGGGAGAGTATGTGTGCGATCTGTGTGATGGACGTAATCCAAAGCAATGTCCCTGCGGGGCTTGTGGCAGCATCACCTTGAGCATTCAGGGTGGATTTGTGAGGAGGAGTCCGGCCCTCACTGTGAGCACCCTGCATGCCCCTGGTAGTAGAGACAGCTGAACTGCACAATGGTAGCAAAAAACCCCAACCTATTTTTAGTGTAGAAAATAAAGGCAGGGTAAAATAAAACATTTTTTCTGTTATTTTTATTTATTAATATAAATATTTCTTTAATTTAACTACTGTCTACACTTAATCTTCCTATTCTGTCTTTATGTTCCTCATTTTTTATCTCCTAAATAGATATAATTGTAGTTTATTTGGCTGCTATCTTGGGGGTTACTAATTGATATTTCCTTGGAGTTTACTCATTGAGATTTGTGGCTCTTGTATTGCTGCCATTATGTTAAGACCTTTTTTACTCCCTGATCCTGAGTAGTATCTCCTAATTTACAGGCATGGAATGTCTGGAAAATGTGGAAGGCATATGAGGCAGATAATGTTATAAGAATCCTTTTGAAGCTGCACTCTGCAGTCCATCATCTTAATACTTTCTTGCTTTTCACTGTCTGTGGTTTCAGATGCTAACCTGTAGAGAGTTTGAGGTTTAGGGGCTGCTATGGAGAGAAAGAAAACTTATCTAAAAGTCATTGAACTCCTTTTTGCTATAGTACAAGTACAAGGAAGGCTATCGCAAGCAGCTTGGCCACCATATTGGAGCCCGTAACATAGAGGATGATCCAAAGATGATGTGGTCGATGCACGTAGCCAAGATCCAGAGCGACAGGGAGTACAAGAAAGCCTTTGAGAAGACAAAGACACACTTCAGTAGCCCAGTGGATATGCTGGGAATCGTGTTGGCCAAGAAATGTCAGGAGCTGGTCAGTGATGTTGATTACAAGCACCCTCTGCATCGGTGGACCTGTCTGCCGGACCAGAATGACGTTGTGCAAGCCAGGAAAGTGTACGACCTCCAGAGTGATGTAAGTTGTTCCTTGCTGTCCATGTGAAAACCAGGAAACAACTTTGGTCAGTAGTATTCCTTTGTTGGAGTAGGTCCAGATGGAGAGCGTAAGCGTATGCTTCTTCTGTGGGACTGAGCCTGTGTGGTGTAGGTAAATTCTTGCTGAGTCCTAGAATGGTTTGGGGTTGGAAGGGACCTCAATGATCTCCACTTCCCACGACTTCTACAGTACGAACCGGTCTTCCACTAGACCCGGTTGCTTAAAGCCCTGAATACTTGCAGGCACTGGGCATCCAGATGTTCTCCTGGCACCCTGTGGCAGTGCTCACCACCCTCACAAGGAAGAACTTCTTCCTAATACCTAATCTTAGTCTCTCCTCCAACAGTTTAGTGCCATTCCCCCTGTATTTCTATTGAAAAGAAACGTACAGTTTCAGCCTTTCTCTTCCGGGTCTCATTAGTTTCTGATTTGACAGTTCAGGAGAGATCGCAGCAGTCGAGCTTTATTTTTGCTGAGATTTGTCAGGAATGGCCAGTGCTGGTGTTAGTGTGTGGTCATACGTGATGGTCACAGAAGAGCCCTGTCTTGCCTTGAGCATTCTGGGGGAGGGTTGTTGCAGGTGTCTGTAGTTGTGTATGGCAGGGGGAGGGCAACAGAGTCAAATGTTTTCCTCTGCAGGACTCTCAGTGGTCAAAGGCATGCCAGGTGTGCAGAGGCAAATGGTACGAAGAGTGTTAGGTGATGAGGTGTAAGGCTTCTCTGATGGCTCTGCCAGCTGGAGATGGCCAAGTGTGGCAGTTGGTTCCCAGGGAGATGAGGAGGATGGAGGTGGAAGGTATGTGGATGGCTTGGCACTAGCTCTTGCTGCTGTAGGTGTGGGAAGGCAGGCTGTGTGGATCTCAGCTTAATGGGAGTCCCTTTTCTGGTGGCAAGTGGTTTACCCGGGGAATGTGTTTTGGTCGGCAGAGCTTCCCTTGGCAGGAGGAATGGTTGCATGGTGTAAGGAGGATGCTGAGCAGCTTTGTCGTCCTTGCCTGTCCTTTCAGAATGTGTACAAGTCTGACCTTACATGGCTGAGGGGCATTGGCTGGTCCCCGATTGGTTCGCTGGACGAGGAGAAGAATAAGAGGGCGAGCCTCATCCTGAGTGACAAGAAGTATCGGCAACACCCAGACACCATCAAATTCACGAGTCTTCCCGACTCAATGCCCATGGTTCTGGCAAAGCACAACTCTGAAATCATGAACCAGGTGAGCTTTGCTTGTGTTTTCAGCCTGAGGGGAGTAGGTGCATGGCCCAAGATGCTGTGTTCTCTCCTTCCGAGGCCTGGGTTTCTTAATGGGGATATTGCCTCTTCTTGCATGGGGTCTTTGTTTTTGTTGTTTGTGATCAAATTCTCTTATGTGTTATTGGGCGCAGGGTAAAAAAGAAAATGGTGTAGTTTTAGAATGTTTTGGGACAAGAAGAGGTGTTCCTGAGGCATTGCAAAGTGGAGTCCCCTGGCTTCAGTTCCTTGATCCAGTTTGCTGTTTGAGTTTGTTGCCCTGTGCTAGCTTGGCCTTCTTTCACGTTGGACTTGTTCTTTTCAGCGTGCGTACACGTCAGCCTGGGAGAAAGATAAAACCAGCATTCACATTATGCCGGATACACCTGGTATTTTGCTGGCCCAGCAGAACAAAGTGAACTACAGTGAGGTAGGTGGCTGAGCTGGGGTTAAGCATCCATCCCTGGACACAGCCGTGGCCTGGGAAGCAGTGTTGTTTGAGGGGAGTGGTTGTTTCTGTTCCAGAAACTGTACCGACTTGCGATGGAGGAAGATAAGAAAAAGGGCTATGACATGCGGGCAGATGCCATTCCTATCACATCTGCTAAAGCTTCCAGAGACATTGCAAGTGATGTAAGTACAGCGGAGCCTTTATCGGCCCACCTTTTGAAGGGTTTCCAGGTGCTCGTAATTGAATGCAGGGCTTCTAACCTCTGTCATGAAATGAAAACTAATCTAAATCTCTCTGAACACTTTTTTGTCTGTAGTACAAGTACAAGGAAGGCTATCGGAAGCAGCTTGGCCACCATATTGGAGCCCGTAACATAGAGGATGATCCAAAGATGATGTGGTCGATGCACGTAGCCAAGATCCAGAGTGACAGGGAGTACAAGAAAGCCTTTGAGAAGACAAAGACACACTTCAGTAGCCCAGTGGACATGCTGGGAATCGTGTTGGCCAAGAAATGTCAGGGGCTGGTCAGTGACATTGATTACCGCCACTATCTGCATCAGTGGATCTGTCTACCAGACCAGAATGATGTTATCCATGCTAGGCAAGCCTATGATCTACAGAGTGATGTGAGTACTCAGTGATAAGTATTGGAGTTCTAAATTGTATGTCATTTTTTTGTTTTCTAAAATATGGAAGCTGCTTGAAGTGTCTGTGTCACAGAATGGGTGTTTTTTTTTCACATTATGTTTTTTTATGTTTTTCTTTTCCATTCCTTGCATGGTCATTGGATTTTTAGGGCTGATTGAATCTCTGTGTGAGTAGCAGTATGTGTGAGTATTAGGGCAGTTTCTAAAGAGCTTATTAGTTAGCTGAACACTAGATCTATCTGCATATACTCCTTTGTAATAGTCAGTCTATGCAGAGTTAACAGTATATAAATAGGAAATTGCCTAGGTTTTTTTATTATTATTATTTTAAATTTCAGCCTCTTTATTGGAAGGAATTACTTTGTTCTGTCTTGGAGAAGGTGTTTTACATTATGAGCTGTTGTTTTAAGTGGGTGACTATGCATTTCTTGTGAACAAATATTACAGGAAAAGTTTCTGCTGACTTCCAGGGTTTTGTTATAATCTATTGCTCTTTGACCATTCTCCAGCATGTTTCTGGGTGAAAAATACCTCTTGAAGACAGATATGTGCCTTCGTCACATATTACACATATGGGTTCTCAGTCTAGCTTCCTAACAAAGATGGTTTTGCAGATTGAAGTAGGAGGAAGACAACATATAGAAAGTAATTAGTTGCATGGTATATGTAAAATGTTTAACTGGCAATATTAATGAGACAGCTGTATTTGTATTTGGTGGTAGAACTGCTACAAGTCTGACCTTCAGTGGTTACGAGGCATTGGTTGGGTCCCAATTGGTTCCCTGGAAGTTGAAAAAGCCAAAAAGGCAGGAGAGATCCTGAGTGATAAAGTATACCGTCAGCCTCCAGACACAATTAAGTTTACGAGCATCCCTGATTCTGTACCAATGGTCTTAGCCAAGCAGAATGCAGAGACAATGAATAAGGTGAGTGTCGATTCGATTAGGTAACCCATCAGCAGTCCCTGCGTAAACTCTAGACAGGACTAGGAATACAAATGTGTGATTGCTGTATCAGATTACTGTGCAGCAAGGCTTTGAAAGTGTAAGTTACATTTTTGGTAATTGTCAGGTAACTTATTTTCAGTAAGTGCTAATTAAACAATATCTTTTGAATTACCGATTTAAATTTGAATTATCAACTGTGAAGTTTCCACATACTATACTGTGTATCTAGTAATATGTTACCTAACTTTAATCTAATTTTTAATATATTGATTTGTTTAATAAATCTAGATTTATTAAATAAATAAATACTTAATAAAGTACTTGTGTTAGGTCAGTCTTTAAAGCATTCCTATTTTAAACAATTCAGTGTAGTACTTAATGTAAGAGTTTTCTTAATCTGTGGCCTTGATCTCAACCCTGTTTATGTCAATGAAACTATTTCCTCTTCCAAGCATGGCTTGTCCTTAGCATTTAGATCTCTGTGTGTCTGATGAGTATTCTGTGCCTTTTCTTCTAAACACTGTTTTTTGAACAGAATTTTTTCTCCGTTACTAATTCTCTAGATACTTAATATACAGGTTACAGAATGAATATAAAATCTCATTGCTATATAAGGAATAAGGTGGGGTTTTGTTTTGGGTTTTTTTGTTTTTTTTTAGGCTTTGAGTACAGGTCTTTAATTCTTCTTGTGTTTTAGGAGGTCTCCAAGTAGTCACCATTGTTCTTCCCCTTTAACATACATTATTTCTGCTGCAGCGTTTATATACTGAGGCCTGGGATAAAGACAAGATACAAATCCATGTAATGCCTGACACACCTGAAATCATACTGGCAAAACAGAACATGCAAAACTACAGTGTGGTGAGTGTGTGAGCTCTCCAAATGTAACTGGTCTATTTAATGGCTGGGTCATTAGTGTTCTGATAAACCTTGTATTGATGGTACCATCAATTTCTTTAAGAAACCCCCAATATTTATCCTCAAAATCGTGACTTTAAAAACACAATTTTGATATTTATACAGTAGTGCATACATACAACAGTGAGCAGTATTGACAAAAAATTCCATGGGAAGCTGTGTGTCTCCAGTGAATTTCTGGGAGTCGTTTCTGTCAGTGTGCATACTGTTAGGAAGGTACAAAATTAATTTCACCCTTGGAAATACCAAAAATGTGATTTTCAGCACAGTTCTGAAGAGCAGTAATCCCAATGTTTGGTGTTAGTTTAGGCAAATAAATTCACGTCAGTAAGAAGTGGTTTAAAAAGTAAGTTTTACTTCACTTTATAGAACAATAGTTTATCTGTAAATTGTAGTCCATGTTGTTTAAAGTAGTAAAAGAAAAAAAAAATTGTTAGCAAATGTATTTAGCAAAGTTTTTACTTTGTTATGAATTTGTATCACCTACTGATCTGGGGCTTTGAGTTGAGAAAGTCAGATAAAGCTATGTTGGAATAAATCCTAACACAATTTTAAAAATCTACTCGCAAACAGTTTGTTTTGCATAGAATGCAATATATGGAATGAACTTACATAAATCTCACTGTTTAATTCTTCACCTAGAAACTCTACAAGCAGGCCATGGAAGAAGACAAAAAGAAAGGCTACGACTTGAGAAGTGATGCTATCCCCATCCAAGCTGCCAAAGCATCCAGGCAAATTGCCAGTGATGTAAGAAACTACTGTTTTGTTTTTTTGTGTGATGATATTTGATCTCTGCAACCTGAAACATATATCTGGAATCTGAAAAAAGCATTTCAATTAAACTGTGATCCCAAATGATAAGATTTTGGGAAGCAAATTATTATATATGTTTAAAGATTTTATTGTAAAAAGTTTGAGAAGTTATAAGGAGAATATAGTGCCTCTCATCAATTTTATAGCTCATAACTGTATCCTTAATTAAATCTTAAGAACATGTATGTTATTATATTTGATAAAGATCAAATGTTTAATAAGAGGTTTATTTCTCACTAATGTGAGTGAGCAGTTTTTTTATCAAAAAGCTTACTTAAAAATCTCTAGGGTTCTAACTCAAATCTCAAAAATTTAATGTGAGAATTGATATTATTAGCCCCAGAATTGCTTTGACAGTTTGGGTTGTTTTGACTTTGGCTATGGAGTAATCTTAAGAGTTTATTATTAGAAATATTTAATATGAGTAACTGATATTAGTAGGTAATGCAGAAATATACTATCTTGATTTATATTTCAGTACAAGTACAAGGAAGGCTATCGCAAGCAGCTTGGCCACCATATTGGAGCCCGTAACATAGAGGATGATCCAAAGATGGTGTGGTCAATGCACGTAGCCAAGATCCAGAGTGACAGGGAGTACAAGAAAGCCTTTGAGAAGACAAAGACACACTTCAGTAGCCCAGTGGACATGCTGGGAATTGTGTTAGCCAAGAAATGCCAGGGGCTGGTCAGTGACATTGATTACCGCCACTATCTGCATCAGTGGATCTGTCTACCAGACCAGAATGATGTTATCCATGCTAGGCAAGCCTATGATCTGCAGAGTGATGTAAGCTTTTTTTGATTTCATTTCTGTTGAGGAATGTATTTGATATTTTACATAGGTGGATCACATATCACTGTGGTAGAATGACATTTTCAAGATTAAATTTCATTGCTAATTTGAAACTTCTGTCTCCAATAGGATATTTTAACTAACTGATATTTAAATTCTTTAATTCCATAATTTGGGCTTTTTATCATCTGCCATTCTGTGAAATTTGGATAATGGTATCACTCTTAATGTATATGTGTGTAGTTATTTTTCCTAAAATTTTCTCTAGGATTTTGAATATATTTGAATTAAAAGTTGATAGTGAGGTTGCTTAACTGTGAAAAGGTGCACTATGTAAATTTCATTACGATTATTAGAATAACCTATGTATATTTTTGGTAATAGAACTGCTACAAGTCTGACCTTCAGTGGTTACGAGGCATTGGTTGGGTCCCAATTGGTTCTCCAGAAGTTGAGAAAGCCAAAAAGGCGGCAGAGATCCTGAGTGATAAAGTATACCGTCAGCCGCCGGACACAATTAAGTTTACGAGCATCCCTGATTCTGTACCAATGGTCTTAGCCAAGCAGAATGCAGAGACATTGAATAAGGTGAGTGTCGATTCGATTAGGTAACATGTCAGTAGTCCCTGCCTCACCTCTGGGTGCAGGACTAGAAATATAATGATCACAGGTAATGCTGAAGTTAAGAAATCATGTATTTTCAAGTAGTGTGTTCTGTTTATTTCAGTAAAAACTATCAAGACTTGTAATTGAAGCCTCAACTTTATAATATTCTGCATATTACATTTTAATCTTTTCTTTGACATGTCTCTGCAGTGAGCAGTAATAATACTTCAGTTTACTCATTCTTAAGTAATTGGCAGTTTTCTAAATGTTGTTGAATTTCCTCAGATAAATCTCTTTTTAATAATGGTATCTCTACCTGATCAAATACCTAACTGTTTATTCATGCTACTTTTTCTATAATTTTACCTAGTGTGCTCTGTGATTTACCTGACTAAAGAGATATTGACTTGTTTTGGAATGCAATCTTAATCACTTCCTTTATTCTTTCTTAGCATTTGTACACTGAAGCATGGAATAAAGATAAGACTATGATTCACGTCATGCCTGACACACCAGAAATCCTGCTAGCTAAACAAAACCAGATAAACTACAGTCAGGTAAGTAAAACTGAAGAGTTGTCAGAAATCCTTTTATTCTGTCAAGTACAATTTTGTCATCTCTGAGTTTGATTAATATTATAATACTGTTGTCTAGTTTCACAAATTGCCAGCTCCACTGTTAGAATTGTTCTTTCACTAAAATGCTGGTGTCTAATTAGGCTTTTGAAATATATTACCTGCTATAAATGAGAAATCATTTCTATAGCAAGGTATGGAAATAAATAATTTAACTTACAGAATATTCCTTGCTTTGCCTTCCCTAAATTACTTAACATTTCCAGGCATTTACAATACAATTACAAAATCTGCATATTTTTATTTTCTAGAGAAGATAGAGCTGTTTTCAAATGTTTAAGTTGCCTGAACATTGACGGTATTGTTTAAGCACTTAATTTGTTTTATTACACATATGTGCTTAACTGAAGTGTGATTTTGGTTTTGAAAGGAAAATTTGAATATTTTTCTCACAGAAAATGTACAGACTAGCTTTAGAGGAGTCGAAGAAGAAGGGTCATGATTTGCGTTTTGATGCCATTCCTATTCAATCTGCCAAAGCATCCAGAGAGATTGCCAGTGACGTAAGCATGTTTTTTAATCATGTCTATATGGATTTGGTAATGGAAAAGAATCATTTGTTTGCTACTGTAATACCTTAGCTTTATAGAATAAATAAAATGGAAATCCAGTGATTCTACTGCATGCTTTTAGTGCATGAAAGGAATGGGTAGCCATTTACGCATGAGGTATATATTGCAATAATAAATAATTGTGAGGATTATTTCTATGCCCCCTGTGATAGTTCCATTGATGTCCATGGATATTGAAATGAGATGATCAATAAGGTGTACGAGTCTATGCTAGTATTAGTCAAATTAATTTCTGATTAAAAATAGGAAATACTTTAAAATCTGTCCCCAAACCAGATATATTAGTAAATAAATTCTAAATAAATCTTATAAATTGCTGTCTTTTCCTCAGGGAAAAATATTACACTTCTGTTGAAATGTAATATTGAAATTCAAGATTGCTATGACAGGTTTTGCTTCTGGAATGAGGAAGCATCACTAACGGATGATAACAGTTTTTTGTGATCCTTGTTTTTTCTATCAAGATTGATACTTAAACTGTTAGTATTAACTACCTAAGACTATCTTCACTGGGGTTTTGTAATAAGCTTTTAAATAAGTTAATCTTTACATTTTAATCGTAATAGTTAAAGAATGTGGAATATCAACCTTGTTAATATGTGACATGAAATGTTAAGTTGAAGTGTGATATAGTTATGTAAAAAATCAGAGATAATGATATGTGTAATAAAAATAATTTTTATGTTAAAATTAATAAAACAGTAGCAGAACCTAAATAATATTTTTCTCTAAACAAAATACTAATGATTATATTAAACTGTGAATTATTTATTAATATATAATTATACCATGTGAATATGAACTCAATTTCAGTACAAGTACAAGGAAGGCTATCGCAAGCAGCTTGGCCACCATATTGGAGCCCGTAACATAGAGGATGATCCAAAGATGATGTGGTCGATGCACGTAGCCAAGATCCAGAGTGACAGGGAGTACAAGAAAGCCTTTGAGAAGACAAAGACACACTTCAGTAGCCCAGTGGACATGCTGGGAATTGTGTTAGCCAAGAAATGCCAGGGGCTGGTCAGTGACATTGATTACCGCCACTATCTGCATCAGTGGATCTGTCTACCAGATCAGAATGATGTTATCCATGCTAAGAAAGCCTATGATCTACAGAGTGATGTGAGTAAATTTTTACATTTGTAAGTCATAATTACATATACAGGGTTTTGTACAATGTAATTTTAAAACATATATAATATGCTTGTGGCACTTGCATGAGACATGTTGATAGAAATGAAATGTTTACTATATCAGATCATTAAATTTGTTTAATTTTTAATCCTATTTTTTCAGTCCTTAGCCTGAGGTGTAAATTGTGTTTAACTCTGATATTTGTAGAGTTCTTAATAACTCATTTCTTTTTGTTATTTAATAATTATTTCACTAAATTTTCAGAAATAACACTTGTTTTCAAAACCATATCCTGCTGCTATGTGGAAATACACACAACTGTTTATATAGACTCAGATCTGCTTATTTGCAATTATTTTACTATTTGAGCAAAGTTGCACATATATAACTTTTGAACTTTCGAATTTTTTCAGGCGGTTTACAAATCAGACCTGGAATGGCTAAGAGGTATTGGATGGGTTCCTATTGGTTCCATGGAAGTTGAAAAGGCCAAGAAAGCTGGAGAAATCCTGAGTGAAAGGAAGTATCGTCAGCCAGCAGACCAAATTAAATTTACTAGTGTGACAGATTCTCTGGCCATGGTCTTAGCCAAGCAAAACGCTGAGATAATGAACAAGGTGAGCTTGGGGTTTTTTGTTTGGTTGTTTTTTGGTCAAAAATCACTACTGTTAGTAGCTAGTAGAACTTATTCATTAGGTGAAAAATACAAAGTGCAAAGTAAGACTAAACACTTTCATTGTGGACTTAGAGAAAATAAATGTCTGAATTCAGCCTTTGCATGGAAAGACTCTTGGCTCTCTCTAAACTGAACATGTAGTAAGAATGTCCAGAAAAAAGTCCCCTAAATCACATATTTTTCAAGGGTAATTCTAATTTTTTTTTGTGAATTTCTTTTTCACATCAGCTGAAATCCTGGTTTTAAATGTTTGTTTAGTATCTTTCTTCTATTTTGTTAATGCTACTTCACTATACAAAGCTTATCTCTGACAGAACAGGCAAAATTTTTTTGCAGTTCTTAGACAATAGTGTGAAATCTGCAGAAATAGTGTTTCAGCAAGGTATTGGATGTACTCTACAGTACATCCAGAGCTGGCAGTGCCATGACCATGTTGTAAGATAGGATGTAGCAGAATATTGTGGCTTTTACCGCAACTGCTATAATGATGTATTGTATCATGACCAAATGTCATACCGCATCATGAGCAACTTATGAGGAAATAGCTTATGTACTCTGGAAGTGAAGCTTCTGCAATTTGTCTTAGACCTAGAAGGTGAAAGTCGCAAAATACCTACTCCTCTTTAATAAGAAACATCAATCAGACAACTCGTACAGGTAGGGCAGAATAACAAATATAGTTTTCCTCCAGCAGTTTCCCAGCAATCCTAAATCAATCAGTTGTTGTGCCAATTTAACCTAAGATATAACAATGAAGGACAAAATTTTCTTGAGTTGTTCAGTGGGAAACTTTGCTATGTCGGGATTTAAAGCTTACTTGAACTACTGCTCACAGTTTGTAAAATACGTTCTTTGATGAATGTAATAGTTTGCTTATATATATATATATCATATTCTGCTTCAAGGTTACTTTTCTTTTGTATTATGGATATACTTTTGATAGCTACTGCTTTCAAATTTGCAGTCTTTCCATTATACCATATGTAAAGAAACTTTCTAAAGGAATGCGGTTTTCTCTCTCCTAGCGTTTATACACAGAAGCTTGGGATGCAGACAAAACTTCAATTCATGTGATGCCTGACACACCATCAATTTTGCTAGCGAAGGCCAATGCAGCTAATGTTAGCCATGTAAGAGCATTTAAACATATACTAAACTAATGGAAATTCAGAAATTAAGTAAGCATTTATTCAACAATAAAGATATTTTAACATATTCATTCCTAAAAATTAAAAAAAAAAAATGTGAAATTTAGAAGTTCCATCGTTCAGAATATTGATAAGCCTTTTCTGTCTCCTTTTGCATAGAAACTTTATATACAAGCCTGGGAAGATGCCAAAAAGAAGGGTTATGACATGAGAGCTGATGCAATTCCATTCCGAAGTGCAAAGGCCTCAAGAGATATCGCGAGTGACGTATGTTCTTCCTTTAAATTTATTTTCAGTTATCTTGAGAAACAAGAATGAAGTAATAAGCTTTGTACAACATAAAAACCCATGGTATATCAGGTTCATCCTGAAAGCCTACGGACAAAGGATTAAATTCAGAAAGAAAATTGACAACAGTTTTCAAAAGGAAGATAGAATTATAAATCCTGACATTAAGCAGATATTGGAAAGTAATAAAATACGATAACAATAACCAGAAGGTGTAAAGGAAAAATATATTAGGCATCTCTAAACTCTAAATGAGTATATTTCATAACAACAAAATATATTTGTGATTAGTAGCAATGTGAAATTATGGGAAATTCACCCCAATTTCACTATTTGTTTTAATACTTCTTTTTGATTCCTTAGTACAAGTACAAAGAAACATACGAGAAGCAGAAAGGCCACTACATTGGGTGCAAAACTGCCCAGGAGGATCCCAAACTGTCGTGGGCTGCGCGTGCTATGCAGCTGCAGAATGACCGAATTTACAGGAAGGCGTACCATGATTCAAAGTCCCAGGTCCACATACCAGTCGATGCAATGTCAGTGCAGGCAGCCAAGGATTGCCAGACGCTAGTCAGTGATATTGACTATCGTCAGTACCTTCACCAGTGGACGTGTCTGCCTGACCAGAATGATGTGATCCATGCCAGGAAGGCTTATGATCTACAGAGCGATGTGAGTGAGAATAATTGTAGGAAAACTTTATGGCAGGTGTGTGAGGCTTTGCTTATTTGTGACTGTGCAAATATACTTTCAAATGCACATTAATGAGCCTGCAGTCAGCCCTGGTATGTTTATTTTAATTTGTCTATATGGTCCTTTCCAAATCAGTCATGGTTTCAGCTTGAGGAACAGAAATAATCCAGGCAGTTTGTAAGGTGACCATATTTTTCTGGTACAATGTTTTCTTTCAGACTACTTGCAGATAATACCACTGGTATGTATGTAGCAAACATACATACTTTTAAAAGACCAGTACTTTCCTTGCTGTGCAAATCTGGGGTTTAGCTGTGTGTGGGAAACACATAGTACACCACCATTTCAGTGCCTGCTTGCTGTGTAACTTCATGAGGAGGAAATTGGGGAAAACCTTTTACAAAATCTCTCTGCACATAGAGTTGTCCCTGCAATGTCAGTAAACCTTGGTTTCTTTGTAGAATGTATACAAGTCAGATCTGGAATGGCTGCGGGGCATTGGCTGGTTGACAGAAGGTTCTGTGGATGTGGTGAAAGCAAAGAAAGCCCAGGAACTCCTGAATGAGAGGTTATACCGCACACGTCCGGATGAGATGAAATTCACCAGCATTACTGACTCACCAGACATTGTCCAGGCTAAGATCAATGCTTTGCAGATCAGTGACGTAAGCTTACCTTTCACTTGCCTTTCACTTATCTTTCATTTATGTGATGACATTTCTTTTCTTTGTGGTGGAGACTAGAATTTGTTCTATGGGAATGACTAATTGGAAAATACTGCAAATCAGAATTACCAAGTAATTCCTATGGGAGGGATTCTTCAATGTTCAGACCATAGTGAAATGTCATTACGCTTTTCTCCTTAGCGTCTGTATCGTGAAAACTGGGATAGAGATAAAACGCAGGTTTCCATACCTTCTGATACTCCTGTAATGCTGCAGTCCAAAGTCAACGCTCTCAACATCAGCAATGTAAGAGAATAAAATTATTCTGCATGTGAAGAATTAGTAGATTATGACAATTAAATTTCCAGATTAGCTTTTAAGAAAAGGCATTGCTACAGGTCTTGACTGTTTGTAACAAGGTTGATTAATTTTATTTGCAGAAACATTACCAGAAGGCCTGGGATGAGGCCAAGGCAAAAAGTTATGACCTGAGAGCTGATGCCATTCCCATCAAACACGCCAAGGCTTCCAGAGACATTGCTAGTGAGGTACAGTCTTCTCTTAATGTTGTAGCTATGCCTGTCTTTCTGTGTCCATCTCAACTGACTGAAGTTCAGCTCAAAGGATTTACAGCTTAGAAGCTGAAAGCCTTTGTGAGTCATGTTGGGGTGAGCAATGTGTGACTGCTTATGTTCTTTCTGCATGTCTAGTACAAGTACAAAGAAACACATGAGAAGCAGAAAGGCCACTACATTGGGTGCAAAACTGCCCAGGAGGATCCCAAACTGTCATGGGCTGCGCGTGCTATGCAGCTGCAGAATGACCGAATTTACAGGAAGGCGTACCATGATTCAAAGTCCCAGGTCCACATACCAGTCGATGCAATGTCAGTGCAGGCAGCCAAGGATTGCCAGACGCTAGTCAGTGATATTGACTATCGTCAGTACCTTCACCAGTGGACGTGTCTGCCTGACCAGAATGATGTTATCCATGCCAGGAAGGCTTATGATCTACAGAGCGATGTGAGTATGTCCATGGATGTGTTAGTAATTGCTGTTGATATTTGTTATATTACCATCTGATTTTGATGGTTTGATACTACAGTCTCCAAGGATATATCTTCCGAATTTTATTTTTTTAATTTTTTCATGTCAGTGCTATTATCTGCTCTTTTTCATAATTTTAAAAGTATATGTCTAAATTGTATCGAAGCTTTACTTGGCATCTGTTACACACACTGTAACAGCAATCTGAAGAGGATGAAGTATTTGTCTCTCTTATTTTGATGGAATAACATCTGTTTGTCTCTTTGGAATCACATGTCTTTTTTTACTCCTCTTTATCTGAGTCGACTTGGAAATTTTTTTAGTTTCAAGAAACCTGTGTAAGATAGCAGGTAAGATCTTTAAGTGGCTAATTTCAAAACAGGAGGAGTCAGTACAGCTAATGTCCTGGCTTGGCTGCTTATTAGGCAACATAGGTCTCTCTTCTTCTGTTTCAATTACGAGTTTCAAAAGTGAGATTCATGTTCCTTGCTGAAAGATTTTTTCAATTAATACTGAAATAATAGTGCCTGATATCACTTCGGGAATTACACTGTTTAGCTCTAGTCCCCATTAACTCTGTAACATTATTTTTCCTCCTTTTTGTTGAATTTTCCTGGTGGGCAGCTTGTGGGTTTTTTTGACTTGGAAGTTGTTGAAATGACTAGAGGAATAAATGTTTTGGAGGGGATCAGAAGTCTTTTTTTAAGACCTTAGTACTCATCATCATTAATGGCACCTGGTTCTGTTATGTTGTTTCCTCTCTATTTAACTTCACCAGGTTTAGAATGTGTTGTTTAAGAAACAAGCTACTTAAAAGCTAGTTCCCAAGTTGTATTTTACTTATGACACTGAAAACGCAATGTTTTCCTTTTTTGACTGCATCTGATACAGGCTGTCTATAAGTCAGACCTGGAGTGGCTCCGTGGAATTGGCTGGTTGCCTAATGACTCTCCAGTTGTTAAGAGAGTGAAGCATGCCCAGGATCTTCTGAGTGATAATGTCTATCGTACACCTATTGAAAGCCTGAAATATACCAGTGTTGTTGATTCTCCAGATGTTCTTCTCGCTAAAGCAAATGCCGAACAAGTCAGCATTGTACGTTGCAATGTTTTTAAAGTTGTTTCGAAGCTATAAACAGTTAAAGAGAAATCTTGCTGCTAAAACGTAAAATTGATCAGTAGTATTGTAAGTCAAGTTTAACACATTTCCAGACATTTTATTTTTTAGAGATGATAATTTGGGGGGGGATTTATGGGATTTTGTTATTGACAAGTGAAATTCCATAATTACAATATCAGAAAATGGACTATTTTAACAGCCAAAATACAAAGAAGCCTGGGAAAAGGACAAGACTATGATCCATATTATGGCAGACACACCTGAAATCAACCTAGCCAAGACTAATGCTGTTAATTATAGTAAGGTATGCTTACCATTCTGTTTTCTACATTTCTAGAGTAGCATGTGTATCCTGTGAATTTTAACATTCTAAGATGTTGCTTACAAAGTTGAAGATTAAGTCACATGAATCTCATTGAAGTCATACAGAGCTTGCAAAATTCCCTTCCCTCTGATGGCTGTTCTTAAAGTAATGAGACATTTTAACATAAATGCTTGCATTGCATGCAGCTGTTAAAAAATTATTAATTTCATTTACCACTGAGGTAATATTTTCTGGAAATGGATGAGAGCCCGAAGTATATAAATATTTTCTAAACTTTTACAAACACCCTTCTATGCAGTATAGGTTGCAAAAGTTGTGTTGCAGGCACCGTATATGTGTGAAAGGCAGTAAGATTTACATCAGTATTTATGACTGAGAGCAGAAATAATGCACAAAAAATAGTTACAATATTTCAGCAAATGAATAGCAGTAAACTATGTGTTTCTTTAATGGCAAATGCCAGAATATTTAGCATATATGGGATATTTTGCTGTCTTTTCAGAAACTGTATAAAGAAGCTTGGGATGAGGTGAAGACAAATTATGATTTGAGAGCAGATGCAATCCCAATCAAGGCAGCCAAAGCTTCTAGAGAAATTGCTAGTGATGTAAGTGCTAGCAAAGACATCTAACGTTTCACATCCTTTAAGAGCTTTTTTATGATACCAGTAAGTAATGGTGATCTTTGCTCTTTACCCAGTATAAATACAAACTGGATCATGAGAAGCAGAAAGGACATTATGTTGGAGTTCCAAATGCAGAAGCAGATTCGAAAATGCAGTTTGCCCTTGGCATAGGCAAAGTTCAGAGTGAACTGGAATACAAGAGACACTTTGCCAAATGGAAGACACAGTGCCACCTACCAGTAGACATGCTATCTATTGTATCAGCTAAACAGGGTCAGTCTTTGGTCAGTGATGTTGATTACCGTCAATACTTGCATCAGTGGATCTGTCTTCCAGATCAAAATGACGTCGTACAGGCTAGGAAGGCCTATGATCTTCAGAGTGATGTAAGTGAAAACTTAGCTTAAATTATCACTGTATTGTCTCTTCTTAGTCTGCTTCAGCTCTAAGTAGCAGGGACCTTCTGCCGAATTCAATGAATTGACTTTGCTGTTTATTAGGAATGCAAAGTATATGCCACTGTTATTTATTGCCAAGTCTGAAGTGTAATAAATTCAGATATGGTGCTCATATTAGAATTACTGCTGCCCTTTTAGCCAGTAGAAGTGCTATTATTTATTAATCTTGCTGGATTGTAGCTAACAAGGTGGACCCTCTTTGTTTTGCCAGGCTGTTTACAAATCTGATTTAGAATGGCTACGGGGAATTGGGTGGTTGCCAAATGATTCACTTGGAATCAACCATGTCAAATATGCTGGAGATCTCTTGAATGAGGTAACACATTGTTTTTCAAAACTGAAATTTTCTTGGGGGCATTTGCAATTTAAAGAACTGTTAATGGTTAAATGCTTTTTATTTAAAAAAAAAAAAAAGGTACAACTGGAGCATTTCCACAGCATTAATTGTGCATGGAGAGTTTTTCTTTCCATATAAACTTTGTCTTGTCTATGTATTCAGAATTGCTTTCTTAGCTATTCCTGTGTAATCTGATTTGTGATCTTTTCTCTTGTATAGAAAAAGTACCGTACGAAACCTGAAACTCTTTCCTTTACTCCAGTGGCGGACCGAGTTGATTATATCACAGCAAAGAATAGTGGTGAAATTCGTAGTGACGTAAGTTTTGCCAGCATTTTTCTGGGCTGTTAAACTGGTCTGCATATTTAAATGGTAGGATTTTATCTTTAAAAGGATATTTAAAAAATGCTAAAAAATCCTGGGAATTCTGTGAATATATGACATAAAGATGAATAGGTCTTCACAAGCTCATCTCCATCACTTATTGTAGGGAAGAAGCTCCTTAAGCAGAATAACATCTTTCCTACACATTTTGAAAAGCCAGTGCTAGTTCTGCAACCAGTTTCTTATAGAATTATAGAATAGTTAGGGTTGGAAAGGACCTTAAGATCATCTAGTTCCAACCCCCCACCCATGGGCAGGGACACCTCACACTAAATCATGCCACCCAAGGCTTCATCCAGCCTGGCCTTGAGCATGCCAGGGATGGAGCATTCACAATCTCCCTGGGCAACCTATTCCAGTGCCTCACCACCCTTACAGTAAAGAATTTCTTGCTTATATGCAATCTAAACTTCCCCTGTTTAAGTTTGAACCCATTACCCCTTGTTCTGTCACTACAGTGCCTGATGAAGAGTCCCTCCCCAGCATCCCTATAGGCCCCCTTCAGATACTGGAAGGCTGCTATGAGGTCTCCACACAGCCTTCTCTTCTCCAGGCTGAACAGCCCCAACTTTCTCAGCCTATCTTCATATGGGAGGTACTCCAGTCCCCTGATCATCCTCATGGCCCTCCTCTGGACTTGTTCCAACAGTTCTATGTCCTTTTTATGTTGAGGACACCAGAACTGCACACAATACTCCAGGTGAGGTCTCAGGAGAGCAGAGTAGAGGGGCAGGATCACCTTCTTCGACCTGCTGGTCACGCTCCTTTTGATGCAGCCCAGGATACGGTTGGCTTTCTGGGCTGCAAGCACACACTGAAGCCGGCTCATGTTCATTTTCTCATTGCCCAACACCCCCAAGTCCTTCTCTGCAGGGCTGCTCTGAATCTCTTCTTTGCCCAACCTGCAGCTGTGCCTGGGATTGCTCCAACCCAGGTGTAGGACCTTACACTTGTCATGGTTAAACTTCATAAGGTTGGCATCAGCCCACCTCACAAGCCTGTCGAGGTCCCTCTGGATGGCATTCTTCTTTCAGTCTTGGCTAATATCATTTATTGTCACTGACAACATGAACATAAATAGCCACTTGCACTCTGGCAACCATAATCACAGAATTACATCATGGTTTGAGTTGGAAGGGACCTTAAAGATCATCGAGTTCCAACCCCCTGCCAGAGGTAGGGGCACCTTCCATTATACCAGGTTGCTCAAAGCCCCATCCATCCTGATCTTGAACACTGTCAGGGATGGGGCAGCCACAGCTTCTCTGGGCAACCTGTGCCAGTGCTTCACCACCCTCTCAGTAAGGAAATTCTTCCTCATATCTGATTGAAATCTACTCTTTTTCACTTTAAAGCCGTTCCCCTTTCTGCTGTCACTACATGCCCTTGTAAATATTGGACTTTTTATCTTTTATTCATGACAGTTTCTGCATGCAGTAGCTTTGGACAAGAGCATAATCACTGAATCACAGAATCATTAGGGTTGGAAGGGACCTCTGAGATCATTTGATTCAACCCCCCTGTAAAGGCAGGGCCACCTGGAGCATGTTACACAGGAGCATGTCCAGGTGGTTTTGAATGCCTCCAGAGAAAGCGTCACCAGGGCAGAGTATCACCTCCCTCAACCTGCTGGCCACACTCTTCCTAGTACACCCTAGGCACTCCTAGGTGCAAGGGCGCACTGCTGGCTCACAGTCAACTTACCATCTACCAGGTCCTTCTCAGCTGAACTGTGTTCAAGAAGGTCAGCCCCCAACCTGTACTGGTGCTTGGGGTTCTTCCTCCCCACATGCAGTACCATACACTTGCCCTTGTTGAACCTCATTAGGTTTCTCTCTGCCCAGTTCAGCCTATCAAGGTCCCACTTTGCTTAATTCTTCTCACTTTTGCTGGTATACATGTACAAAACTGATGTGCTTTCAGCTTGCCATTCTTTACATGTTTTTGGAGGCTAGTCTGTGAGGAGCTGGTCTGTGAACATGAAGTGACAAGCCCCATTTTAGTTCACTGGTAAAAGGTTGGCAATAACCGTGATACGTTTGAATAGAATGACATACTGCCATGCAACCACATACACACATTCAGGCATGTCCTGTGCTTGGAAACATGACTTGATGTAGATATCTGTGGTTGAGACGTGCTAGAATGCTACATTTACGGAGAGATCATGCTGACTAAAGGGATTTGCTCTTAAGAAGTTTAAAACCTATTGCCCTGGTTCAGATATTTCTTGCTTGGTTATTGGCCATACATCCCTGTAGACCAAACAAGTAACATAACTTCTGAAGATACCCTGTCCACCCAGCTGCCTTGGAACATATTTTCAAAATTATCCCTGAGAAATTTTGTTATTTCTTCTCTTGTACAATTTTCTTTTTAAAAACCCACATATTTGTATGTATATTTAACGTGTCATGTCTAACAGCTTTGAAAATTCGGGGTTTTATACACTATTTCATGCATAAAATACGGGTCTTGGTGTTACGTTTTCACAGTTCTGATGTGATGATGCTGCAAGGCAGTAATTTCTTTCTCTTTTCTAGATTAAATACCACAAAGCATGGAATGAGGTCAAGTCAAATTATACTCTAACAGATACACCACAACTAGATATGGCCCGAGAAGCAGCCAGAATTCTTAATCAGGTACGTGATCACTCCCTGACAGTTTCTACTCACATTAATAATTCTTGTGAGGAATTTAGAAAACTTGCTTTATTAAAAATATCCTAAAGGAAGGATTTGTTATCCTTGTACTTCAATAAAGGTTACATACATATGGTAATAATTATCATGGTAGTAGTGTTGAATTCCTCCTTTTATTTTCCACAGAATTTATACAAGGAAAACTGGGAGAAAGAAAAAGCCACTGGTTACCTCTTACCTCCGGACACTGTGCAAATCTGTCATGCCAAACACTCAAATGATGTCCAAAGTGAGGTAATAATTTTTCTCATTAGGAACGCAACTGCTTGGAAGTCTGGAAACGCTGAAAGGCCTTGCAAATTTAGCAACAGACATAGAAAGCTTTCCCTTAGGGGTAACATACAGTAGACTTTTCATGACCCAAAAAGTCCACTGTCCTCCAGATAATTCAGTCATCTTTGTTATTATGGGTTTTACAGACATCAGTGCTGAAAGATCAGGTTCTCCTTTCTACTTTCACTTTCTCCAGAAATGGTCCTTTCAAAATCAACATTTTAGATCAATAGTTCAATTAGTTCAATAATTGAAGTGGTATTATTATTTTTACCTATAGCTCTGATTTCACTGATTGGCTGGAGGTTTCCTCCTTGAACAGCTATAAGATGGTATGCACATTACCTTTTAAACTTTTTCGTAATGAATATTGCAATTATTACATGACTCAGTTTGAATAAACATTTTATCAAAACAGTGAGTTATAAATAACTCAAACACCCACTCTTCAGACACTCTCAAATAATTAGTTACAAAATGAGGCTAAATCCACTAAATAACTATTAGTAAACATTTTCTAACAAATCATTCCTCTTGTGCTGAAAATACTGTTTATGAGAAATGGCAGCATATTTGTCTAGAAAACTCCATGTGTTTGTCATGGAGGACTATACAAAATAACTTTACTGTTTGTTTTGTAGTTTTATCTGGTCATATACTGAAAACCTAAGACTGCAGTTCACAACTCCCTGTCTCATCTGTTCTTTGTGTTGACAAAACCATAGCTGTTTACATGTTAAAAACAGAGCAGATATAATCAGTGCTGATTTTATACATATTTCTCCTCTCTTCCATCAGCTTAAATACAAAGCTGAATATGTCAAACAAAAAGGTCACTATGTGGGAGTTGCCAGCATGAGAGATGATCCGAAACTGGTGTGGTTTGAGCATGCGGGCGAGATCCAGAATGACAGACTGTACAAATCAGAATATCACAAGACAAAATCCAAAATTCACCTCCCTCCGGATATGGTTTCAGTTGTAGCAGCAAAGGAATGTCAGACCTTGGTCAGCGATATTGACTACCGCCAGTACCTGCATGAATGGACATGCCATCCTGACCAGAATGACTGTATTCAGGCAAGGAAGGCCTATGATCTCCAAAGTGATGTAAGTGATACCACATACATATGTAATTTCCACTTAGTTTGGTCTAACTCTATTGCCCATATTATAGAATCCTAGAATCATAGCATGGCTAGGGTTGGAAAGGACCTTAAGATCGTCTAGTTCCAACCCCCCTGCCATGGGGCAGGGATGCCTCACAATAGGCCGTGTCCCCCAAGGCTCTGTCCATCCTGGTCTTGAACGCTGCCAGGGATGGAGCATTTACCACTTCTTTGGGCAACCTGTTCCAGTGACTCACCAACCTCACAGTAAAGAACTTCATAAGAATGGACATGTCACCCTGAATTAAATAATTTCTTTTCTTTTGTACTGTCTTTTATCATTCAGAATATTTATAAGTCTGATTTGGAATGGCTTCGTGGCTGTGGTTGGATTCCTCTGGATTCGGTGGAGCACAAGAAAGTTAAGAATGCACAAGAACTGATAAATAAGGTAAAAGAAAATATTTCAGCAGTTACGCAATTAGCTCTTTTTCATGCTCAGTGTTTAAGAAAATATTTCATCTCTTTGCAGAGAGCATATACAAAAGAAGCCCTTGATAACTTTTCCAATTATACCAGTGTGGTTGACACTCCCGACATTGTTTTGGCGAAGATGAACTCCGTCAATCAGAGTGATGTATGTACTTTTTTTTTTTAATAGAAACTGTTATATTACTAGAATTAGTAGATGACTGAATTGCTTTTGTTAAGCTGTACTGTTTATGCATGTACTTACATATGCGTGTGTATACATATGGATGCTTTATTAATAATAGACTTCTACTGCGGTAAATAAGTTTAATAAGAAGTGATATAAACGAACAACATGGTATAGCCAAAATAATTCAGCATTTTTCTGTTGAAGAATATAGCAGGCCTCTTATTTAGAGTTTACAGGTTTTTCATATAGTAGTTTAAAATTGAGTCCTGTTCTTGGTGAACAGCACTTAGTTGTACAGTACTAGTGGAGTTCTGGTGTTGCTACTGAGCTGTATTGCTGATCAGCCAGTTGAATTTTGTTACAATACTGTGTGGATTTTGTGGTGTGATGTACTGATGGCATTTAACTGTGTACTATAGTAGTTGGAACTACAAACATTACTGAAAATACGATAACAGAAAATTAATGTCTACTGCCAAGAAATGACACATCGGGATAATTTATTTCTCCCATGGAATTAACATTGTGTTTGTCATCTTTTTTAGATAAAATACAAAGAAACGTTTAACCTTGAGAAAGGCCAGTATATTGGGTCTGATGATACTCCTGTGCTGAACCATGCCAAAGACATGTCCTTGCTGTACAGTGATGTAAGATTCTATAAATATCTAACTAAGCTTTAATTTGTTTTGAAATGAACAGAATGTGAGGTGGACTTCAGAAAACTGTTCATTTTTGTCATTAGTCTACTGTGAAAGTTATTTAATCTCTTTTTTATTCATTTTTTCTCAGTTTAGATCATTGGGATAAGGCTAATTTCTTTCCTTATTGAACTGATCTCAAAGCACTGCTGTTGGGTGTTTGGAAGCAGTAATAGCAGTAGTAGAGTGTGTGACAGCAGTTTATAATTCATCCAATGATATATTCTGAGACTACTAATGAAATTTACATTTTCTTTTCTAAGAAAGAAAAACTGTAGATTGTTTACATTCATAAGTTAATTTTTATTGGAAATCTCTATTTTTTAAAAATGTGGCTACTCATTCATAGGAGTAGGTGCTTCATAAGTTAGTCTGAAAGTAAATATATTTAATTTTTTTTTTAAATATGATGTATTAGAAAAGTGCCACTGACACGGTTAATGCTTTTAAAATATACAGTGGTTACTGGAAGATTTTTCACCATATTGAAGAGGTATCTATAAAATTACCAATGTCTGTTCTATGCTGCACTTTTAAACAAGAGTTCGTACCTACATGTTGGATACTTGTATTACTCTGAGGAGAAATGCTGAACTCCAAATATAGTAAAGAAAGTGGATATCATCTTAAATTTGTGCTCAAGTACTTTCCTGAATCGGAACACTAATTCTGTTTGCCTTAGTCACACTGAATATGTATTCAAAATTAACATTTCTCATTTACTTTACTGGGACAATTCAGTGACTATAAATTATATTCCATGTGTGTATAAATGGCAACGTCAGGTTTCTTTGAAGGTAATAATGGATTTTTACCCAAAACGTCTATTTGTTTTTGGTTTTGTTTTTGTCTAGAAACGTTATAAAAATGCTTGGGAGATTAGCAAGCCCATTGGTTATTCTTTGGATGAGAAATATATTCCACTTGTTGGAGCAAAGCATGCAAACTACATAAATAGTGAGGTTAGTATAAATTCTCCTTTCTTTTCCTTTATTTTCCATGTACATTGTTAGAATGAACTTTAAAATTTCCACATGGATATTTTGCAGCTTAAATATAAGGAAATACATGAGAAGCTGAAAGGCCATTACCTGGCTGGGAAGGAGATTGAGGATTTCCCCAGTGTCATTCATTCACTAGCATTCCAGAAAATGAGGAGCGCGGTAAGGAGAGAATTAGCCTCACTGTATTATTTTCCCATTTTCTTTATTTTAGCATGACATCTTTAATTATAAGTAATACAATACTTAATAACATCATTAAAAGTTTTTTCAACATGTTTATGTTTCCTGCATGGTTATTTTGTTACATGGGTTGAATAATTGAACTTGAAATTATTCAGGAGGTTAAGAAGAGATTTGTTTAGCTATTAGACATATTAGAATAAATAAAATAAAAAAAACGTTTTTTCTATTTCAGTTAAGGAATCTGAACAGTAAGAAACAGTATATGACTTGGGATTCTTTTGCTTTACATATCTATATTAAAGAAGTGTTGATTTTTAATTGAAATGGGAATATAAGAACTGGAAAAGTGAAACACACATTTGGTGTTTTCTTACCCTGGCACATACAACATATCATGCAGGGCATAAAGTCAGTATAATCCCAAATATTCTGCCTTCATTTGGACAAGGAGATTTAACTAGATTACAAACATGTTTTGTAGCATGTGACTTTTTTTAATCTTGAATTCATGTTAATTTTTTCACCAGCTGTTAAATCTGTAAGTGAATAAGATCGTTCTTGTCTTTCTAGAATATCATCAGAATAAATGGTTATTAATTTATGATTTCATTCTGTTGAATCCCGTGGGTGTTTAACTACTAAATATAGAAAGCATGCCTCGGATTATGCCATGACCTGTAACCTGTTAGAGTCAAAATTGTGCAGAAAACCACTATTCTCTCTTCTTGCCTTTTCCCCAATCTTTCCTTTTTAGTTGGCCTACAGAAAGAATTATGAAGACACCAAAACAAATGTCCATATTCCAAGTGACATGATGAATCATGTGCTAGCTAAGAAGTGCCAGTATATCCTCAGTGATCTCGAATACAAAACTTACTTCCATCAGTGGAATTGTTCACCTGAAGAAAATGATGTTATTCAAGCCAAAAGAGCCCAGGAAATTTTGAGTGATGTATGTGTTTAATTTATTTGTTTGATATTTTAGTAGCCTTTCATGTATTTTTTGCATGGTATTTAAATATAAAATACTTTAAAATGTCTTCCATGGTGTACAAATAGGAAATTAATAACCGTGGTCTTAGATTGCTTGGTAGCATAGTACCAAAAATTAATGTTTTTACAGGGTTTGAGGGGGACATTTTACTGGTCTGATTATTTATTACTCATTTGTAAACTGGGAAAAAAAAAAAAACAAAAGTTAACATTATGAAACCTTCTCAAAGTCACTGCTATCAACACTTTATCTCTCTTTGACTGTATGAGATTGTATAGCAAGCTTAGAGTCTGGTCCATGCACGTTGGTACAGTCAGAATGTTGCTGTATTGCAGTGATCATTAAGTATTGTAATTGGGATTGTTGTGATTTGCACATGGGCCAGGACAGCATCCGTAATCCTTCTGGATCCAGTGGGTCTGGAAAAGACTTTATTCATTTGGCTTGTTTTGGTGCACAGGGTCTGAGCTGAGTGGCACAATAAATCAACACTTCTTCGTGTTACACAGCCAACAGTATCTCAGCTTGGGCCAGCCAACCTTCCTAATAAAATGCGATGATGTGTTGCTTAGCCCATTGCTGTGCTGCATTATTTGGTTTAATATCCTTTGCAAATCCTGTGGTTAAAAATCATTCCGTCAAACTGAGAGATAGGCCAGTCTTCTCTGTGCTCACATTTAAGCTTCCAAATAGATTGGAATTACTGAGGGAGCCTGGTTCAGATTCAGTGCTAACCTTCAGCAGTTTGAACAAGTGGAAGATACTGAATATAGAGAAGAAAAACAAATACTACTGCCTCCAAGCAGAAGGCAGATTTCTTCCTAACTTAACGGTCTGTTTTCTTCCATACAGGTGGTGTATAAAGATGACTTAAACTGGCTGAAGGGACTTGGGTGTTATGTCTGGGATACTCCACAAATCCTGCAGGCTAAAAAATCATATGACCTCCAGAGCCAAGTAAGCTTGTTTTCCTCAAAAGTAAATATTTATAAGATTTTTTTCCTTCCATTTGTGATTCACTGGGACTGACACCTGTCTTAGCCCAGAGCAGAATGGAGTAATTTCTATTACATCAGAATATTTTTTACAAACTATTATAATACACTCTTTCAGTTTTATCTGTAAAGACATGATCTCTTGTGTTACTGAAGGAGAAGAAAACAGGAGAATGGAAGGACAGCAAGATTGTGGGTTGTAACAGTGAGAAAATAACATTTTGTCTTTCCGTGTGCCATTGCGTGCACAAGATACCTCAGTGAGACATTTATGTTGGGAAAATGGTGTCTCTTGACTTGCTGATTGCACCTTTAGCCTACTAGATGCTATACAGTGATGTGCAATTTTCATTATTCCTTAGTTCATATTGGCTATAAGGTATTTCTTCTCTATGGTCTGTCACTGTTGAAGTTGGTCTTAACTGGGCCAGAATCTTGGGTTTCAGTTGTCCAGAACTGATTTTAAAGGAAGCTGAAAGGGAAATTCCTGGTCATTTTCAGCATTAATGTTTTGTTTTGTTTTATTTCCTTAGATAAAATACACAGCTGCAGGAAAAGAGAATTTTCAGAACTTTGGAGTTGTTACTGACACACCTCTCTATGTGACTGCAGTGCAGAGTGCTATAAATGCCAGTGATGTGAGTCTCCCCACTTTTTCTACTCAGGCTTTCCCCGTGCTCCTTCTGAGGATTGAAACAATTAAATCTGTCTTTCGTCTTACAGGTGAAATACAAAGAAGATTTCCACAAGACTAAGGACAAGTATACAACTGTGACTGAAACAGTAGATTCTGAAAGAGTTAATAATTTGAAAAATCTCTTTAGCAATGTAAGAGTTTCTATTTATTTATTCATTTCTTTCTTAAGGTGCTATTATGTGGGATTTTTGTTTATTTTGTTCATTCAATCTGTTTGAAGATAAAAGTCCAAACATGAAATTTATCAAAGCTAGTGGTAGCCCTCTGCATTTCTTGAATGTGTAGAGAAGCTGTATTTCAGGCAGAGGACATATTTTTTAACTATAGTTCCAGTCTTGTCAAAATAGAATCATTAATAAATGGATTACCTGAAGAAAATTCCACCTGAACAAAATTCAGACCTTGTATGAGAAGGGTCATGAATAGTTAGAAAGCATTTTTGTCATCCTTTTTGTGCACTGTCAAGATTAAACTAGTGCACAGCCTCTTGATAGTAATAGTTACAGTGTATATATAAAAACTGAAGTGGTTTTGATTTCTATGGTTTGTTGGTTGTTACTCAGGAGAAGAATTTTTCCACTCACAGATACTTTCTATTTCCCCACAGAATCTCTACAAGAAAGCTTGGGAAATAGTGAAAGCAACTAGCTATGCAATGCCCTCTGATGCTGTATCCCTAGCACGTGCAAAAGAACTGAAGCATAATGCTAGTATTGTAAGTGAATAAAATTCTTTATGCCTTGCAAATACTATAGGTTATCATTAAAAAAAAAGCCAAAAAACCAAACCAAATCATACCTTCTATTTTTGATTTAGATATAGCATGTAACTGTAAATAATCAGTTTTCTGTGCTAATTGTTTACCCTAAAAGTTAGTCATTTGCTTCTTTTCTTAGAAAATAATGCCATATTTTATAGTAATAGAAATGTTTTCTTGAATTTTTTTTTTATAATTTAAATTCCATAATCATCCAGGTCAGAAAAACACCAAAAGTCTTTAAGTCATGCTTTACCAAGTATAGAAGGACATAATCTTTTGCTTTACTGAGCTGAGGTTCATGAGTGATCACTCTATTCATGAATCTTTAAATGAAACAGCTGGAACAATAAATTAGTAGCTTATTCTGCATCTATTTATTTTTAAAATCTTCTAGTCAGCTTTTGTTATTTTTGCAACATGATAGTTACATGCTTTCTTTGCCATTTAAAATAAAATTAAAAACCAAGATCCTGCTTTAAAGGCTTTCTCTGCTTGTTGGACTTAACTAAATATTTTGCTTAGTGGTAAATTTTGTTTCAAAAATACAGTAGACTCATTGGAGTGGGTTGTCACCTTTATTTGCATCTGCTTAGGTAAAATACCGGGAAGAATATGACAAGTTTAAAGCACTGTACACGTTACCCAGGGGTGTTGAGGATGATCCCAATACAGCAAGGTGCCTTAGAGTTGGAAAGCTTAATATTGATGTAAGTGTTGTTTTCTGATGTGTCTTTTCCTGACAAAACCATACTTATCTCAGAAGAGGCTACTCAAAGAATCCACGTGCCTTCATTCAGATACCACATTTCCAGATGCATTTGACAGTGTTCAGTATTTGCTGAATTCTGTCTTAAATTTACGAATATCTTTTCAAGCCGGTGTCTCAACTGTTAAATTTCCTGCATGGATAAACCTTTAGTGTGACAGTTTATGTATAAAATGCAGCACTACATGGTCTGCCTCCTTTTAACATGTGTGTGCAATGAATATTTGATAAAGCATTGTGAAATGGTTAAGATACTGTGAATTATTTTTAGAGTACGCACAATGTTAATTTTGGTCATAGCCGTAGCGTGATTGCTCTCCCACTAACATTCCGTGAAAATAATAATTTTCAAATTTATCAGCACTTAATACTGCAGATTATTTGTCAGCATTATTAATGTACTGGTTTAACTCTGCAGCGTCTGTACAAGGAAGTCTATGAAAAGACTAAAGCCAAAATCCACATTATTCCAGACATGGTAGACATAATTTCTGCTAAGGATGCACAGAAGAAAATCAGTGAAGTCGATTACCGCACACATCTCCACGACTGGATCTGTCTACCAGATCTTCAAATCAATTCCCATGTTCGGAGAGTAACAGATCAAGTCAGTGATGTAAGTTCACAAATCATATGTTTGTGGCTCACTTTTAAAAGAGATTCTTGCATTTATACTCTCTTGGAGGGAATGACTTAGCAGAAACTTAGTTGGAGTACTCTGAAGTTGCCACTTGAATCTGTTACATTATGCACTGCTAAACAGCATCTGTATCATGTTTTTGTAACACCTAAGTGCATAGTTGGTGTGGCTTAATATGCATAATTTCAGTGTTGTCAGTGTAGGCATTGGGTCATAACATTGCAGTTCTACAGGTTCAGCCATCCCTGTCTGTAAATTGTTCTTTATTGTTTAGTTGCATAAGGTGTGGAAACTTTGGAACTTTGAGAAAATCCTGGTGGTGTGACGCTTCCATGCGCTTGCCTTGCATAGGTCAGCGCTGTATATCAGCAGTGATCTATCAGTAAATCATTGCCCAGTAGGATATGCAAGTATGATTTTTAATAATTATAGGGTTTTGTTTATTGGCCAAATTGAAGAAATGAAGAAAAATTATTTAAATTCCAAATGAAATTGTTTTGATTTTCTCAAACAAACGAAAGTAAAAATACTGGATGTTTTACTTGCCATCTTTTGACAGTTGTGTTTTGGACTGATTTAGCAATAAGAGATTAGATCTTAGTGGAAGTCTTACAGACCGTTGCTTTGCTCTGATACCGTAGGTGATATACAAGGATGATCTTAACTGGCTGAAGGGTATTGGCTGCTTTGTTTGGGATACTCCGGAAATTCTCCATGCCAAACATGCCTATGATCTTCGCAGTGATGTGAGTGGATACACTGGTTTTACTTCTAGGTTTTTTCACTGCACTGTATTAAAAGGATGAAGTAGCTTTATTCTGCCCCATATATAGTCTGGAAAATGTTCTCTATCCTTGTCTACTGATCTATTCATTAAATAAACATCAATGGTTATTTAAATCTTACTGCTGTAGAAGTATGTATTGTCAGCATACATCTCATTCAAGAAGGAATATATTTTAATACTTCTCAGAAAAGGTGAAATAAAAAAGAAGTACTGTTTTGAGTACAGCTTAAAATATTAATACTTCATTCAGAACCCTTGAAGTAAAGCAGAAGTGATGAAATTTTTAATTTTTTTTTTTAAATGTCTTTTGATGTTGATTTTATGATTTTTTTCTTTTCCCCTCCTCTCAAGATCTTAGGACACATCCTTAGTTTATGATTAAGCCATTTGAATGGGAGAATAACTATTCTGGGTTTTGAGAATGTATGTCCTTTCCCAAACCCTGTATCAGAAGTGTGTTGGATATTTGTCACATGGTACATATGCCCATTCTATGAATGAATATTGACATTTTCTAGTATCCCTTGATAAAACTTTTCTGCTGTTCTTATCCGGTGAGGTGCCATGTTCATTTATTCAGCCAGAATTTCAATACACTTTCTCTTTAAATGCTGGTTCACTAATAGAATAGTTCATTCATAAAATAAATAGCAAATATAACAAATATAATAATATATTACATTCCATTAGCAATGACTAGCCATACTAATTAAAGCTCTTGAATTTCTCTTTGCAGATTAAGTACAAATCTAAGGCAGAAAAGATGAAGAATGACTACACTGTGATCACAGACACTCCTGTCTATGTCCAGAATGTTCTCAGTGGCTTGAATTTAAGTGAAGTAAGTCTTTGTATCACCCTTCAACCCCAATATTGTGTATGCCATTACCTCACAAGTTCTAGAAATGGGATTTTTATCCCATTTTTTAAATAATTTAATTTTAATAATTTAATCATTGTTGGTTATATATAACTCATTGCCTATGCCTTTATTCAGATATGAGAACACAATCACTAAAATCATTAATTGCCTGAATCAAAAAAACTAATCCATTTTTTTAGGAGAAATTCCTGTATGTGTGCAAACAATACATGCTGAGAGAATATATCACAGTTAGGACTCTCCTCTAATTGCTTTTTCTTTTTTCTCAGGCTGTTTATCGTAGTGAATATCTGCACAACGTTAAAGGCAAAATGATTCCCACTGATAAAACAGTAGATTTGGAGCGGGCGTATCATGCAAACAAAATACAGAGTGAAGTAAGTATAAAACTTTTGGGTCCACAGGGTTTCTGATACCCAAAATGAAAATTCTTTGAAAGTTAATGCCTGTCTTCAGCTTTTCAGATAAAGAAGCTAGATTTCATTGGTCTAAATGAAAGTGGGGAAATGTCCTCATTTAAGCTACAAGTGTGTGTTATAATGCAGACATGGGGGAAATCACTTGCCAGTTGCAATGACAAGATTTCCTATGCAGCCAATGAATGGTTGTCACAAACTCTCTCTCTTCTGTTGCAGAATTTGTATCGCTGGGCTGGTGTGAATGCTCTGCCCACTGGATACAGCCTTCCCACAGACACCCCCAGCTTTCAGCATGCTAAACATGTCCAATACATTGGAAGTGATGTAAGTCATGTACTAAGCCCTTCCACAACATGGATTGCAAGGGAATATTTGATGCCTGTCATCTATGAGCACACAACTGTGACACTTATTTCTCAGATATGAGACTGCTTTTCAGAGAGCAGCAAGAGTAGGGTAGTTTCATGTGGATGCCTGAGCCAGGAACTGAAGGTGACCATGGCATAGGCAATGACCTCATCAGCTGGGGAGAGGTCCCACTATACCTGAATGGGGTGAGCAGATCAGGGTGCTGGTAACACATTGCATCAGCAGTTTCAGACAAGGGGAGGAACCAGGTCTAAGGTCCACCCTTGGTTCCAGTCAGGAGCTTTGGGAAACAGGGCAAACATTGGAGACAAGCTACCTACTGCATAGGTCCAAGGTAAATCCAAGAGACAGGGCTAGGACCAAGTTACTGGCAACTTAGGACCAATAATATTTGCCTTAGCAGAATTTAAATGTTACCAAACCCCATAATTACCTGAAGTAATTACTATCAAAATACAAATTTTCTCAAGCAGATGCAAATATCTTATTAGATGTAAGAGAAATTTAAAACATTATTAATCTTGGGCTGCATGATAAAAATGATGATGTGTATTTAACTCTGATATAGCTATATCTCACTTGCTTATCTCTAAGTCTGACTCTTTATCCTGCACAAATTCCTAGCAAAACTGCACTGTAAGTAGAATCATGATCAAATTTAGTTTCTGTATGTTTTGTTCCTTTTTCCACTTTATAGTTGAAATATAAAGAAGCCTATGAACACATGAAAGCTAAAGGCTATACTCTGGGTCCTAAAGATGTTGGGTTTGAAAATGTGAAGAAAGTGAATCAAGTAATTAATGAGGTATGGTAAATATGTTTATTTGCTTATGTTGCATTTGTAGTGACCAAAATATGAGTAAGGAGAGTTGTAGGATCCCTGTTCTTCGAGGCTTTTAAGAGCTGTGTAGGCAACTATCCATCAAGAAGGGTAAGGGATCATTGATCCCGGCTTGGAGTCAGGCTGTATGGGTTTTTAAGGTATTTTATAGCTCTAACTTTACATAATTACGTAAAACTGTTACCACAATATAAAATCAGTTGCAGCCTTATTTTATTAACTGATCTGCTGCTACTTAATTAAAGTTGCATAGAAATTATTATATCTGTATAACACTGGGTCTCGATAGTTCTAGATTTTTATGTATATGTACTCAGTTCTTTGATCATTGGCTTTAATAGGATGAAAATTAAACATCAGAGAATTAAAGTGTCAGATTCTCTGCGTATTAGACATGCTGCTATCTAAAAACAATTGTGGAAAATCTGCCTGTTAGGAAATAGTATGCTTGCTCCCTTTCCTCTAGTAGTTATGCAATACCCAGCAAAAACTCCTTCCCTTATAAAGAAGGTCTGCTCTGCCAAAGTGCTTGCCATTTTAAGTTTTTAAAATGTAGAATGCTGTCTTTTTTGATACAGAGGTTGTATCGGGCAACATACCACAAGTACAAGGATAAGATTCATACCACTCCAGACACGCCAGAAATCCGTCAAGTCAGAGCAACACAGGAAGCTGTCAGTGATGTATGTATCTTTCTAACATAACCAGAAGAGATTTAGAATATTCAGCATGACCAAACATGAAATGCTGTTTTTCCTTTGTCTTTCAGCTGATCTACAAGTCAGATTTCTTTAAGATGCAGGGACACTTGATTTCCTTGCCATACACTCCTCAGGTGTTGCACTGCCGCTACGTTGGGGACATCACAAGTGATGTAAGCAACATCTTTTAAGATACCTGCTATTTGAATGCAGCACACCTAATGCTTTTATACTGAGAGTGGAATTTGTCTTCTATCATTTGTATTCTGTTCTGTAATCGATAAATGCTTTGTCACTGTGTTTAGAGACTGATTAAGGAAATTATCCCAAAAGTTAACTTTGGAGTTTTCTTTTTGTAATTGCCTCAGAATAAATACAAAGAAGATCTGAAGTGGTTGAAGGGCTTGGGCTGCTTCCTGTATGATACTCCTGATATGGTCCGTGCTCGTCAGCTGCGTAAGCTTTGGGTAAGGTTTTATTTCTGAGAACCATGTATAACAACAGTTGATTTATTTACACGCATGCTATGTACTTCCAGGAAGTTAAGTACATGAAAATGAGTAAAGGCTTATGACAGAATTTCCTACCATAAAGCTAATTAGTTATTTCAAAGCACTGTTAGGTTACCCTGTAAGATTTTCTTTACTACCAAGAATAATAAAAGCTTCCTAAGTAATAGTGTTGTTTTTTTTCCAGTCCAATTATATATACACTGATACTGCAAAGAAGATGTGGGCTAAATGCAACTTAGTATTGGATACTCCTGGATACAGAGCTGTTCAGGAACTAAAAACTCATTTGAGTGAAGTAAGTTCTGTATTCTTTTTGCACATCTTTGTTAGCTATAATTAAGCTTCGCCCCTCCCACTGTTTTTTTGTTAGGTGTTATAATTGCAAAGCTGTGATTGTTCAGCTGCTGAATGACCATATGCAACAAGAAATAATGCACGGACCTATCTCTTTCCAGCTTGTTTATAGAGCTGCAGGCAAGGAGCTGAAGACAAAATACACTTCCATCCTTGATACACCTGACTTCTTGAGAGCCAAGCAAGGACAGAAAATACAGAGCCAGGTGAAAAATTTGTTCTGATTTAAAAAAAACAAACAACAAACCAAACCAAAACAGTCAGGGTATCCCTCTTAATATACTGTTAAAGTACAGCAAAATCTTTCCAGGCCATTTCAAAGCCATGTAGAATTACTAGAAAGGACATCTATAATGACCGTTGCTCATTGTTATGTGGCTATGAATTTTTGTGTTGACCATGTCTCTATAATGGACATGTTCAGCTTTGTTTATGTGAAATAGAGCACTGAACTCTGGTTCAAATTCTCTAATCCTCTGACTTCATTAAAGGCATAAATATTTTTATTGATCTGCCTTTATTCATCATATTTTTTTTCATTCATGTTCTAGCTCGTTATCTGAATTCCTGGCTGCAAATATTGTGGAATTTTTAAAGTTGTAGAACAAAATGAATATACTCATGAGAGAAAAGCAGACCTTATGGATGCTTTTATTTAAACCTAGGCCTGCATGTAGGGCAGAGAGGTCATTAATGTCACATGTATCTGACTTCTTGGTTTGTAAATATGTTACTGGCAGTTACATAGCATCAAGAGTACTGCTAGAGAAAGGTGAATTGAGATAGCATGGAAAAGGAAAGGGCACAATATTTTTTCCTGGAATAAATTGTGTGGTCATGTACACATTGTGAATTTACAGGCATTTTTCAGAGAGATAAGGTAAAACTTAGCTAAAATGTAATATTTTTTTCTTTGTTTTTGTTTTTTTCTTGCTGCAGTACTTGTATGTGGAACTTGCCACAAAAGAGAGACCCCATCATCATGCTGATGGTCAGACACCAGCCTTTACGCATGCTAGGAATATAAAGGACATGGTCAGTGAGGTAAGATATCTGGATTTGTTTTTGTTTGGTACCACTATGCTCAACTGTTTGAAAGTTCTATTTCTAATTTCAAGGCTTAAATCTGTTTATCCTTCATTTAGTTTTCTGTCTCTTATGCTTAAATTCCACATTTCTTTTTTAAGTTGTGGTAAGACATTACTCTTTTTAAATATGTTTTAGTATTTTATAAGATACCTGCTTGTAAGTGCTTTTTCGCAGAATCTGAGGTACATTGGCTGCAAGACCAGGAAGACCTAGAAAGAGCTGACCCACTAAGCTTGTTTCCCAGAGTTTTGACAGAAACTCTTTGCAAGAGTAACTTTGTGCACCCAGTGTAGCACCCCTGCGTGTTACTGTAACATCAGATTAGGAAATGCTTCTAATATTAAAGGTATATCTTTTTCCTTTTGCTGTCTTCCTTAGAAAAAGTATAAAACCCAGTATGAGAAGATGAAGGACAAATACACGCCTGTTCCTGACACACCAGTCTTGATCAGAGCCAAGAGAGCATACCTGAATGCCAGTGATGTACGTAGTCCACGAACACTTCCACTGCTGTTTGGTTTTGTTTTTTTTTCTTTACAAAAAGCACAGAAAAAAGATCAAAGGGGAACAATTATGCAGAGCATAGGCTATCTCACTGTGTGTCATCAACTAGGTCACCCCATTTGCATGTACATTTCCATTTGATATTACAGAGATTATTATATTTTTACTTGATGTCACTGAAATGCTTTTTTGTCATTTATTGTAGTTATTTTTCATTTTCTATTGCACTGCAGTGTGGTTTACAAAAAGAAGGAATATATTTAAAGTAATACACATAAAATCTCTGAATAGTGCAGACTGGATTGAAATGATTGATGCTGGAGCTAGGATAGAATGTCTTTTGTCAGGTATTTTCCTCTCAGATTTGTGTTAGAAGTAAAGTTGCACATCACTGAGAGTGTGCTCTTTTTTAAATTTAGAAAAATGATCTGCACGTTAGGTTACTAAGGTGAAATTGATCTTTCCTTCAAACGTGTAGTAATGGTCTGTGATTTAAGGCAATAGCTAAATGTACTCAACTCGTTCATGAGGTCTTTGCTATGTATTTCAGGCTACATGCTGTATTCTGAAAGCGTATGTGCTAGGCTGGTGTTTTGTTCTAGTGATAAGTCTTACTGCTCTCTTAAGAATGATTTTTAAATAATGCACAGGAGCATCCCAGTTCTTTTGCACGCCTGAATTTCTCCTCCAAGTCTTTCTCCAAACTGGGATACATAGCAAAGTAGGTTTTTTATGCCAAAAGTGGCACTTTTGCTGTTCTTGAGAATAGTCCTGTGATACATGGATAATTTTTTTCTTGGTCTTCAGTCTGAAAATGAAATGCATGAAGTGTTGCTTTAGATTTACTGACTCTTTTTTCCTCAAATTTTCACCATAAATCTTGTTCAAATTAAAATTGATAGTAGGCAATTGGAGCTTCTTAACAATATAATGTATTATTTTCTATGTCATTTTTCTTAACAGTTGCGATACAAAGAAACCTTTGAGAATACTAAGGGCAAATACCACACAGTGAAAGATGCTTTGAATATAGTCTATCATCGAAAGGTCACCGATGATATTAGCAGCGTATGTATCCAACATTCTCATTCCTAATTAGTGTTTGTCATTTAATAACCTAGAATATGCCAGGTGTGGCAAATAATTATAAAATATGGTCAGCATTGTTAATACTGACTTCTTTCTTTCCTTGAAATGTGTACTTGATTGCCTTTGATATTACAAAGGTGAATGTAAGTTAATCTCATTTCCACTGGTTTAGTTCTGCTGTTTTAGAAAAAGAATTGTCTTGAAACTGCATGGTCTGGAGTGCTCTCTCCACAAATCATTTTTCCTTCATTCTTCAATTTTCTTTGTAGGTGAAATATAAGGAAAATTACATGAGCCAGTTAGGAATTTGGAGATCGATCCCAGACCGACCAGAGCACTTCCATCATCGCATAGTCACGGATGCTATTAGTGATGTGAGTTCACTTACTTCTCAGATGAGAATTGTTGAAAGTTATAAGCAGGTTCCCAAAATGAAAGCCAACTCTTATTTCTTAAGAAAGAGAAGGGAGCTGAAATTTTTTAAATGATTCACAGTTTCACCAGGTGGATCTGTGAAATGAAGTAGCAAATCAGATGGCCCATCTGCTTTTGAAATTACCAGAATAGTCTTAATGCATTTCATTTGTGTTTGCGTAGATTTATTAACCCTTTAACAATTGTACACATCTGTGCATACACAATAACTCTTTAATTGTACAAGAACAAATGTTTTTTAATTCGCACAGGAACTCCAGTAGCTAATGATAGGTTAGGAATGTGAATAATCTGAGTCCATCAGAAAAGTATGAGTAACTGTAATGTATTTTACAATGAAATAATTATGGATGTAGCTCTGTTTGCTGCACCTTGTGTTGAGGTGCCATTTCAGCATTGTTCAGCTATAACTTAGTGCCGCTTAAAACTGAATAATTTTATTTCTTTTCTAAAGGTTAAGTACAAGGAAGACTTATCATGGCTCAGAGGCATTGGCTGTTATGCATGGGATACTCCAAGTTTTGCTCTGGCAGAGCAGAATAAGGTGCTCTACAGTGGGGTAAGTAAACAAAGTCCAAATTGTTACTAAATGTTTTGTGATGTTTGCTTATATTGTAGATACAATTTTTCACAGGAGAATCCACTTTTGACCTAGATGTTGATATGTTGTATTTATGATAGAACTTAATATATAGCATCAATAATTTCAGCAAATGAAAACAGTAGGAAAGAAAACAGAGGCAAAATGATCTTTTACTTACCCCCTCTGTTCTTTGCAAGGCTATCAGTTCCACAGTAATTTTTCTAGTGATTCTAAGTCTAGCTTTAAAATTATGAAGACCTGGCATTCCCATTGCTTTCTTGATGTAATAGTTCCATTCTGCAAAATACTACAGTTACAACTAATTTTTGTTTGTAGATATGTAAAACGCACTTATGCGATAATTCTGCCATAGTTTTGCTGCAGGTTGTTTCTAAGTTGTACATTTTCATTGCTTTTCCCTTCTTTGGATTAACATTGGAATGGGTTTTTGTGTGTGTTTTTTTTGTTTTTCTTCCAGTGTAAGTACAAGGAGATGTTTGAGAAGACTAAGTCTCATTTTAAGTATGTAGCTGATTCTCCAATTAATGAGCATTTTAAATATGCAACTCAGTTGAGGGATATGGTAAGTGTTGAAGATTCCCATAAAGTCTCATACTGACATAGGAAGTGGGTATATGTCAATACCAAGCTAAAGGTTGATATTCCTTATGAAATTTTATATAAAATATATTCAGGTTTAAGGCTGTTTTAAGGTCAGACTAAATCCATGAAAGACAAGGTTGTTCTTAGTGTCTGTCTGAGTGTTAGGACTGGGCAGGTTTACAGTCCCTAAAAACTGAAATCCTAACCCCTGTTCCATTAATTTATCATTGCAAAGAAACTTCTCCTTTGCTGACAGGTAAATAAATGGTAATGTAAATAATGCTGCTTGCCTAGTAACACTGATTGTCATGTGAAAAAGGTGTGGAGAGAATTACAACTTCTTTTCTGAAACACTGGAAAAAAAAGAACTTCATTAGTGTTGGGAAGGTAATATGCCTGAAGTTACCACATCTCTCATTTCAGATATTTTGTGTTGAATTCTCCCACTCTACTACTTACTTTTGCTTACTTTTCTCCTGCAGTGCTAAAGAAACAATGAACACAACATAGTAGCAAAAGGGGTTAATTAATGCCCCTGTGTTTAAAATCAGCAATGGAGTTTCTAGGAGTATTGTGGTACTCCCACAGGACGAAGTCTATTGAAAAGCATGGTGTTCTAGATGAATTCTCATCAGCTTGGTGTTGGCATACCATACTGATACTTTTCATTGAAGTAGTGTATAATTAGACTCTCGCATCTTGAGATGTGATCTTGATACGTTATTCTTTTTCACCAAATATTGTGTTAAATTGTTTACCGGTCAGTGAATGCATTACGGTATACCTGTTCTAGGTCAGAAAAACTGTTTCACAACAGATACCATTCCAGTACCATTGCTATAATTTCATACTCAATTTGATAAGCAGTGAACTGGAGTTTCATATGGAAGATTATTAGTATTCAGTTTTTCCTTATTTGCTCTACCAAACAATAAGAAAACTTAATATGAAAAACATAAATAAGTAAAATTTTAGCAATGGGGGGCTCCATAAATTGAGAGGAACTTACCTTAATGTCTTCTGTTATGTAGTGATGTTTTTTGTGATGAGGGATTACAGGTTTTTCTTACAAAACGTCTGATGATAGTATAAGATTGTATTTTACTCTTTTATCTCGTTGTGTTCTCTTTGTACTCAAATCAAGAATCTAGTTCTATACAGGGTTGCTTCTGCAATTATTTTTCCTGGAAAAGTAAGTCATAAAATGGCTTATTGAAGAGTAGCAGAGTTAGAATATCGGTATCCTTAAACTGTAGATGAGGTCTTCCAGTGGAAATAGAGAAATGCATGTACTATTTGCAGATATTTCCTCTTTTTGTTGTTGGGTTGGTTTGTTTGTTTTATGTACATATATATATTTCTCTTTTGGATATGAACTTCAATTGCAGCCTTTAAACAGTTCATATAAAGAGATTTCAATGGATAGAACTGTAATCTCTTTGGGTCTTCACTTCTGATTTCTTACAACATATTATATTATTCTGAGCAGATGTTATATAAAGCTGCCTATGAGAAGCTCAAGGATAAGTACAGTGTTATTGTGGATGATCCTAAGAACCTCCTGGCCAAGTGGGCGACTACATTGAGCAGTCAGGTACTGTAGGAGCACTAGCCAGTGCTACCGTAATGTGCTGAGTTCACTCACAGCTGTTCTGTGTGGTATGTCTATGGCTAGCAGTATCATAGGTTTCACCTGTGATGTTGTGATGTTTTAGTTCATTTGAACAGACAATCTTTCTTTGCTACCCAAAAAGAATTAGTACTTTTTGAGTGAGCTGATTTCTACCGTATGTACTTTGATATGTTGTGCATCAATTGACGTCAGGAATGTAATGCCTCTTAAAGTCATTGGAGAGGTTTTAAAAAACAAATACACTATCATGCATCTATTTTTTATTACGTCTCTTTTAATAAGTTTTACAAGCATTATCTTCTTACTCATATCTAGATGAAGCAACAGTGACATATTTGGCTTTTGAGTGCCCTCACATTAATCTAAAATTTATTCTTTTCTCCCCAAAATAACTTTTGTAATTTCCTTAATGGTATAGTATGCAAATCTTATAATATATACTCTTGACATTAATTACATAGATGTAACCTGTATGCACATCTGTAGTACATACATATATACAGAACCTTGCCTAACTCTTTCCACTCTCGAGGTGTCTGGGATCTAGAGCTTTGTTGCTGTTCATGGTGTTCACAAGTCTCTCTTGTGCTTCATTGCTGTTTGCACTCTGCCTGACCTGCATGTTCATCTGGATTGATTTCATGTGTTGTTTGTATGTAATTATATACAGTTTTATGTTTTTTCTGTCACAGTCCTGTTTCAAAAGCATGGTTTTATTTTTTGATGCAAGATAGAGCATGAAAGTTCTTTATTAAAAATGTGTTCTACCATCTTCCACCTGCCATCAGGCTGTCTATGGTGTATTTCCGTTCTCGCTGTACAGTTTGTTCTCACTGAATTCTGTGAAAACAGGCTTAGAGTCCTGAGTAGCGCAAGATGATATTTAAGAATGACATTATCAAGACAAAAATCCTCTTACCGAAGCCTTTAAAATATCCTAGCATTATGATATATTCAGTGAATGTTTTTATCTTCTGTTTTGTAAGATGTTTTACATTTCTCCTCATTATAATTAATATTTTTAAATGAGATATTGTCCAGTTAATAATTTTAAAAATCAGTGGTCTGCTGAGATTGCTTTTTTAGCTCAATCCTGGAGATACAGAATAGAAGTGAAGCAGCTTGAAATAAACATAAAATTAATCACGTGAATAGATAAGCAGCCTCTTAAGGAAAAAAGGGGGTTGCAAAGTTTCAGTTATTGTGCATATTCAGCTTTCATTGGCTTTGGTGGAAGGATTTTGCAATTTTTTGTATTAATATAAATGTATCTCCTGAAGATGTTTTGTCTTGGTTTGTGTGGTTAACATACAATCTTTCCCCATCACCAGGTTCAATACAAAAAGGACTATGAAAAGAAGAAAGACAAGTACACTATCGTTGTAGATACTCCAGAACACTTAAGGACTACAAAAGTCAACAAACAGATTAGTGATGTAAGTGTAGTCCCTCTCAAGCATACCTCCTTCTCTCATACCTTTGAAGAGGGATAATTAACAAGATGGCATTTACAGTAGTCCATTATCAGATGTTTCTTCTCTTAATTTTTTTCAATCTTGATGCAAAGACTGTCAACAAATAATATAATCTATAATTAATGTCTTCAGATTATCTATAAATTGGAATACAACAAAGCGAAGCCAAGAGGCTATACTACAATCCATGATACACCTATGTTACTGCATGTGCGCAAGGTGAAGGACAGAATAAGTGATGTAAGTAAGTCATCTGTGTCGGTGGTGTCAAAAAGACATAATTAACTTTTTACTTTGATCTGAAATGTTTATAACTCATAAGTAACAATGTAATTAAAAAAATAGCTTCTTGTTAGAGTGTAGTTAATTTTATTTTCATGAAAGCTGTCTATGCATTCAATGCTTTTTCAAAATACACAGCAGAATATGAAAGTATTCAGGAAGTTTTTCATGTAACGTTCTTTGGTGAATCTTGAAACATTTTTGGTGGGGTAGAACAGTTCTCACTAGTAATAAAAGCCATGGGCCAGAGCTGGTATCTAATTAAAGCATGAATTCAGGGAGTTTGTTTTTAGGTTTTCTTCCTCTATTGGCCAGTGGCTTTTGTGGAGCCTTGTATAAGGTTCTTAATACATTACTGTGTTTATTAATTTCTTCTATGGATACTATGGATATGTAAGGTAAATATTCTGATCTAAAATAAATATGTGTTTTGATTATGGGGCAGTGGAAGGCTAAGAAGAGAGAGAAAGGAAGATGAAGTGGAGAGAATATCACAGGATTTGGGAGTCCTGGTCCTAAATCCTCCTGCTACCCAGGCTTTCTCTCTGACATTTGTGGTGTTGTTTCTCGGATATCCGTAAATAAAATGAGGATACTAGCAATTCTGTAACTCAAAATAGTACCACAACAATATATACTACAATAAGCGTGAAAGTTATTCACATGCTACATGGATGATCTATATGAGTCAATCTAGGAGGAAAAAATAACATATTGTCCAGCTACTAAGGTGGATCAATAAGAGACAAAGGTGTCCAAAAGTGATCTGTGAATTGACATACATTTTTTCTGTTCCAAACTGAATGCTGAATTTGATATTCTATACAGGAGTTTTCAAAAAAGCAGTGATTGCACCTATCAGAAGATAAGTTTTTTAAAGCATTTCTGTTAGGTGCCAAAAACTAGAAAAGGGCAGAATTACTGTTCATGTGCAGGTTTTGCCAAATCTGTGTGCTTCATAGTGAGTTATACCTGCTACAGTTTCTATTAAGAGAGAACTGCAGCTGAAGAGGACCCTTCTTTCATGCAAATGGTTCATACTAAATTGTATTATTATAATTCTTTTTTCTTTTGTTAGGATTTTATCTTGTCATGAGCAGTTTTTAATATTATGTTTTTCATATTCGGATGCTTTTCTTGTTTATGATATTATGTCTGTGAACATTTTTTGTTTGTCTTTTTTTAGCTGAAATACAAAGAAATGTATGAGAGGAATAAATCTCACTGCAATGTCGTAGCAGATTCAGTTCATATTAAGACTCCCAGGCATGCTTACAAGCTAAACAGCAATGTGAGTTCAGCTTTATTAATACTTTAATTTTATTTTGGGTAGTTTTTGATACTGGCAACGGAGACCATTAGAAATTATTTTCAGTTCTATTGAATTTTTTTGAGCTTGGACATTGCTTCTAATTCTTACGCTGCTTGAATAAAATACATTTTATTTTATTTCATGCTAAAGGGTGCACTCATTCAAGTTGTTCCTTGAGGTCACTTGAGGTCTTTGTATGTCACACATCTATTGTTCTCCTGACAGACTTAACTGTCCCAGAAATTCTCTGTGATCTTGTTTTGTAGACTAAGTAAGCTCTTCATGGGAAGCTCTCCAATGTTTTCCATTATTGATGGCCCAACATCCACTTCAGTAGGCAAGGAACTGAAAACACTAGCTTTCTTCAAAGTCTTGACATCTTTTCAGTCATTCATATTCCTTTCTTAACTTCACAGTGGAAACCTGGAGTAAATGGACTCCCCCTAGATTGTAAATGATTCAGAGGAAAGCCTTAGTTTGATGTAGATGCATTTTCTTACCTCTTCTCTCTTTAACTGGTACAGACTGAAAGAGAATTTGCATGTATATGAATGTCATGTGTAAGTACACAACTTCCAATTAACTTCCTTTTTTCTTGTTGTTTCACTATAAACAGCTGGATTATAAAAAGAAATATGAAGCAGCCAAGGCTCATTGGCACTGGATTGCTGATAGGCCTGACTTTGTTCAAGCAGCCAAGTCGTCTCTGCAACAGAGTGATGTAAGAACATCAGAACAAACTGAATACTCCCTTTCTCCACATTTCTCATGTTCCTAATAATAATAATAAAAGTAGAAGATTTGAGACTCTGCTTTATATTTTATTTTTTCTTCCTGCAGTATGAGTACAAACTGGACCGGGAAATCCTAAAGGGTTGTAAACTCTCCGTCACAGATGATAAAAACACAGTATTGGCCTTAAATAATGCCATCTTGGCGAGTGATGTAAGTACTTGAAACACTCTGATTTTTGTTCTACTAGAACTTTACTTACTCTCTGAACTACTTTATTGGAAAGATGATTGGATTAAGAATGAAGCTTTGAGAAGTTGTTTTTAGTCTCACTTCATTATTTGATTTAACTTATTTCATTAACAATTTGGCAAAATCTGAAAAAATTTGGTCCTGTAAATGTCACTGGCCTAGTTCATGGGTTAAATAAGTACTCTAAGTTAGCATTGCCTGAACACCCTAGACCTCTGGCATATCTCTGCATTCCTGTTATTTAAATGCAAATACTGTGAAGAAAACAAGAAAAGCTGCACGTGTAACTTATGCATAACACAAAGTATCTGTAATAATTCCTAACAATATATGAACAGTCAATATTCAGTATATTAATATTAATAAAATTCTAAGAGAGCTATAGGAATATATAGACTGGAATGAATTTATCCTGGCAAACATCAAAATATGGGATTTTCTTCAAATTTTTGCACTAACAAGCAGGCACAAGTATCAGAATTTCTTTTTCAATTACCAGAAGACAAAATGCACATTGCTTAAAATACCTTTTCTTCTCACTAGATAAAATACAAAGAGAAGCACAACAAAGCTCGAGGGTCATACCTTGTGGTTCCAGATACACCTCAGATCCTCCTGGCTAAGAATGTCAGCTCTCTTGTATCTGAGGTAAAATACCAGGGAGTTATTTGTTCATATTAAGTATATCCTTTTAATATGGGGGGCAGGAGAGCAGGACTTGCAACGTTGTGGGTTTTTTTTACCTATTTTTATTCTGTGCTTTCAGAACAAATACAAAGAACACAGCAAGAAGCAACTTCCACATGGGTCTTACACAACCCTGCCAGAGACACGAGACACTGCTCATGTGAAAGAGGTGACCAAGAATGTCAGTGAGGTAAGTAACTACTGTGATAGCAATTTGTGGTGAGATTATTACCTGCTGCCTGTAAATGATTAGACACTTGCATGGTTTAGTATGCATGCAGTACATTCAGAGTCTCATCATAAAATGCCAAGGAGTCAGAAAAGATGAATTCTGACTAGAATGAGACTTTAACTTTAGAGCTAAATACATTTATTGGGTTTCTCTTGAAATACTCTGGAGAAAAGTAGTGGGTTGGAGTGCTAGTGGGTGCCCTTCATTCAGATCATATTTTTCATAGGACTGAATTTAAGTACAAATCATTATCTCCAAATAGCAAGCTTTTGTAATCTAAAGTGCAAATTATGACCAACATAAAAGAAGCTGAGGACCATACATTTTGAGACTTGAGGAGGCTGTATTTTGTCTATCTTAACAATTTCAGTGTGTTTATTTCCAAGTTTTAGTAGCATTTGCCTCCATGTGAAATTAAAAAAATCATACCTGACTCTTATTATTCTTAACAGACAAACTATAAAAAGAAGTTTGTGAAGGAGAAAGGCAAATCTAATTATTCTGTCATGCTGGAGCCTCCTGAAGTGAAACATGCCATGGAAGTTGCTAAAAAACAGAGTACAGTAAGTTTGTCTTGTCTTTTCATAAATTAAGTAGCACGTGTAAGAAAATTTAGTCAACATCAGCTGGCAAATCTGAAGTTCACATACTCCTGATTTCCTTCCAGCCTCCACGTTCAGGTGTAATTTTGACAGATAATGGTGCAACTATTTACAAATCTAAAATTGCACTGAAATAAAGGATTTCTTCTCAAATCATATTTCTACTTAATCACATGGTAGTATTTAAAACAATCAAGTGCAAATCACATCTGATTTTTTTTTTATTCCTTCAGACAGAATTGTGTATGCTTAAGTCTTTGTTTCTAGGCAGCTTGTGAAAAAGTTTCCAAAATCCATTCCTTGTGAAATTATTTAAAAATAAACAAACCACAAACATACAAACCCCATGCACTTCACTAGCAACATTGCTGTGTCCTTAATAGACATATTCTTCATGAGCAAGCCTCAGTAATTTTCTTTCCTTTTTCTATCTTCAACGGATTAGATTGAATACAAGAAAGATGCCAAGTCAAAGCTCCACTATACACCTATTGCAGATCGACCAGATATTAAGAAAGCAACTCAGGCTGCCAAGTTAATTAGTGATGTAAGTGTTTTTTAAGTCTTCTGTATAATTTCTTATCAGTAATTTTACTGCTAAAACCAGTGTCAGTGAAACAATTAAAAGGGAAAGTCATCAAGACTAAACTATACTTTTTTTCTTTGTTAGATTGAATATAAAAAGCGTGGAGAAGCTGGCATTGGTGTAAGCATGCTAGGACGTCCAGATATTGAACTGGCAAAGGAGGTGTCCAAGCTAACTAGCCAGGTAATAATAAAAAGTTAGTTAAACTTTGAAGCAATGAGAGAACTGTGACATGCTATTAGTTTACAGAGTAATGGTAATATTATAGATGAAATTATTTCTAAGTTAGGGAATAAAGGAATATTTCAAAGGGAATAAGTTAAACAAAAAAATTAAATTCCAATACAAAGTATTTCTTTGTTAAATAAACTTTTCTACTGACTTAGTAAATGCCAGTAGTAGAGTTATAGAATCTCCTTAAAATGATGCTGTGACGAGGTCTTTTAAATACTAAGGCTGAAGTGTTAGCCATGTTATCTTTGATTTTTAGTTTTTCTGTTTATTGGCTTTAAAAGAATCAGCCTTTTCCCTAACTCTTAATATCCATCCTTTATGAGATGGACATTAACCCTCATTCCTTTTACTTTGTGCCTTTAAAAGAATCTTCTAGCTTCTGAAGTTAATATGTTACGTTAACAGGAGCTTGCTCACTTCTATACAATGGTCACGTTCTCCAGGCAGTCCAAAGTACATGCTTGTAATTTCTTGTGACAATTTTTTCTGCCAGGACTTCAGTTCAACTTTGTTCTTTCTCAACCCTTCATGTTTTAATCCTGTAGTTGTTTGCATTTCTGATCTTGCTTTCTTGCTACACATTATAGGCAGAATACCTCAAACGACATATGAGAGGGCATGGAGCTGCATCTTATGATACCCCATGGATGAGAACCTTTAAGAAAGCTAATATGCTAAGTAGTCATGTAAGATCATTTTAAATGACAGATCTGGGACTGCCGTTTTTATGCATCTGTCTCTTGCTTGCATATTATCTTACAGTTCCAACTTGTTAAAGGGTTTATGATGCACCAGTTGAATGGATCTTTTTGCGTCAAAGGTGTTGAATGTAGCAGAACTCGTGAGACTGCTTGGTTAGGTTTAACCTTTTGGTTTTCCCTCTGGAATGTTGGATGGTGAATAGGAATTCTGTGGGTGAGGAATTTGCCTGTTTCAGAAACACCACAGGAAGCTTGAGACGTTATTATGCCCTTTGTAATTGTTTAGGAACTTCCAGTAATTTTAATGGAATTTTCTGATGCACTTACGCAATGTTAAAACTCACCTTTTTCACCCTCAAAACCACTAAAACCAGACTTATAAGCTTGAGCTGGTTTTCCTGAAACTGTGCAAAAAATGGAAATATATGTGTATGAAAATCCCAACCAGTGGTGCTGGTAATTTCCAGTAACTAGTCATAACATATGCATAAGATTCACACTAGAACTTCATTTTGACTATTCAGACTTCAAGTGTCTATTTAAACTATTCTGTTCACATTATGTTGGACATGGCATAATTAAAGCATAGTGTATGAATCAGCTCCATGGCCTCTGAGAAGTGTACCCTGTAGTGATTTTGGGGCACATAGTTTCTTATATTTCTTGCCATGACAAAACCTTTGGAAAATAGAAAAATAGTGGCTGCATAGCAGTTTTTAAAGTGGCAACAGATAGGTCTGTGCCTTTTCAGTTTTACACATATATTTCCAAATGAAAAGAAAGGGAGATTATGTTTTTTCCATGTCTAGCCAAGACTGTTGCATGTAACTGTCGCATGTTTGAATGTCAGCCACTCTGTGTATCAGGATAAGCAAGAATCTTTTCAGTAGAACCAACGATTCTTAAGCTGAACATTTGAACTACAAGAAAAAGAAGAAAGTATGTATATTCCCATTCGGTGATAATGAGGTCTTACTTTTCCATACTTCTGTTCCACTAGCTGGTTCTCCTCTTAGTCTTATAAGTGTGCTTTGCTGAGATCATTTTGGTTCTCAGAGAAATTAACTATTGTAGGGGCAGTAAGGGAGCAAAGAAAAATTGGAGCAATCTTTTTTTTTTCTTTGAAGCATTTCTTCTGATAAACTTCTCTTAATATAAAGGATTATGTCCGGTTTGTTTGTCTTGTTTGCCATTTTTTAGTTGGATTCAGTTGGACCTATCTGGCATGCTTGCTTTTAATTTTGCAGAATAATTGTTTCTTCTGGGCTTAAAGAAAGCGAACTCTTTGGCATGATGGTCTGATCTTGATAATATGTTGCATAGCTTGCAAAACCTAACAGATTCAAGTATACTTCTGCTTGGTTTTATTTTTTCTGAGGTCAGAACCAATACTAATTCCTTTCAGAATATTAGTATTATTTGTTTTGTTACAGCAGCTGTATAATTTCTGGATTTGGCTATTTCACTATGAGTTTTATCTGAATGTGGCATATTTTGTAAAGCAAAACCACAAAAGTAGTATCCACCATGAGCTATATGGTGCTATATGAACAAGAATATGACAATGAATTCAAAGTGTAAAGTGTGATTGTGGAACATGATTTAATTCTGCAATCATATTTCTTTTTTAACTAATACAGAATTATCTGTTTATCTTTCTGTAATTGTCATTACATCCAGTAAATCATGAGTCATCTCTTCAACTTCCTTACCAGTTCTTCAATATTTTATTTCTTTATTTATTTTACTTGGAGTTTCTCTTGCACTCTTCAGTAGCTCTTCTGAAAAAAAATTATGCATCTCTGATACCAAAAAAAAAAAAAAAGCAAGCAATAAACCCAAATTATTCCTATTGGAACCATCCCTTTTCTAGGTTTACAAGCAATAGTGAGGAATTAGCATTTATCTGCAACTGCAGCAGTGGAATGGCACAAGTCATGATGGAAGAAGAACTTGCCCTCATTTAAGTCATTAGCAAAACTCTCATTCCTACCAACATTTCTGTGCCTCCAGCTGGATTATCATGGTTTACATCACTATGCTTTCCCTTAGTGATGTTAATGTGGTTTGGAAGTGTTACTAACCCTCTTGCATAACCTAGTTCCTAGTAATTAATTGTATCGCTATTCTGTTTGTGATAATTAGCATCCTTCTTCATCTCTGATTTATGGAGAACACGCTATGTGCATAACATATATAAATGTATTTGATATATTGCCACTTTCAGTGCTTGTATGTCTTGAGGTAGTTTTTAAAGCTGTCATTTCTCCAAGAAGGACATAAAAATACTTTTGAATACTCTTTAAATTATTTTTATAGTCTTTAAATTCTTTTAATACTCTTCAAGAGTCAGCTCTTGCCTCTTTGTGAAATAAGGGTATCTTTATCTATGCACAGTTTCATCAAGTGAAGTATTCTTCATCTCCAGAATTTAGCTGTATTTTGTCTCCATAAATCTCTTGACTACATCCGTGATTTTTACCATGAGGAGATGTAAGCTGTGCACTGAATGAAAAATTGCAAGTGGTATGTTGTAAATAGGGATGTAGATTTCTTTCCATGTCAAGTCATCTTTAAAATAGCCTTTATTCCAGTGGATATCTTCAAGTTGCTACAGTTTTGTTCTTCTGCTTACTATCAGTACTGAAGTAGGGACTCTGCCTTCTGCAGCCGACGTGAGCACTCAAGATCAATTGTAATATCTGTTTGTTTTTAATTTAGGTGAAATACAAGGAGAATTTTTCCAAAGAGATGGGTAAAAAGCCAAAGTATGATTTAAAGGAGGCTAAAATCTACAAGACCATGAAAGATGCTCACAACTTGGCTAGTGAGGTATGTTTACTTATGCTTTTCCCATAGGGAAATTAAAAGTTTCAGATTTTTTTAACGAAGACCTCCTTTATGTTCTTAATGCATCCAACATCACCAGTTTTACTAGCAGTTGTCTTTTCTGATGATGTTTGTCCTTTCTTACCGGCAGGTGAAATACAAGGCAGATTTAAAGAAACTTCATAAGCCTGTCACTGACATGTCTGAATCGCTGATCATGAACCATGTCCTGAGTACAAGCCAGCTCGCCAGTGCTGTAAGCTCGTTAACTAATCCCAGACTTGTTTGTTTTTTCCATTACTGTTGATTCTATTCTGAAATGATCTCTGCTAAATACTTCTGTAACAGTTACTCCCTCTGCTATTGTTCATGGGATGTCACCTGGTAGTGATCTCTTCCTCTACTTTCTAATGATTATTTCCTGTTAACTAGCAATTTTGCCCCATTTGTCCTCTGGGAAGTCAAATCTTTACCAGCTGCGGAACTGCTAATATTTTAAATCCTCTTTATTACATTTTAACTGATTGCATTACACTAACAAATACCATCTTCTTCTCTTTTTTTCTGATTTTTTTTGTCTTATTTACTGCTTGCTATATTTAATTTTTTAATTTTTGTCTATTTTTTTCATTTCGTATTTATGCTTAACATCCCCCTGGTGTAGACGTACAGAATCATGCCTAACAAAATACTCAATAATTTTACTGAGAAAAGTAAAAAAATCATTATTGCCTAATGCAGCTTTTTCATGTATCCACTCTGTTTTCTTTTTTTCTTTTCTTTTTTTTCTTTAATTCTGGTTTTGAAAAAATCTTTGTTTCAATCAAAATGGTCAAAAAAAAGTAACTGTTTACCTACATCTTTAGAAGTTTTATCTGATACTGGGAATTAAACTTCTTGCTTTTGTTTTACTTTTTGCATTTCTAATTTCTCTTGATGTTCCATTGAAGTGTTGCTTTGATTGGACCTAACAAATAAATTTGCTGGGGGATAATTTTTTTTGTTATTGAGATGATTTTTGACACCTTCCCCTCAGTACCAGTACAAGAAGCAATATGAGAAGAGTAAGGGTCACTACCTTGTGGTGCCAGATAATCTTGAACAGGTTCATCTAAGGGAGGCATCAGAACTACAGAGCCACGTAAGTTGGTCAGCTGTTTCTCATTAACCCTACTCACTGAGTATCAGTCTCCATCACTGAAGTTGTCCTAGCAAATTCTCCAAAATGTAATAACCTCTCTGCCTACCCGCTTTATGAGCACTGCACACCTGAGTAAACACATCAATGAGAAATATTTGCACATTTGCAAGTTTAGAAAAAACAAAATATCTGAATGATACCTTCATTCTAGAGTAGATCTCAGAGTTACTTATGACTGTTGTATATGCATCTTTTTACACAGTAAAATATATTAATTTGGGTGATTTTGTCTGTAAAAAAATGACTTGGTAATCACAGAAAATGGAAATTGAAAGAAGTAGGGTTGTTGCTGACAGTATATTTTCAACTGCTTTATCCATTCTAGCCTCATTCTGCATCCAAAATCGCTTTAACCAAAACAATAGCTACAACTGCTATTAAATGTGTCCAACATTTTTCCCCTCTGGAATACAGCAAATGGTGGATTATTCCAGAGGAATTCATACTCTGATTTGGTCTCTATTCCTCTTTATTCCAGGTTCTATTCCAGGTATTTATTGACTGTAAAGCAAAGAGACAAATTACTGCTAGAATGCAAAGGGCCATAGTTACTCTTCTGCTGCATGGCGTGGAAGAACAAAAACCTTACATAGCAAAGGACTATAAGGAAATGGTTGTGAATAGGTTTGTAGTTAAAGTCACTACTTGTTGCTCCAGTTTGAGATCAGGATGTATCTCAGCCAAAGACATAGCATAAGCTCATGCAGGAGTCTGAAGATTGATGCCCTAGAGGCTGATAACTGTAAATTGAAGCAAGAATATCTTCATCCTTGTGAACATTTTAGTTAGCAAGTCACTAAACTACATCTTTTCATTCCTGCTGCTGACAATCCAGCAATCTGTATAATACTTGGTTGTTTACACAGCAATCTATATAATACCTAACATGTAACTGGCTGAACTCAGCCAGGGCCATGAGCAGTCTGAGTGCTTGCAAGTTAGATTTTTATAGCTACCTGTCTTCTTGAAATCTGAGCTAACACTGCTTATTCTCTACAACAAAAGTCAGTAGAATTTTAGGCCACACATGTTGCTGCAAGCCTGACCTTTGTTTTTTACATTTTATTGACAATAATACAGATTTCAATATTAAACATTAATCTTTTCATAGAATCATAGAATCACAGAGTCACAGAATGGTTTGGGTTAGAAGGGACAATAAATATCATCTAGTTTCAACCCCCGTGCCACAGGGCAGGTTCCATCTTTCCACTAGAGCAAGTTGCTCAAAGCCCTGTCCAGCCTAGCCTTGAACATTTCCAGGGATGGCACAGCTCCTCTGGGCAACCTGTGCCAGAGCCTCACCACCCTCACAGTGAAGAACTTCTTCCTACTATCTAATTTAAATCTACCCTCTTTCAGTTTAAAGCCATTTACCACGGATCTGTTGACTATAGTAGAAACATACTAGTTGATAAGTTGGTTCTTTAATTGAGGGTAATATTTTTATTTTCTTCTCAGGTGAAATACAGAGAAAAGTATGAGAAGGAAAAAGGAAAACCTATGTTGGACTTTGAAACACCAACATACCTTACTGCAAAGGAATCTCAGCTCATGCAGAGTGAGGTATGGTTAAAATCAATACTGACAGACTAAAAAACTTTTTTTTTTTTTTTCTGGGTTAAACTTTTACAGTGACTTAGGCAATTATCCTTGCATCTTGTGCATGCTGATAAACTGAAAAAATATAGCTGTATCACATTTCTTTATATTGGTTAAGAAATACTACATTCAAAATCCATGAAGCTTTCCCATGTCATGCTGAAGTATCATCTGTAATTTTTCATCAAGAAGCTGTCAGTAAATGAAGCTTAAGCAAGTCTTCGAGTCTTTAGAAGAAATGTAATATGAAATTCATTTCACTTAAAATATGCAACAAGAGTATGTGTGTCAGTTATCATCATAGTCCACAGAAAGTACCCTGGTTATTTTTTTCACCTTAGAACTCTGTCTTTGAGAAACCTATTTATTTCGTCTTTGTTTCTGGCGTCATAGTGTTCTTCACTGACTTGTAATTCTATTTCCTCAAGCAGTTCTTTTCTGTTTGTAATCTTGTTCTGTGACAGATGAAGGCTTGCACATGCTGAGAAACAGTTGTATACAGCCAAAAGTCATTATGTTTGAGTGTTTCCATTGAACATTTTCTTGGCATGTACAACTAAGTAGAAAAAGATTAAAAAAAAAAGCAGGGTCAGGTCATATTTCCATTGAAAGTCATGAGATGGTTCATTGGCTTTAGTAGAAACAGGATTTATTGCTCTACATGCCCACGGCATTGACTGTGACATTAATACAAAACCACTGCTCCATCCTCCCAGTAGTTTTTTGTGTAACTAAAAATAATATAAGAAATATTTGCAATTTGGGATTTTGTGTGGTTTTTTTGTTTTGGCTTTTTTTTACTCTCATTAGAAAGAATATAAGAAGGACTTTGAAGAGAACATTAAGGGCAGAAACCTTACTGGCTTGGAGGTTACACCATCCTTATTACACGTCAAATACGCAACCAAAATAGCAAGCGAGGTAGCAGTTATTCTGTGCTTCTTTCCTCTGTCAAGTTAAATAATTCCACTAAGCAGTTCTTCACTGCTTTCTTTTTCCTAACCATTCACATTAAGCATGATTCCATATATTTTGTGATCTAATTTGTTACTGTTCAGTAACTGTATTTGTATTTGCTGCATCCTTTCTGGCATACATCAGTCTAACTGTTACATGGTGGGGTGTATATGTGTGTGCGCCTTTGCAATTTATCTTAAACAATAATTACCACACTCTATTCTGTTGTAGTAGTTGTTATATAACCCTATGGGATATTCTTTTTTGTTTCAAAAAAATTTTTTTTCATTTGAAATTTTTGGTGGTTTTGTTTTTGTTTGTTGAAATTTTTTTTGCAACAAAGTTGTGGAATACAGAACTCTTTTTAGTCTGGTTTTGCAGTTTTCATGTTCTTTCTTCTGCAGAAAGAGTACAGGAAGGATCTGGAGGAAGGTGTCAAAGGCAAAGGACTAACCTCTTTAGAAGAGACTCCAGACATGCTAAGAGCAAAGAATGCAACTCAAATCCTGAACGAGGTATTCCAAAAGCTATTTAGAAAATAATGAATGGATGTAATAACCTCCAACTGACAAACGCTTATGGCTGTGTAACACCAGTATGAACTTTATAACTCCCTAGAAACTCTTGGGGAAAAAAAAAAGAAAAAGTATGTGGTTGACTAAGGATAAAGCTGTGAGCCTGAACTTTTACGTGAGCTTTTTTTAGCTTTGTAGTTCCTATCAGGAATATAGGTGGGAAATAGGTGCTGTGATCGATTGTCAAGGGATGGACAAAGCCAGCACTGTGATGCAGCAGGGCTAAGCATAAGAATCAGAGGTATCAGTTTGTCAGTTGTGTAAACTTAAGCATCTTGGGTCAGGAGCACTTAACCAAGGATTAGAAACTAAGGACCAGGGCTGTGGAAACAAGAAGCAAAAGTGAGAGATCAGAAAAGGACTACAGTGACAGAACCAGACTGGCATGCTCCTGCTTTGGGAGGTATGCTGTGCAGGAAAGAGCTATTTTTTATCATGCTTTATGCTTGATGAGCATGTCAGAAACACCAGCCATTCTCATGAGCTCTTCCCCCTGCCCAGGATTGATGCCCAGTTGGCAGCTGTTGGGCTGATGGCTGAGGCAGTCTTCCCCACTTTGACACAGAAAGGTGGCCAGCAGTCAGGATGCAAACCTAACAGCTGCTTTATTTGTATGGTGGACTGGTATAATAAGTATTTCAGGGTGATTGCCTTCATGGGATAAGACTAGTTCATATTTTAGGAGCCTTATCATCATCAGCAGCCTGAAAGGTGAAAAAAAGTAACTTTTTAGTGTTACTTCTGATTTTGCTTCTTAACAAAATACTTTGAAGACAAACATCCTTACAACAGCATTTTGTACTCAGTAGTGCAGAGGTTTTGAGTTATTCAAGGAGCCTGTATTTTGTTACCAGAATATTACAGATGTATTCAGCTAAATTCAGCAGAGTTGGCATAGAGAGATATGAATCGTAGAATTATAGAATACTACGCTGGAAGGGACCTCAAAGATCATCTAGTCCAACCTTTCTAGGCAACTTGACCTAGACTAGATGTCTCAGCACCCTGTCCAGTATGAATTATACAATATACAATATGAATTGTACAATATAAATCTTTTAGACCTTACTGGAAGATCTGTTTGGGAAGGGTGGCTGCTACAGCACTGAGTTTTTAAGGAGGGTATCCATTCCAAAGGGCCCCAAATGTCACAGAGAATCCTGGCACCTTGCATTTTTTTCGACATGCTCAGTTTGAAACATCTGGGACCACTCTTCACTGCTACATGCATTTCATACACTGCTCGTTCTCTGTTGCTTCTCCTCTGTTCAAGTTACAGTTTTGCATGAATTGCTGATCACCTAAAGGAAATCACACTTTGAGATTACTGGTGTTGGAAGAGTGACCTTAATACAGCTGGCCTGTAGTGTGCGCCATTTACTGCTGAAGTGGGGCTGTTTGTTCTTAAGATTTAAGTCATAAAGTAGACACTTTAGTGACATCATTTATGTGTTTAATTGTGAGTTTATATTAGTAGTATTCTTGGTTTTTGTGTGGCCATTAAACTAGCTGAGGTGCTAAAGGTATTTGGTTCGTATTGACAAGGTATCTCTTTACTGTCTTTATCTGCAGAAAGAGTACAAAAAAGCTTTGGAATTAGAAATCAGAGGGAAAGGTCTGACAGAACTGGCTTTGGAGACACCAGATTTTGTGAGAGCAAAGAATGCCACTGACATTGCCAGCCAGGTCTGTGTGAATACCGCATGTATCATATCTGATGACTTTTTTAAAGGAAAATTTATTAACAGTTTTTTTCTGATTAAGCCAAATGAAAATTGTTGTCAAAATATGATAAAGGCACCTAAATGTGAGCTTTCCCCAACAGATCAAGTACAAACAGTTGGCAGAAATGGAGAAAGCCAACTACACCAGTGTTGTCGATACTCCGGAGATTATTCATGCCCAGCAGGTCAAGAACCTTTCAAGCCAGGTATCTTGAATGAAGCAATTTAATCATTGTTCATGTGGGAACCTTGAGGGGATACTAATTTGGAGCACTTGAATGACTACCTGTCCCGATGTTCAGGAGATGCACCAGAAAACAGATTTCTCTAGAGCTGTGATGTGACATCTCTTACTCTAGAATTCCATTTTGATAATGAAAATAATTTATTTTAATACTGTATAAAAGGAAACAATAATTTATATTGCTTTTGCAATACCAAAGCTAATTTGGTTCTAAGTAGATTTAGCTTAGTTTTCATACTCCTTAGTAACTTAATGTTTAAAATAAATCTTACACAGAGGCATAATCTGAATTTGTATCAGACACAGAAGTACTCACTTTTCCATAAAGATGGACATTATGCAACAATAAGTAATGCCAGATTGTTTATTACTATTTTTGTATTAATGGAATGTATTTTGTATTTACCATCAGAAAAAGTATAAAGAAGATGCAGAAAAGAGCATGCCTTACTATGTGCCTGTAGCAGACACACCAGAAATACAGAGAGTCCGTGAGAATCAGAAGAACTTCAGCACAGTATGTATATAAATAAAAAAACCACTGTTACTGTCAAATCGTGAAAAATCTGTTTTTTTCTTTTCATTTAATCAGGTCCCGATATCACTCTGTAATCCCAACTAGGCTGCTTCCTATTTTCAGGAATCTTCAATCAGAGGGTCTGTTGTGTATGCAGCACCCCACATATGCATTACAAAGGGAACCGAAATGATGCTGTTAACAGTTTTGAAGAAAACTTTCTTCTGCAGCCTCTGACAATTCCTTTGCAAGTGATAAGAGAATTATGCTTACAGAACTTGTCCTTTGTTGTCAGTCGGGCTACTTCCAAGACTGTGGTCAGTAATAGAACTCCACAACCTGAGTTGAAATCTTTGATTTGCATTGTTGAGACAGTCTGGCGCCTTTCAAAATTTTTCAGTTAAGGATCTGCTACTGCTAATTTAAATGAGAATACCTTTAACTGTAGTACCACTAATGGTGGTGTTAAAATGACCTTATGAGGTGTACCTTTTTTTCCTCATCTTCAAAGAAAACTCTGTAAGTAAATTTTTAAGGCATGGAGTCAACATTTGACATTTTATTTTAACTTTTTCAACAGCTTCAGTACCAGTGGGACCTACAGAACAGTAAAGGAAAAGTTACAGTTGTACAAGACACACCAGAAATGCTGCGTGTGAAAGAAAACCAGAAGAATTTCAGCTCGGTATAGTTACCTTCTGTTTTCAGTTCTCATTGCAAAAAATACAGTTTAATGTACTTAATAAATTAACCATTTGGGGCTCTTATCTTACAGGTGTTTAAGTTCTTGATCAGCTTGAATGCTTATAAGAACTTTTTCAAACAAAACTAATCATATTTTAAGTAGATTTAGCTGGCATTTGCTACCCCTTTTTAACTACTGTTTTTTGTAGAGTGCCCTGATTGCGCATATTCACATATTCACAGCTGTGATATAGTTAGTCAATCCTGTATTTAAATTGATGTTACTAGTATCCACCTTTCTTTTGTCCTGTTACCATGTGAGTACTGTATTGTTGTGTGGCAGTTGCCTTCTTTCAGTGATAAGTGAGCTGTCTGCCTGGCCTGTTTTACATTTCATGTGTTACCATGAAGTGCTTGAAGTCTTCTGTATTGTTTTGCCACTAGCTCCATTAGCATAGTGAATAACTAAGTGGAAGACATTTGTGTAAAACATACTAAAGCAAATTAGAAAAGGAAAAAAATAGAGCAAATACTAGTCTCCAGTCCTAAAATTAGCCTGCAAATATTTTGATACTCTACTTGAAAATGCACTACAAATATAAATGCTCAGCCCCTTTTTGCACAAAGGGCAGTTGTATAGTAAGACAGTCTTCAGATATGTAGTAAGGCAGTAACTAAAGATGAGGCTCCAAGTTGGCTTTAATGGTCTGCACTGTTGTGTTCAAATCACTGTCATGAGCCTGTATTCATGTGCTATTAGAAAGAATGTTGTGTTTTGTACGCTTAACCTTGTTGTCTTCATTCTAAATATTAAGATTTTATATAAAGAAGATATTGGAACTGGAACTACTATTGAAAAGACACCAGAGATGCAGAGAGTTAAACGAACCCAGGATGCAATCAGCTCGGTACAAAGAATTGATTTTTAATACTCTACCAGTGCTAATTCAACTTGAAATAATATATTCCCCCCTCCCCCCCCCTTATTTCTTTAAATGTTGCTAACAGTGGTTTGGCAATAATCCATCCAGCTAAGGGATACTTTCTAAAAGTTTTTCCCTATTCTTGTTACTTAAACAGTAATCTTTCTGATAATTAACATTTAATTTGTTACTTACAATTCATTTCTAAAACTTGAAAGCTCTTGGCATGGTTTTAATCTCATCCCAAACATAGTATATTTAGCACAGAATCAAATAATTATTTAGGGTTGAAGTGACTCTTAAGATTGTCTACTCAAAACCCTTCAAGCAGAATCAGCTAGGGAAGGTTGTCTGGGACCACGTCCATTTGAGTTTTGACTATCTCAAAGGATGAAGACTCCACAACCTCTCTGGGCAACCTGTTCCAGTGACTGACCACCCTCCCAGTAAAGAAGTGTTTTCCTGTGTCCAGACTGAATTTTCCATTTTTTAATTTGTGCCTATTACCTCTTGTCCTGTCACTGAACACTTCCAGGAAAAGTAGCTCTCTCTTCTTCATTTCTTCTCACTAGGTATTTCATAGAATCACCACAGAATGGTTTGGGCTGCAAGTGATCTTAAAGATCATCTAGTTCCAACCCCCCTGCATAGGCAGGAATACCTTCCACTAGACCATGTTGCTCAAAGCCTTGTCCAACCTGGCCTCGAACAATGCCAGGGATGGGTCAGGCACAGCTTTTCTGGGCAGCCTGTGCCAGTGCCTCACCACCTGCATAGAAAAGAGCTTCTTCCTAAGATCTAATCTAAATCTACCCTTTTTCAGTTTAAAGCCATTCCCCCTTGTCCTATCCCTACATGCCCTTGTAATGTGTAGTGTTATACACATTGATAATTTCCCCCTGCACATACTCTTCTTCAGGCTGAAGAGTCCCAGCCCTCTAGGCCTCTTCCCATATCAAAGATGCTCCTGTCTCTTACTCATCTTTGTAGTTCCATGCTGCACTTGCTCCATTAAGTCTTTCTTGTACTGGCAAACCCAGAACTGGAGACAGAATTCCAGATGTGGCCTCACCATTGCTGAGTAAAGGGGAAGGATCCGCTCGGTTAACCTGCTGGCAGTGCCTGTCTTAATGCAGCCAGGGATGATGTTGGCCTTTGCCAAGAGGGTACATTGATGGCTCATGGTCAGCTAGTTGTCTGCCAGGTTCCCAAGGTCCTTCTCTGCAGATGTGCTTCCCAGGCAGTTAGCCCTCAGCATGTACCCCAGCCTGGGGCTATTCCTCCCCCATTGCAGGACTTTGCATTTCCCCCCACTGAACGTCACAAGATGCCTCTCAGCTCATTTCTCCAGCCTGTTGAAGTCCCTCTGGGTGGCACCACAACCCTTGGATGCATCAGCCAATCCTCACAGCTTGGTGTCATTTTCAAACTTGCTGAGGGTGCACTCTGGGCATTCAGGTCTCTCGTGAGGATGTTAAACAGTATTGGCCCCAGTACTGACCCGGGGTACACCATTGGTGACTTGCCTACGACTGGCCCTTGAGCCACTGGTCAAAATGCTCTGGACCTGGCTGTTCAGGCTGTTTGCACTTACTTGTAACCCATTCATTGTTAGCTTGTGTGTGAAGATGCTAGGCAAACAGTGTCAAGAGCCTTACTAAAGCATGTCTTGGAAAACTTTCATACTCTGTAAAAAATTGTAGCACACTACAGTTGGAATAATTGTATGTATTTTCTTTCAAAACTTGTAAATCTTTTTCATGTTTTTTTGAATGCTCAGTATAAAAGATACTAACATTTCAGCCAATTTGCTTCATGCTAAAGTTCTTGTGAAATATTTATTTTTTTTTTTTTGTTATGCTGAAGTAGAAATGCACTGCAGTTGTTAAAATCTTGTATGATGACTCTTGCTTTTGTTGAAGGTGGAAAGACCAAATGGTATCAGGTGCAAAGTTATTTACACCTGGTGTTAGAAAACTCTTTTAGTGAAAAGCTCTTCACAGTGACATCTTGTCAACAGCTAACATTGCCTTCTGACACATGGCTTGTAAAGACGATGGGAAGCCGCACTGCTCATCGTAAAGCCAAGGAGATCTTTTAAGTTCTCAGTCTTTATGAGATCAGTACAATGCTCTTCATATATCCACATGTGCATTTAGGTGCTCTTTTCAATGCCATTATGCTAAAATTTTCAGAAATTATTTTAAATTTTTAATATCACAGTTTTTTGGAACTCTGTGTAAGAAATCTTGAAATGGTTCAGTTGGTTTGGATCAGGGGGGTGGTTCTTGCTGAAATGAAGCTCCTGGGAGACAGATACCCAAATTTTAAGCTTCGGTTGAAAAATTCTGCCTCAAACAAGTTGCTGCTTTTTTACGCTAGTGGTTGTTAAAGTGCTTTGTAGAGGTGTGGCAGAGTTACCTATTAGGTAACTGGAATAGAAGGTTCCTTGATTATTTTGTTCTATCGAAATACATTTAGTACCTGAGATCTGAAGGAGTTTAAGTGTAAAAGACTTAAGTTTCTGTATTCATGTAACTTGTTATGCATACACGTGTCAGCTGTCCTTTAATCTAAATCCTTTTACCTTTCTCTAATGTCTTTGCCTTCGCAGGTTAAATACAAGGAGAGTATTGGGAAAGGAACTCCAATTCCTGATCTTCCAGAAGTGAAGCGTGTCAAGGAGACACAGAAGCACATCAGTTCGGTAATAGCCGATATTTTCTATTAACCTATATACTCGGAGAGCTCAAGCTCCAGCCTTTGGTGGTGTTTGTGGGTATTTTTTGCTGAAAAAAGAACAGCTCTCTTAAATCCCTATATTCAGCAGCAGATAGTTTAAATATATGAATTTTTGCAGGAATCATTACAATCAGCCATTTCCTGTATTACTTTTCTGACCTTTTCTAAACACAGAACTAGAAACAAAAAATACCAAGATGTCTTACAATTAGTCTGAAAAAATGGATCAGCCTGACAGAACTTTGTGGAAAAAATAATGGGAACCTTTTTTGTAGTCACAAAACCCTAGTGACCGTTGTAAGTGAAAGCAGTACTGGCTCTTCCCTTACCTAGGGGAGTGTGGATTTGAAAGCACAACATGCTTCCCTCATTTGGCACCATGGCTGCTTTACTTTGATCTCTGCATACAGAATTGAGTCAGGATATGGTCTTGCAATTATTGGTACTTTCTGCACAATGTTTTTTTCAAAAGATTCTTCATTTTTTGAACCTTTTACATATTTTTTTTTCTCATGCTGTGATTGATTTATTTTTGTATTTTTTCATTGTTTCAATCATAGCGAACAGTGTTCTTCTGAGTTTTTTTCTTTTTGGTTTTGGTTTTTGTTAACCTTTTTTTTTAGCACTGCCTATGTGACTCTTAATGAAAAATGCACTTTTTTTTAATCAAACAATTACAAAACAAAGCTAATAATATGACAGCTAAAACTGTATTGTTTTTTCTTACTAGAGACCTAGACTGAAGTAAAATAGTACTGTTTGAAACAAACAGTCACAAAAAGCAAAAAGAAATAGAGCCCACTACAGAGTATTTTTGTATTAAACATGTCTATAAAAGGTTGAACTATTTGTTAACACCATAAAAATAGCTTCCATTAGTGCTGACTGCCTGAAAAGTAATACTGTTACATTTCCTAAACTAAGATGGAAGGAAGAGCCTACCTACCTTTCATGCCAGGTTAGCGGAAGATTTAAACTTTTGTCCTACTGAAATGAAGTATTCCATTGACTTCAGTGGGTTCAGGCATTGAACACAGACATTAAGTTCTTTGCTGAGCTCACACAGCAGACATTAATTTCTTTGCTGAGCTGTTGGCTGTGCTTATAAAGATGTACACTGAGTAAAATAAATTGTGCATATATTTATGTATAATCGCAGATTATTATTTACCTGTAAACCAGGTAAATTATCTGTCCAAATATACTGTAGTTGTTATGGCAGGAATGTGATCTTCTCACCTTGCTGGGTGCTTGTGTTCTGCAGGTGTTGTACAAAGAGGACCTAGGGACAGGTATCCCAACACCTGTCACTCCAGAAATAGAGAGAGTCAAACGCAATCAAGAACACATTAGCTCGGTATTTAAAAAAATCATAACAGCTTATTTTTGCATAACACCCTAACATATAATCTGTTTTTCTTCAGTGGGTTGGAATCTCACCCTTCTTCCGTCTTTTCCTTGGCAACATTTTTAACTCCTTTATATTCCACCTGTTTGTGTTTGAACTTTTTTTGATGATTTACAACTTTACATGTTTCTTTTAAGAACCAACCTGGAAGTAGCTGTGAAGTTAACATGGTGTTTTTCTCCATGTTTGGTTTTCTTAACTCTTTATCTTCTACTGTCTGTAGTCATATATAGAATAATCAACCATCAGCCTCTTCCTTAATATTTGCCTCTAGAGCAAGTGTGAATTAACGAAGAAGTGACCCTAATGCTAAACATAACTCACAAAATAGATTTAATGGGTTTGCCTATGTAGAGTGTTTTGGGGGGTTTGTTTGTTTTTTTTCTTGTTTTTGTGGAAACTTTCTTGTACCTCACAGGTGTTATACAAAGAGGGCTTAGGGACTGGCATCCCAACATCGGTTACTCCAGAGATGGAGAGAGTCAAACGTAATCAAGAGAACATTAGCTCGGTATTGCTCAATAAAACAAACCCTACCATTTCCAATGCAAATCAAGTCCCTTTAACTCCTCCATATTACGTTTTTGTTTCAATTATTTGTTGAACTTTGAACAACCTTTTTTTTAATCAAATCACTAAACCTCTGTCAGTATCCTTATATTTTTTCACTCAATCTAACTTAGTGGTCATTAGATTGTACCAGCTGTGAGATCCTAACCTTGTTTACTTAAAGCAGTTAAGCAGTACCTTATTTTTCTTCCCAGTGAAATAGTAGTAGTCTGAGTGATATCATTCTCCTCTTCAATAACAAAGTCAATCCTTCTAACAGTCTTCAGACTCCCCACACTGGGTGCACTGCAAACGAAAAATGAACTCTTAACCCTTCCTGAAGCAAAGCAATCTAATGTAACTTGTGTGTGCTGTCTCTTTTCCTGGTTTTGCTGGGGTGGGTGCTTTAAGTATTCTACAGGTCTTTGTAAGAAAACCTGGGTGGCATCATCATATCACTGCAGTATGAAAAAAAGAAGGCTAAAGTTGCATATATAAGAAAAGACTACCGTAGTAATGAATTCTGTCCAAACTGTTTCTACTCCTAACACATTCCAGTCAAATGACCATTATGTCATTATTTTGTTCTGTATTTGTTTCAATTAGAGTGACTTGCAAGTCAGTTTGACTCACTGTGACCCAATTCAGTCATGACAGATAGGAAATTCAGTCCTGACTTGAAATTAATAGGAGAGTTCAGACAAGCCACTGTTGTTAAATGTTTTGCTGCGTTAATTGTCTCTGAGGTCGTGGCAGCTCTCTGTTATGCTGGTGAGCTTATTTAGAAGTCTTAGAGGCAAAGCTGCTTATGCCAGATCTTTTGTTTGAGTAAAAAACCTCCTTTGCAAGTGAGTTTTCAGGTAACAGAAAACTCTTGCAGTTCTTGCTGGCATTCCTTGTGTGCCCCCAAGTGAGATGACAGCAAACTTCACAGTAATATTAGCAGATTATTTTCATTGAGGTTTTTTGCTAGCCTTTGAACAGGGCTGACAAAGCTCTATTTTTCATATTTTGAAGTTTCACTATGTTAAATTACTTGTCTTCTCTCTCTGTCCTCCCTGTCCTCCTCTTTCCTTTTCCCTTTCCTTTCCTTTCCTTTCCTTTCCTTTCCTTTCCTTTCCTTTCCTTTCCTTTCCTTTCCTTTCCTTTCCTTTCCTTTTCCTTTTCCTTTTCCTTTTCGGTTGTGTTTTTTTTGTTTTACTTTTTAACGCTCCCTGTTGTGGCACAGGTGTTGTACAAAGAGGGGCTGGGCATTGGAACCCCAGTACCTGTCACTCCTGAGATGGAAAGGGTCAAACGCAACCAAGAAAACTTTAGCTCGGTATTTTTTTCCTCATTTAAGAAAAAAAAAGTTCCCTGTAACTATTTAACACTTGTGGATTTTCTGCTTCCTCCAATTAACCTATAAACATAGAAACATCCCCTTTCTGCTGTTATATATTTTAGTCATTGTATTTTATATACTTATTTTTTTAAATATTTTTGTTATAACACTTGATGCTTCATGTCCTTTAGTTTCTTTTTGGTGAAGCTTAAGGCATTTTGCATTTTTAAAAAACACTGGGGTTTTTATTTGCTTAATTCCATTCCTCTAATGCTTTCTTATTCTGTGGAAGCATATCTAAGGATTAGGATACAGGTTTCTAGCTATGAGAAGACTTCCTCTAAATTTACCATACTTGCTAACTGGTTTATACTTCCTAATTTTTCCTGCTTTCTGGTATATTTAGTTGGCACAAAAAGGATGTGTGTTACCTCCGTCAAGTACAGTTGGGATTTTTTGGACTTAACTTTATTTGAACTCCCATGTTACCCTGCAGGTGTTGTACAAAGAGGATCTGGGGACAGGAACCCCAACACCTGTCACTCCTGAGATTGAGAGAGCCAAACGCAATCAAGAGAACTTTAGCTCGATATTTTTTTTAATTTGAAAAGCAGCATTTTCCCTTTTAATCTATTTGCAAATAATTTTAACACACACACACACAAAAAAACCCTCTTGTATTTCCCTGTAATCAATTTACACAAGAAAGAATACCCTGTTCCCTGTGTTTTGACATTTTTTTTCCTCTGTAGTTGTTACTTTGTTTTGATTGGATCATCTTACTAATAACTTTTAGATTCCATTTCCCCATCTTCCTTTTTACTCTGAACATATTTATTTCTCTTTAATATCTGCTTTTGCTTTTGTTAATCACTTCAATCCTTGGTTGTTGGGTTTTTCCCCACCCTGGTTTTACTGCATATAAAAACTAAACTATTTATTGCCTGATACAAATCAGTGGACATGACCTCGGGATAACAGTGCTCTGACACATGACAGTGTAACCTGCGCTGATGTTTATGGAACTGGTAAATGAAATGAAATTGATGTCTTTATTCCTTCTGCATTGTATTTGATGCCGCCTTTTCTTGAGTCTTTCATGTTGTTGCACAGAGAGAGTGGCCCAAATCTGCAGCTGCTGTAAACCGCTCTAGATTTGTTGGGACCACAGGTTTGCAGGGTAAAAAAAATGAGTTAGTAACATTAGCCTGTTTGTCTGGGTGACAAAAGTGTCATGTGTGATAGGAGAGCAGTAGCAATTACGATTTCTAAGGTACTATTTTCACACGTATACCTTTATTATGATCATGTCTCTGTATCCTTCCTGTAATATGCAAGCTAGATTCTGTGATGATAAACTCTGGATGACGAGTACTGTTTCACTCAGGGAATGGATGACTTTTTGTTGAAGGGTGGGTGCATGTGTGTACAGAAAAGCTTCTAGGAAGGTGGACTACGACCTAGTTTTCCAATGGCTCAAGTACAGTCAGGAAAAGTTTTGCCTCACTGCTGGGGAAGAGATGATAATATACTTCATTATCATTTATATAAGACTTCAGTCTTCTAATTATTCACCAGTTTTAAATGTCCACCTTGAGAAGCACTTCAGTCAGGAAGGTATTCTAGCATTCTAGAAGTCATACTGATTTATCAGTGTGTAACTCTGTCTTCAGAGTTTTAAACTAGTTTATTATTTTTATGGATCTTTTTAATCCCTGTATTTATTCTGGGCATCTCAGAAAAGCATCTCTCATGTTCTGCGTGTTCTCTCAGCAAACAGAGTGGTACTGTGGTTTGCTTGTTCCTTTTTCTTTTCTTTAATGCAGCCATGTTGCCCTGCAGGTGTTGTACAAAGAGGATCTGGGGACAGGAACCCCAACACCTGTCACTCCTGAGATTGAAAGAGTCAAACGCAATCAAGAACACATTAGCTCGGTATTTTTCAATTTGAAAAGCAGAAAATTCCCTTTTAATCTATTTAAAAATAATTTTAACACACCAAAAAATTTTTTTTCTTTCTCCTATAATCAACTTACACCAAAAATAATATCTGGTCCCTTTGAGATCTTTTTTTCCTCCGTAATTGTTACTTACATCTTTCTTGTTCCTCTTTTTTATGACATCCTCTTAATAACTTTTAATTCTACCTTTCCTTTCAGCTTGATTATAATTTTTTTTCTTCTTAAAAATACACGGTTTTCCTTTTCTTAATCACAACAATCCTTACTTTTGTTTCGTGTGATGCTGTTTTGGTTCTTTTTCCCTGATTTTACTTACTTTCTATATGAGAACTAAATAGTTCTGTGCCCGATACAAATCCATGGCTGTGACCTCAGTATAACAGTGCTCTAATACACACGTAGCGTCACCTGCTGTGATGTTTATGGAATGAGTAAATGAAAGAGAATTGATTTCTTTGTTCCTTTTGTGTTGCATTTGATAACTTCTTCCTTTAGGAGGTCTTTACTGGTCTACTGTTACACAGACAGTTTTTCTGTATAGCTCCTGAGAAGCAAAGAGAGAAGGTATTCTAGGTTCCGCCCAAAAGGCATTGTGGAGTGTTAGCATTTAGCTGTATAGTGTTGGAAAGCATTTTAATTTTTCTCTTTTATTCCGAGCTTTGGCTAGGAGCAACTTTGAAAAACATTCAGTTGGTTTTCTCACAAGCTGCGTGTTATTGTCGTTTGCTTGTTCCTCTTTTTGTTTTTTAATACAGCCGTGTTACTCCACAGGTGTTGTACAAAGAGGATCTTGGGACAGGAACCCCAATACCTGTCACTCCTGAGCTTGAGAGAGTCAAACGCAATCAAGAACACATTAGCTCGGTATTTTGTGGAGGAAAAATAGATTCCCTTTAACTCCACTTAAATGGAACTTCTTAACATTTATTAAAAATGAACAATTCCACTCCTTACTTCCATTTAATCAACTCATAAAACATCCTTTCTTCTTCCCTATATTTTCCAATGTTACTGACTTACCACTTCATCATATATGTGATTATTTACATTATCCTAAGTATTTTTAACCATTTTGCTCCCTCTTCCAACTTTTTCTTTTATATGTGTTTTTTTGTTTGTTTGTTTGTTTTCTTAAATCCCATAATTTTCCTTTTTTAATGCTGTTATAGATGGAAGGGGGTGGTGGTGTGTGTCTGACTTTCTGGCAGGTTTCAGTGGTGGCTAAAAGCCGTCCTCCGCCATGAAAATGTGTTTGATGTTAGAGGCTTTTGTGTTGGATTTATGGCATCTGCTAGGATAAAACCATAGATCTTTTTGCCTCCAGACCCTCAAGGTGCAATCCAGCCTTCATTGCTTTCAGGGGTAGCTTTGGAGCGCATTAGAGCAGACTGAGCTACCACAGATTCAAATATTTGACTTCATGTTGGATGTAATTATTATTGAGTTGTGATTATGTTCTTGGATGCTTCTTGTTGCTACACAGGTGTTGTACAAAGAGAGCGTGGGGACTGGGACCCCCACTCCTATCACTCCAGAGATGGAGAGGGTCAAACGCAATCAAGAAATCTGTAGCTCGGTACTTTGCTAAGAAAAAAGAAGTTCCCTTTAACTCTATTTAAAAGAACATTTTAACAGTTTTAATAAATGGACGCTGTAACGCTAGTTCCAAAATAATGTCAGCCATAGCTCTAAAGCAGCTTACAGAAGTGCTTACTTCTTACTCACATCTTGTGTGGTTTACAGTGGTGACTTTAACTTGGTAAGAGTTTTTATTGTTTTCCAAGAGTGGTTTTAATATCCTGTTCTAATCCTAAAATCACTTAACAAACTCCACTCATTTTCTCTGCAGTGCTGACATTCTTTTAAAAAGAAAAATTGTAATTTACATGTTCATGGAATCCTCAACACGTCCATATGGTATTTTTGTGGTCTCATTTATGCAGTACTTATACAAGTGTGTGTATATATATACTTACATACGTATATGAGTGATCTTATGTTAAAAAGCCAGTATGCCAAACCCTACTTCTCTAGCAAAATACTGCTAAGTACCTTCTTTAAAAATATATGCACTGCGTAGGTCCTGAGAAAATAAATACAAGAAAAATATGCCTTGGGCTTGAATTTTTTTCTATGCATAGCTTTTTATTTATTGTTGCTTTCTTTGGCTCCTTTCTTATGTCTCATAGGTGTTGTATAAAGAGAACATAGGGAAAGCAACCCCAACACCTGTCACTCCCGAGATGGAAAGAGTTAAACGCAATCAAGAAATCATTAGCTCGGTATTTTTAACAGGAAACCAGTTCCTTAGGATGTGAATGACGTGTTTAATATTGTAACTGCAGCATTTAGTAAGCTGTGCTTTCTAACTTCAGAAGACAAATCTGTCGTGTAGCATAAACCTCCTACCTTCTGTGCTTACAAACAAGTGATACCTTCTTTTTAATCATGTCTTCTATTTAACACTGTCTGAAGCAGGATTTTACTAGAACTACGTTTGCCTTTTTTTTTTTTATGGATATAATCTATGTGCAAATTTTTTTAACCCTTTCTTACTACAAGTAGGCAGTGTTGACTCCGTGCAGGGTCCACTTCTGCATTCAAGTGGATTGATGGCAAAGCTCCCATTGCTTCTTTTGGGAGAAGCATTATGCCCCAAGCCTAACCCTTTCTAAGTGTAATGATTCAAAAGCCATGTTGTATGTTGGTTTGGTCTTGTTTTAGTTTTTGGGTTTGGGTGGTGGTTTGTTTTTTTTTGTGATGGTACCTTTTAAATCACATTTGGATACTCCCTTGTATCCTGTAGGTTTTGTACAAAGAAAATGTGGGGAAAGTGACCCCAACACCAATCACTCCAGAGATGGAGAGAGTGAAACGGAACCAAGAAATCATTAGCTCGGTACCTTAAAAATAGATATATTTCTTTTTTTATCTTCATGCTTATATCTTAATAAAGTAACACGCTAACTTTCTACTGAAGATTGATTCTAATTTAAAAGATAGGTATAGTTCTTTCTGCCATTTAATTGCTCCTCTCCTAAAACAAAATTACTTTAGTGTTAACAGTTTGATCCATAAATTTAGGCCTTTTCTGCAACACAGTTTATGTACCTGTGGGCTCTATCCAGACAATATTAGAAGCTTAGCAGCCTTTGTTGAAGATACTCAGGTTGATCTGTCTATGCACAGTGTTTGAGCTTTCATTGGCTTCTCACGGATATTTGACTTCAGCAAATACAGACTAACAGGAAACCAATACTCCACCCTAAAACCCCCATGTCTCGGAGCCATGTGAGACTGCATTGCTCTGACATGTGACTTGGGATGCCTTGACCAGAATGACACAAAAGGAACAAGGCTGTTAACTGTTCTGGGTGGTGTATCAGCAAGGGCTTTTAGGTGGCCTCGTGGCTGGGGGAGATAGGTAAGTGTAATTGTGCAGCAATACCAGACACCCATCCTCAACACCCTTCTGTATTTGGCTGCCCAATGTAAGTGTGACCACAACTCCCTCCCAAAAGGTCACAGATTGCTTCACACACAGGCAAAACATCAGATAAAGCATTTCTTCACTAGTTCTCTAGGTCCATGGGCAGCTTCCCCAGGCCGTTGTCAAAGTTATAGCTGGATAGAGCCTGTCTTTGTTAACCAAAAAAATAACAAGCTTTCCTTTTACAGTTTATTTTTCTTACCCTTCTTTACAGCAGTAGATGTTTGCCTTTTGTGCAGTGCTGTGTATCATAATCAGTTGTGACTTCTTTTGAAATTTGATAACAAAGTAATAATTTGTGTTCAAATCCTTTTGATTGGGGGGGTGTGTGTGTGCAGGGTTAAGATACTGGATACATCTTCTGTATCCCACAGGTGTTGTACAAAGAAAACCTGGGGAGAGCAACCCCCACCCCTCTGACTCCAGAGATGGAGAGAGTCAAACGCAATCAAGAACACATTAGCTCGGTATTGTCTGAAAGATGTAAAAAAGGATATGATAGAGCATTTTTTTTCTAAATAACTTAAGTCTGCCTGGTTTTAACCAACCCTCTAGTTTTCTTCCCTCAAACATAGAAAGTAATTTCTTAAAAGTATAGTATTTAAGCAATTTTTTTGTGAATTAACTTTTTAATACTATTTTCCCTATGACCCTTTTATTTTTTTCTGTCACAATGAATGGTGTTTACTCTAAACCCAATAATGTTACAGCTTTTAATTTGTACATTTGTGACTTTGAGTTACTTTGTGCTCTGTAGGTTGTATACAAAGAAGGCTTAGGGAAGGCAACCCCCACTCCGGTTACTCCAGAGATGGAGAGAGTCAAACGCAATCAAGAACAGATTAGCTCGGTATTGAAAGAAGATAGACAAGCACCTTATATTAAAAATAACCACTCTGAACAAAACCTCCACTTCTAACTTAGCCTTATTTTCTCAGTTTTCCTTACTTTCGCCTATTTTTCCCTTTGGTTTTTACCTTTTGCTCTAGCAAATAACTTTTTTAGATGCTTTATTTCCCAAGATCTTTTCTATCCCTGCAGTGATGAGTATGCTTAATCAATAACACCATTTACAGAATGAGCTATGACTTACTCCAGTCTGATTTGTGGACACCTTTTTGCACACTGTAGGTTTTGTACAAGGAACATCTGGCAAAAGGAACTCCAACACCGATGACTCCAGAGATGGAGAGAGCTAAACGCAATCAGGAAAACATCAGCTCGGTACGTTCTATTCAGTCAATACATGACAATATTTTTAAAAGTAACATTTCAATCCTTGAAATCCTTACTCAGATGAACAATGCAGATGTTAACGTGACTACCTAGCTACCTAGTTTGGAAGTATGAAGTAACCATACTAAAATAAAATCATTTAATGCTTGCTTTTTACCTTCCACAGCAGCTGAGCAAGTCTTTCTGTGTGATTAGCTGCTTTAGTTTGGAGGGTATTTTTAAACAACAGTTGAATTTCAAATAACATATATTAGCTTCAAGTCTTGCAAGTATGTTCTGGTTTTACTGTCTTACACTGCATGGCATATAAAACGATTGCTCTTCAGTAACAGTATGCTATGTTAGATTGCTGATGTTCTGTATTAACACATGATCAATCTGGAAATGGCCTTTAGGCCCTGTTTTACTAACCTGTTACTCCAGAGGCAAATCCTGAAATACCCCATTGTAAATGTTTATATACATAAGATCATAGGATCTTAGGTTTGGGTTGGAAAGAACCTTAAAGACCATATAGTTCCAATCCCCTGCCATGGGCAGGGACACCTTTCACTAGACCTGGTTGCTCAAAGCTCCATCCAGCCTGGCCTTTAATTTTGTCATGGCTTGATAAATCCAGTAATAAAGTATCTGCAGATGTGTAAAGAAGTATGATGTGACTGTTGTAACAAAAAAAAAGAAACCCTACAAACCCAGTAAAAATTATGGCATATCAGTGAAAAATGCAGGTCTAATTACGTTGTATGTTCCACACTGGTAACTGCCAGTGAGGTGCAGGTCAAATATATGAAAATAGTACCTGGACCACTATTACTGCATTATTACCTCTACCTGTTCTTACAAGGTTAAAAAGACAAGGCTCTTTTAATAAAAAAAAACAGGAATGTTTGGCATCAAGGCCAGAGCTGTCCATATCTCATATAGTTATGAAGAATAATTTTGTTTTGCATTCTAATGTTATTCACCAGTATAGATCCTGCTGCTTTCCCCTGCCCCTTCTTTGTGAGGTTGCTTCAGTACAGCTCATTCCTCATGACGCAGTAGTTTGGTGCCTTGTTCTCACTTCCTTTTTCTCATTTGGCAGGTTCTTTATTCAGACAGTTTCCGAAAACAAGTACAAGGCAAAGCTGCATATGTACTGGATACACCTGAGATGCGGCGGGTGCGAGAGACCCAGAAAAACATCTCTACAGTAAGACCATTTATAGATGTATTTCTAACTTGGCAGGTGATGTAAATAAGAACATAACCTTGTTGCTGAGACATTCTGGGGTTGGCAGCCTGAGCACAATGTACATATACCAAGCCTAGTTACCCAAGTAGATTAAGTGCTAAAGAGTGACTGCAGGAGAGGGGTGTTTGGGGTTAGGCTCTCTCATTGTTCCTGGATTGGAGAAAACAGAAGTTCTAAATAGCAGTGCACCTCTCTACTAGAAATTTACCTGAGGTGAGCAGGAATAAAAACTACTCATCTAAGCTACAGAGAACAGACACTTCATTTTAAATTGCAGGTGAAATACCATGAAGAGTTTGAGAAAAGCAAAGGTAGTTTCACACCTGTAGTTACTGACCCCATTACAGAACGCGTGAAGAAGAACATGCAGGACTTCAGTGACATTAGCTACAGGGGCATCCAACGGCGAGTAGTGGAAATGGAGCGAAAGCGCGTGGACCAGGATCAAGAGACTCTCACAGGTAAGCAGAACCTAGGTTTTATAACAATTCAGGTACTTCATTTACACAAAACACAAGCTGACCGGGATGAGTTGTAGCATTTAAGATTAGCCGCACCAAATCAAGCTTATCATTATCAGTCCATTGCAAAAATAGCAACTGTAAATCGTCTGTCATCTGCCTGTCCCATTCTGCCCAAATTTATTAACATAATGCTGGATTTACATCTCTTACGTTTTTAGTTTCCATCACCATGCATACTAGAGAAATACCTCACTGATGTAGATTATGTAATAAATAAATTAAGAATAATCTGTGCTATAGGTTTGAGACTTATGATGACATATACTGCTTGCCCTTTTCTGATATGCTTTTACTCCTTTTCGGGACAGATGTGCTGCTCAAGTTCTGAAAGCTGCTTGAGCTACAGCATCTCCTCAGAAGATGCCCTTTTTCTTGCAGGTCTTCGTGTGTGGCGCACTAATCCCGGGTCAGTCTTTGACTATGACCCAGCAGAAGACAATATTCAGTCCAGAAGCTTACATATGATCTCTGGTTTGTTCCATAGGCTGTAGTACTGTTTGTGCAAAATAGGTTTTGTACTTGTGCAAATCCAACCAAGTAAAGCCGACAGCTTGGGGACACTAAAGTACAGGTTCACGCTCCACCTGTGCAAGAATGCAAGTGTAGTGTTGTGTGCTGACTTAAACAGAGACAAGATTTCAAATGTTATAGAGGGACACAGTTCTTGTGAGAATTAATGTTAACTAGAGGAAAAATTGTCTATGGCTCCTCCTCACCAGTATACATATATTTGTGCTAGCTCCATGAATGCAGCTAGCTGTTTAATTATAGCTCATTTCTCAAAAACTATGTTAATCTTATATATAAGTGATCTAACACAGGCATGGAGAGGGGTGTTCGATCCACAGATAGCATGATGCAGTGGCTTACCTGTAACGTGCGCTTCCTTTTTAAAAAACTAAAAATACTGTTCCTCAGTTACCTTTTTGGTTTGTTTAAGCTCCTTTCTTGCTAATTATTTGAAGTGCATCCTGAATGATAGAAACCACAGTCTTCGACATGGCTCAGCTCTGTCAACTGATAAGGAAAGCATGGGATAATTGAAATAATTCTGGAAGCAGCTACCACTAAAGGGAAGGAAGTGGGAGAAAGGAAAAAAAAACCTGAATATTAACAAGGACATAACTGTGCTTTTCTGAGTAGAACTTCAGCATGTTGCCCATAGACTTTTAGAATGGCAAATACCACTGAGTAACCATAAAAATACTGTGATTAACTCACATGCTCTTTTCCATGAACTTTGTACAATACACTAACCAATCCTGCTTAGCGTGTGGGCCTGTGTCAGTTTTCTACTCTAAGCACAACTTTGGCAGCAACAGTGGAGAGCTTTAGGTATTTTTACAGAATATGCGTGTGTGTATATACAAAGTAACCTATGTATATGTTTGTGTGTGCATGCATGTACATATTTATATCCACATGTATTTTTACATGTGCATCTCCTTACAAAACGAAGATGTAAATTGGTTCCCCCTGCTTCCTCCTTGCAGTCCAAGCCCAGCGCCGAAGCCGGGAGCACTCCCGCTCTGCCAGTGCCTTGAGCCTCAGTGGTGGCGATGAGAAGTCTGAACCCTCAGATGGTGTGGATCAACATTTATCCTACTACAGCAGTGGGGGCCTCTTTGCCACTACAACAGGTAGGAGGAGAACAAACTTGCTACGTACTTACTGCCCTATGGGGACACATAGTATCCAGGCCATCTGGTGGGGAAATGCTGGACATTGGCTCATGTTGAGTAATCCCTTTAGCCAGGAAATAGCACCTAAGTACACATGCAAAATGTGGAGCTATGGAAACAACCAACAGCTGCAAAACTGTGTTTCAGATTTGACCCACCTAATGACCCACCCATGGTCTTTATTCAGAGCAACTCTGACCTTATTGCCAACTGTGTAATAAACAATACAAACTGTATTTTCCTTTTGTAGTGGGCTACAAGCACACTAAAACCATAGAGTTGCCGCAACAACGGTCATCGTCAGTTGCTACCCAGCAAACGACAGTATCATCCGTTCCCTCTCACCCATCTACTGCTGGGGTAAGTAACACCGTTCGGTTGTATTAAGACACACATTCCCGGCTTACTGCAGAAGTTCATACAAGTACCTGCCAAAAGCGCACAGCCCCGGAGGTCTTCAAGAGCTGATGGCGTATTCTCCACATCATGCCTCAGACCATGCTTCCAAGACCAAGTTGGCCACAGCCTACTCACTGGGCTGAAGCTTGGTACAAACCCCAGTGAAGGTGTGAAGTCATTGGAGTGGGATAGACCCTCCCCTGTTCTTGAAAACTTTAACACTTCTTCCTACACTTGAGATTGAGTCTTGGAGAAGCTACATGAAGATAGGTATAGCATTGTCTCCCCACAAGATCTGCTGGGAGGCAATAACTTAAAAGTTATGGCTGGAGCTACCTGAAGCCAATAGCTGCTCAAATACACTACAGACATGTTCAGCCTCAGTGTTGCCAAAACACAAAGGCTGTAACCCAAGGTACTGTGAGACCTGGGTAATTAAGGTATTTATTTAGCTATTAAGAAGAAATGTTTTGTGATCTGAAGACAGGAGATTTTGGCCAGGCAGATGCTGCCATCAGAAATACTGTTAAGAGTACTGAAATAAGTTGAAGCATAACTTGCCCTTAGCCTGCTTTTACATTTTTCTCACCAACAATGTCCATCAGTGCTGACAGCAGGACTATAAACATGTCTCCTTTTTTTGCCCTCTTTTCTGCCCCCTTTCTTACACCTGACAGAAGACCTACCGGGCCATGTATGACTATATGGCAGCTGATTCTGATGAAGTTTCCTTCAAAGATGGTGACACAATTGTAAATGTACAATCCATTGATGAAGGCTGGATGTATGGCACCGTCCAGAGAACAGGCAAGACTGGCATGCTGCCAGCCAACTACGTAGAAGCTGTCTAAACCCAACCGTATCTTCCCATAAAGCGCATCAGCATGGTATGGACTCACCGGCTCTGCTCAAGTCAAGAGCCTTAGGAAAGGGTTTGTAAAGCTTTCTCCAAAGTGCCTTAATGTCTTCCATGTTGATAGCGCCTTATGAACTGTGGGGGGGGAAAAAGTAACTGCAGCGCAAAATACTCTTGAAACATCCTTCCAAAACGTATTTGAAAATTACCTGTAAGCACACTACCAGGCACTGCTCAGAACAGTATTTCTTCCAATGCCAAAAAACCCCACAACTACATTTCTAAAATATTGCCTGGATCTTTCAAGCACCACACACCATCATGCATTTAACTATGCCAGAACACAATCCAGCTCAGTGTCTCCAAATTTTTCCACACGTACTTATGACTAAGATTACCAAATATTACTTTATTCATTCTCTATAGAGAGAGTATTTTCTTGAGCTAGTCTAAAATGTTTGAATTTGTTCACTTCTTTTCCATATAAGCAATATTTAAGCTTAGTATCTCAAACCAACATTTATCTGGGGTTTGGGGGATAACCAAACCCCAACCTGAAAGCCTCTCCTTCTGCTTGCTGAGCTCTTGTGCATGTGATTTTCATGCAACTGTTCTGGGGTCAAAAGCTGTTATTACCTGTAAATTAGTGCCTAAATAAAGCTAACATTTCTGCAGTGTGCGTGCTTTATTCACTCATGCTGTAGAGTGGGAATCAATCTCACAGCAAACTGGCTTTGTTCAGAAAACTATTAAAGGAAGGAACCCAGGAGGCGGTGGAGGATACAACAGCCACAAGAAACTGAGGGTCTCTGGATGAAGCCAGACAAGTTGTATCGTATCGTATCTGAACACCATGGTTATTGGCTTCCTCTACTGAAGCAGCTGGTGCCAGCTGGTTGCCAAGAAAGAAGGAAGTAAGAAATCACTGTATACTGTGTCCAGGATAGACTAAAGATTAAGAACAGGTCAGCAGTGGAAGGAACTGCAACATGAACTCTGAGGAATTCAGAGTTCAAAGGGAATTCATGGCATGTCATGGTATACACAGCCAACTTGAAAGGGAAACGTCCTTCCTCGATGTGGGATTCAGGACTGCTGCCAATGCTGAAGGAAGTTTGTTAGTTAAACAAAGATGTTTGTTAACACCCTTTCGAGATATGTTAGGAAGATCCTTATCTGTGCAGAGCACTAGGCACTAGAGTTGAACAAGCCTGAGGAGACAGAGCTGGAACCAAAATAACATTTTCAAGAAACCAAGAGAACCTGCCGACAACTCATCTCTGGCACTGTTCATGTCACAGCCCCAAGGCACCTCTTTGTCCCATTTGCTGTCTTCATGAGGTGCATGAACAGGGCAAAGAATATTGAGAGTTCTGATGACAAGACACTGCCAGGTCCTCAAGGACCTGCTCCTACCTTAACGCAGCAGTTCAGCTCTCCCAGCTTGTGGATCCAAAGCAATGCTCAGGGAGGGCTAAACACAACGAAGGGAAAAAACGACAAACCAAAAACATACCATTAACAAGTTTGGGAACTATCTGCTCTTTTATTTGTCCATGTGTAAATTCTAAAACCAGTTGCAGCAATTCCTTTCAATAAACATTCATTTTGATAGCTACGGAACACTATATACAAATCAGATTTCCAGAGTAAAAACCGAGAACTCTCTCTGAAGGTCTCTGAGAAGCAGCAATGCATTCCACGCAATTAAAACTCAACATCATAAATTATTAACCAACATTTGCTGTAAGTCTGTACACAATATACAAAGAGATCTTGTCAAATTTATCCATTTCCAAAGGAAAGTCTTCTCTACAAAAGGAGAACTGCTGCAAACAAAGAATATGGGGAAAAGCCTGAGAGATTCTGCAAAGTCTCTTGCCTGTAAGGGCACATTTCATTATCAGCTTCTTAGTGTGATTCTTAGAAAAATACATGCAAAAATAGATGTCCCCTGGCTGTCAAATACCAGGCTCCTGGACTGTTGCTGGGGTATGGAATTAAGCACATATTATCTCTATACAAAATGGTGTGCTGAGAGATTGCTGCTCTCTGTCAGGGTTTCAACAGCTTCAGAGGAAGCCAAGAGGGGTAGCAGGCGAGTGGAGCCATGAGATCAACCTCTTACTGAGTACCACGAGTTTGTAGCAGTAAGAACACTTCAGATTTGAAAAAAGTAACTACTCTGTTGGTTTGGTTTCACAGTCTTTGCTATTGCACAACTTTGTCACGCTTTCTTTCACTACCTGAAAGAAATATGCATAGCAATACAATACAAATACCTCTAATAGGGAATAAGCAATCCCACAAATTACAACAACGAATAAAAAAAACCCCAAAACCCTAAAAGCAAAACAAAACAACCCACAAAAAGAAAAAAAAAAAGGGAGGGGGGGAAATCCCCCAACATGATATATTTTTCTGACATAAACGTTAAAAAATCTTTTATAGTACAAAATACACAGTTTAAGAAATAATTCACCAGTAAGAGAAGGGTTTGGGCAAAATTGTTGTAACAAAAGCCTCCTTATTTAGGAATGATATGCACCTAATCTGAACTTTCATGGGGTGGCGACTTCCAGCGAGACTGCAAATTCTTCATGATACAGTTTGTCATGCCAACAAGTTTTTCTTGCATCTCAAAAAGCTGGCTGCCTGAATAGCTGTGAAGGTCTTCAGTGCTCAGCTGAGCAGCAAGTGCATCAATCCGGCTCATCAGATCTGCTGCGGGATGGTCATTTGTATTCACGACAATGGGTTCAATCAAATCTGAAAAGGAAGGACAGCAGGGCAGGGCAGTCTGCTAGTCTGCATTTAAACCTAGGCAGAGTTACGTTACAGCTTCTTCTGCACTAAATAATATATTCAAGCAGTCTATAAAGTATTTGTCCCACACAAGAGCTTCTGACAGATGCAGCCCTCAGGACTCCACCCTACCCTTCTTTACCCTATGTACAATAAAACTAAGGACAGACATGAAAGTATTTGATTCAGATACTGCCAGTGCCAGACGAGTTATCCCAAGGGCCAACTCTGAAATCGGCAGCTGAGAAGTTACTGATCAGTTCTGTTTTCTAGGTAAACAAATGGTTCAGGTATCTTGTAGGAAGCACAAATGTCGGTTTCCTCTGAGCTACCAGGTCAAACTCCAAAAATACATGTGAGAATTCAAATGAAAAGCTAGGCAACCAAATCCAAACTGGGTATCCAGGGAATTAACCCCCTCCTCTTCCACTCCCTCCAGATGAGACACCACTGAACTACCTCTGCTTCATCTTGCTTGTTTTTGTGCATGCCCAGAAGCATAGCAGTTACTACACCATTAAACAGCTCAGGAGAGAACATGCTAGATTCAGAAACTTAAGTACTTAGAGCCCTGCCTAATTGGTTCTTTTCATGCTTATGCAAGCTTATTTAGAGAAAACCAGCATCCTTCCCTCAAAATATGTAGCAGGCTTTAAAAAGCCATTGCCACAGCATGTCATAAAGTGGCTACCTCAAACACCCATCTAAGGTGCTAATATCTGTAATAGTTAAAAAAAAATCAAATGGTCCCATTAGGAGAATGAAAGCAGCAATACAGCGGAAACACCCCAATCCTAAGCAAAACCCGGCAATATGTACCTGTTGCAAGTTTTTCTTCATCTACAGAAAGAGATTTATCTTCTATGTTATTTATGGCCTTTTCTGTGTCTTCAAGCACTGCCATTTCCTCAAATCCTCGAGATTTTACCTGAAGAATTTTTGGGAAAGAACAGAAAATGCATTTTCAAGGAAAAAAAAAATACATGGTGGGGCATATTTTAACCTCATAATAAATACAATCATTATTCCTGTTAATAATATTGTAGCCAAGTCTTCTGTACCTTCAATTCCCAGGTGACTGTGACAGGTAGAGGTTAACGTTTTAAAGTGCTATTTCTAATGGGGAAAAAAGCCTGTTATTCCTCATGATGGATGTTAGCAGTTCATTAGGCCAATACTTGCTTTTTGTGTACTAAAATTAAACTTTACCTGTTGCTCATGATAGCCTTTCAGAGCTCTTTTAACATTGGAAATTTTCGGAGAGCGGATGGGAAGAGTTTTGATTTCTGATGCTGTCAAAGTACTCAGATCACCCACTGTCTTAATGTTCTTTGCTCGAATAAGCTGCCCCAAGCCTCTGGCACTGCAGCAGGGGAGAAGGAAAAATGGATTATTATCTGGAATTCAAGTTCTTTCTGCCTGGCATGGTGGGCAGAAAGGAATCTTATATGAATGCTGGTTCACATTCACATAAGTGAAGGAAAAAACAAGATGCAAATGATGTCCTGGCTGCAGAAGCACACCCTTCTGCAGCTTATCCTACATCCATCAGTGACTAGCATTCTAAAGCCGACTCGCATTTAACAGGAGTGAAATGAAAAGGGGCTGAACACACTAGCCACAGCCGTTCTGAGCAACTCCCACTGCATGTCTACAATTTGTCATGATAAATTACCAAAATTCAGACTGTAACTCAAACTAGCTGAGCACCCAGCCTTTCTGCATTTGAAATGTAGGGTTTTTCCAAAATCTTGCTTCTCCTTCAGGACACCGAAAGCTCCAGCTGCTTTGCTGCAGATAATCACTAAGATCGGTCTGCTCTGTCATGTGAAGTGGAGAAAGCTCCCGGTGTTCCTGGGTATCAGCTTTTCATAAGATGACTTGAATAATTCCAAAACAGTTAAGTCTCTCCTTCACAAAAATAACCTCTTTCCTTTAAAAAAAAACCTGGCAAAAAGGTGTCTCCAAGTTATCACATTTTGCATCAGAAAATTTGGCTTTGTAAGTTTGGTAAGAATTCTGTTTCTACTGAACTGTCATCTTCAAAACCAACAATCCACTTACCATATGTTTGATGTAATCTGAGGTAAAATTACATCCACTGGTGCTTTGCAGCCAACTAAGGCAGGATACATGCGTTCCATGGGGCCAGGCAGTGACTCCTTTGTCATTTCTGTGATCTTGAATAATACAGAAAAAATATTAAATTGGCTATCACACAACTGAATATGGGAAAAAAATAGAAGAATACATGAACCAAAGCACATCTTACTAAACACTTCTTTGAGCTCTTAAATTTAGGGTTACGAGATCCTGGGGACAGAAATCCTTTGGTTGGAGTGGTAATATGCTGGGTAGAAAAAGAGGAAAAAGTATCTCTCAGGATCGCAGGAATTCAGTTAATGGTAAGATCCTAGCTACCTAGACCTCAGAGTGCCCTTGTCTTCAGAGAGTAACAGGAAGAATCATGCTAAATCAGTTATAGCTAAACCTTACATCAGCAAGGTTTCTTACCCATACTGATTCCCTGCTCTTACAATTGTAACACACACTAAGGCAACATTACCAATGACAAACAAGAGCTGTGAGTACTTGTGATATACAAGAGTAATACAATTTACCTTGGCCTGAATATTAGATAAAATTTTAAGACTTCGGGAAGATGGTGAAGAATGGGATCTAATGACTGGGCTTCTTCTATCTATGTCATCTGCCAGTCCTTCTTGATAAATTGGATTTGCAAAAGAGACTCGACGGATCTGTTTTTAGAAAAGAGAAGTAGTTTTTATAGCGTGAACACAAACCACCACACTCTGGGGAAGTAAGTCTGAGGAGACAGAACAGCTCCATTTGAAATAAGTCATTAACG